CCCCCGTCGAGATTTTAAATACAATCCCCATCCCCTCCCCATTTACATAAATGAGTCCCCAAACCCGCCACAACAGGGGTGGAGTGGGGCGGGGACCCGCCGGGTATAGGGATTTTACCATCCCTACTCTCAATGCTTTCATCTCAACTCTCAAGTTCTGTCCTGATATTTGAAGTAGTCACCTCACCCTCACCTCGCCTCGACACCTCCCCTCATCAATCCTCTCTGTTCGCCTCGCCCCAACACCTCCCCCTCCTCAGTCCTCTCTGTTCTCATCTTCTCTCTATTTATTTTCTGTGTTTATTTATATTTTTATTTTTGTTATTGTAATTTATTTTTTGTAATTCACTAGGCAACAACAGGGAAAAAGTAACTAGGTGGGGAACCGTGAAACCGAACCAATTGAGTTCCGGTTTAGTTCCATATATAACGGTTCCTCCCCCCCCCCCCCCCCCCCCCAACATTTTAGTTTTAAAAAAAAAAAATTTAAATGATGCTTTCCAATGAAAATTAATGAATTCTTTCCATTCATAAGTTCTATTTGTTATTATTATTACTATTTTAGAGTTTCTTGGGCAAGCATGGTTCAAAAGACACCGAAACCAAAAAAGAAAGGCACAAAGCCCATCAAACCATGCTTGCCAAAGAAACAGGCCCAAAAAACCAAAACCAAGCCCAATTGAGACAAAGGGCAACTTCCATACCAGAAATTCAAACGCAGGGCAGGTTGATGGACAGAGCTAGAGCACTAATACTCAATCAACCAGGAGCATGACTCAAATAATTTTGACATTTATGCTTCATTTGATTGAAGGGATGTAAAAAAGGATGGAAATAAGAGCGGAAGGGAAGGTGTATTCTTCATCTTTTGTTTGGTTGGATGAAATGAATAGTAAAAATGATGAATGCGGTGATATTTTTTTTTTTTTTTTTGGTTGGAAATAAGGAAAAGAGAGTTTTATATTTTTTTTACTAATATACCCTTATAATATAAAATTATAAGAATTATATATCTATGACAAATTATGCAACAAGGTTAAAAATGAAAATTAAAAGATTGTTAGTTATGATCCTACTTTCTCTCTCCTCTTTCTCCCCATTTTGAATGGATAGAAGATTACAAAGCATCCCTCCTTCCTTCCTCTCTCTTTTTCCTTTCCTTTCAACCAAACACACAAAATTTATTTTATCCCCCCTCTTATTCATTCCTTCTAATTTTTCTCTCTAACCAAACATGGCATTAGTTAATGTACCGTACTAATGTTTTTTTTTAATGGTGCTAAGATTGGATTTTACTTAAATTGGTATGAAAATAGTGAAGCCTTGAATTGATCAAGAAAAGGAAAAAATAACAAAGAGGCCAGGACCTAGATTAGCCAACACTTGAAAGCCAGGGTTGCACAAGGACTTGCATAGTGCCTAATTTCACTTAATAGATGGTACCCATGAATTGAATGAGCTTAGGTTGTTGCCGATAAGAATCCTAGCTAGTGAGGCAACTATCGATCATTGGATAGTATGGACCATCTCATTTAAGAGTCAAAAATTGGCGCTACGCCAACATTCTCTTTTTACTAATAATGAAAAGAAAAATTATTTATCACCAATAGAAAGTTTTAGTGTTCAAAATTTTTATAATGATTAAGTGAATGTGAGAATTTCTTATCAAGTTATTAAATAGAAAAATAATGTAAAGCCTGACTTTCGGATGAATAATCATATGTGAGTCTATCATTCTTTACTCACGTAAAAAAAAAAAACAGTATGATACTTTCAACTTTCCGAACACTATGAACTTCCCACCTATAGGCATTCACATCGGCCAAACCTATTCATTTAGAAAAGTTAAACATGCACAAAATGAAACACCGAACTAAATAGGGTTGGGGCAGATCACACTCCAATCAATGACACACACATGTAAGTTTATGGTTCTTGGGCTAGAGGGCAATGGTGGTAAATGCTTGATTTGAACAGGTACTTGCGGTAGCGTCTTTTAAACTTGGGATGGTCTACTGGTACTACCAAGTCATTAATGGGATGCACGATTGCACACACTTAAATGTGGAACTATTTCTGCACCACCACAAAGGGGAAGATTCCTTTGCCGACAGTTTATCCACACGCGCGCGCACACACACACACATATATTGTGTGCACACACACACACACAAATATCTTGTATAGTAAGGTAGGTTCCAACCTCCTTTCAATATATATCTTGTATACACTTTGAAATGCTCAACATGTCAACCAAATTAACAACACTTGCCTAAGAATCTGATTCATTAGTATAAGGTAAAAATGGAAGTGACAAAGTCAAAACAGATACCCAAACTTAATAAATTAGTGCTCAAATGGGATCTAAGATCTTGGTTTTTTGGAATGTGATCTAATTAATTCAAATGTCAGTCAAAGTTGTTTTTTTTTCTTTATTTTCCCTTTTTTTCTTTTTCATTTTTCTTTTTTTTCCAAGCCTCCTACAAAAGAACTCCTCTGAAAGAAATAAGAGAAAGATATACTAGGTCACAAAGTTTGGTGATCAGTTAAAGGTAACTTCTTAATTTCTAAAGAGCCTAAATAGACTTGTTTGTTGTGAGCGTGCCTGTTATAAATTTTTTTGTTTTCCCCTTCCTTTTGGGAGCACTTATCACCTAAGTCACATAAAACAGAGCGAGAAACGCGAGAGCAATATTTGTTGAAAAAGATTGTGTGACTTAACTTAGCAGTGACTTATTGTTCCCTCACCTTTCATAGCATATAATGCCAGAAGGTCTATGGTTTTAAAGATACAATCAAGTTGATAAATATATATTTTTTTCATTGTATTCATTGAGAAGGGAGTTGAAATTATAGTTCCAAAGTCAACATTAGAATCTAACAGTGTCATCCTAGGAAAGGAGAAGGAAGATGAGATCAATGTTAAACAATAAGAATGTAACTTCGTTCCCCATGAACGAAGTACTAAGTTGAATGTAGGAGTTTAATTTTAATATTCTTTAGAAAATATTAATATTAATAATTATTAATTCAATCGATTAAAATGAAACCCAACTTCCCAGACCTTCAATTCATTTTCCTTGACTTACTTGCTTAGTGGGTCTCACTCATTGAATGAGCTGAGTAACCCCAAGATTACACCAACTGAATAAATTTATGACTTGCAAGATCACATCCTTGTTTTCACCTTAATGTTGGTAGTAGGTACTCAATTAACCTTCAAGTCAAACAAACACACAGTGATTGTATAAACACACACACAGTGTATAGGTCCAGTTGTTGAGATCCTTTCCAAATCCCAGCTAATTAAATTCCTTAAGTATTTAATATGAAAGGAGGCCATGATATGAAAGGTAGTGAAATGACTGAGCTCTGGATTTCATTTTAAGGTGAAGATGTGATCAGGGAAGGAAGCAATTAAAGAGGATGGCCAAATGTTTGGTGATTTTGGTCTAGCAACCCTTATTCATAGGGCATTTTATGGTCCTCACCCAAGAGAAATTAGTTGAAGAATTGAATTAGGTTTGTACCTATTTTTCGGCTCTTTTTTTTCCCGTTATATTATTATTTTTTGATAAAATATCTAAGAGAAAGAAGCATATCCAAAAACACCTAATTGTTGTTTTGTGTTGTTAAAAGAAGATAATAATGTAAATTTTTTTTTTTTTTAACTGAAGCTTGAACCCCTAACCTGCTTTTGAGAAAGTAAGGGTCTGATACCACTAAACCATTGGTAATAAAATAGTGTAATTCAATTCTCATTCTTTCTTTGACTTCAGTCTCTGAATTTGATTTAATCAAATAAAATTACAAGTTAAGTAAAATTAAAATTTAGTTATAAAAAAACAGTACATTTAAAATTCAAAATAAATAATTAAAAAAAAAAAACCATTTTTTTTTTAACTTAGTAGGTGTAATTACCATTGTCTCTACAAAATGCCACATATTTTTCTTCTACCTTCCAGCAACAATATATATGTGTTGATGTGCACAAGTTGGTAACTACTATTCCTGCTTCAGGATTAGTATTTTAAATTTGAGTCTTAGATCATGTTACTACTTAATTCTCGATGGATTAAGTATTTATTCAATTAAGTATATTTGATGACATAAAAAAATATCACTTAAAAAATAAGTTGACATTTAAAATAAGGAGGAAAAAGTGATATTTATTACTAAATACAAACCACTTAAAATTAAAAAAAATAAAAATAAATCTCAATTTACAAATACTGCTTAAAATTTTAGGATTTAAAATTTCAATTCTTGTGTGATATTTGTGTTAAATGGTTGGTTTGGACACTCCAAATGGTCATGGGACTTTTCCCTGTCCCATACCCCCATAAATTTAAAGCCCCTACAACTAATTAATACAAATGCATGATTGTACTGTCTGTCTCCCTTACTCTCCAAAAGCCAATAATGCAAGCCCCTCATCAATGGGGGTTTTGACCATTCATGGACATCATCATGAGGTTCAACCTTCCCTCTCAAGACAACAGCTATTATAACTGCAAGTACCCTATGAAAAAGAAAATTAAAATGTCTTGGTGTGTGGTAATAAAAGATGAGGATGGCAATGTCTGCCAAAAAGCCAGGTAAATTTGTAATTAAGAGAGAACAAAGCACCTGAGTGAGTTAGGATAGCAGAAAAATGGAAGAGATGAGGCCAAGCACATGGCAGGCTTTTAACTCGTGCCATGATGCAATGATATTTTCTCACACGAGTTTTGCCTCAAACGATGCAAACCCCACTTGTAGCCTTACCACCACACTATATTTTGCTGCATATAAAAATGGATTTAAGCTTGGGCATGACAATGGTTTGAAAAGAAAAAGTTAAAAGATACCATATTCTAAAAGTTGCATAGACTGTTGATGGAAAAGAATACCAAGGTACAGACACTGCTACTGAACTTTCCAAGAACAAGCCCTAGGAGCAGCTGTCAAGCACAATGAAATAAGGAACATATATCCATGGCGAAAGGGAAACTCAAGTGTAACATGTAAATGGAAAATGATATAAATTCCACACAAATCTGCTATACATCTTATCAGATTGAGGATCTCAGCATTCAATTAGATTGAAATGTACAATTCACTAAGACCCAAAAGAAAAAGATGAAGCAAATCTGCTTATCTCTGTATCTGATGAACTCCATCTTCTGTTTACATATTTTCTCAGCCAATTTGATTACAGCAGGTAAGGAAAAAAGAAAAAAATTGAAAGAGAATATATAACTTTTTTTCTTACACTGCCATCTTTTCTCACATCCAGAGAAATTTCTTTCTTGTTCTCAAATCCAGAAACAAGTTTAACATCAATAAACAATAAACAACCACGACAAATCTGAAACACTCCTATAAAGTAGAATTAAAGAGACCTAAGACATTAGTGTCAAACCCATGTAGAAGCAGTATTCTTGTTGCTGCTATTGCCGTGTGATATAAATTAGTTGAATCACATAAAAGGTTAATGGCTCTGCTATATCAAAGCTTCACCACGCACCTTCATCCATCCAAGGAAGGTAAAACAAAAACAAACCTCCATCTGCTCCATCCGTCACTGGGAAACCTGAGCTCCAACTCCGTAGTTGGATTCTGCATTGAGAGTATAAAAGATCATCCAGGTTTGAGTAGAACCGGTGAATGATTATGCTCTATTTACAGATCAATAGAGGCACACTCTATCTTCTAAAATCGCTCGTAACTCGACTCCTAAATTGTATTACTCCTAAATTGTAGCTTCTGATGTGTTAAGTCAACTAAACACTACCTACTGTATAAACAATTGGGCTAATTTTATCCTACACCTTGTTAGACTTCCATCTTCCATACCATGTTATCAGTGCTGCTGTCATGTGCTTTCTCCAGTGCTGCAACCTTTGCCCGATGGGCTGCAAGGGCAATCGCACTCTTTCCCCTTTCTTCTTGATGGAGTTCACAGGCCTCGCTGATGGAGCCAGATCTCAGATCAGCTGGGGGGATGAAACAGTCTACTGACAGGCCTGGAATGTTGAAGGCGACCTCTTCGATTGTCCAAGCTTCTTCCATCCTTGTTTTGGTATGGCTCATTGCCATCTCCCCAAACCTAAAAAGGGTCACCACAGATCGCCCAGAGTGGGCAATCATGATGCCTTCAACCGGCCTGTAATCATCAAGGAACGAATTGATAGTTGTTTCCCAATAAACTGCATCACCACCGTTCGATTGGACGCGGGTCAGATGGGAATCCTCCATGTGAACAAGAAGTCCAGTCTTCTGGCTGAAGTAGCCAAACAAACCGTGCCTTATGATCTCTGCCGGGCCTTCACTCCTTGCCTTCAAGGTCTCAGGATCAGCACAAAGCTTGAGAATGAAACAATCTTCGTCATTGACCTTCTTCTCCCCAATGCACCTTGCATCAGCGAACATACTGGCAGTGGTTCTAGGATCAAGACCCTATAAAGAACAGAACCCGTATCTGGAAATGGTTAGAGGACTACTAGGAAAGGAAATAGTTGAAGCAGAATACACAAATAGGAAAATGATTTCACCTGAAGAGCACGTCGTAAAGGTCTAACAGGTCCTTTAGCAGTGTGGGCACCAAGCCAAGGTGTGTGTCTCCAGACAATATTGCCATTACAGCCTGCATGAACCTTGCTTCCCCCCACTGCAAGCTCCACATACCACATGTCTGGATTCATCTGCCAGAGCACAAATCCACCTGACTCGGCGGCTCTTGCAGCATTCCTATTCTTCACAACCCTTGTAGCAGTTTCAATCTCAGAAGCTATCATCCTCACCTTTCCCATGGCATAAGCGTTGCGAATGGAGTTCTGCAACTTTTGCCCTCCAGATGCAGCAGTGAACTGCTGCAATATATACTGAGCAGACGAAGTTTCCTGCAACAACACCAAATGGACAAAAGAACTAGACTCAATTTTGAGTTTGTGCCTGATAAAACACTTATAGATCATCTACACCACCCATCTACATTCCATAACCAGATTGATAAACAAACTGCAATTCATCATCTTCTTTCATCTTAAAACACCATAGCCTCTGTTTAATTGCTGAAATTTATAAAAAGAAGCAAATACAATAAATTCCATTCCTAATTTTTTTCATTAGTTGGGACATGAAGCATCAAAAACCCCAGTCAATTATTCAACAGGCTTAGTATCCTTTTTAAGTGTGTTTACAACTTGTTATTCTTTTTTGGAAGCCAAAATAACAAAAAAACATAAAATGTAAAACAATCTTTTATTTCCTTCTCCCAAATTTTCTCACAAGTCACAACCAAACAAAAGATTGGATCCAGAGAGGAAAGGTCATTGATTTTACCAGTCTATTTCATTACCAAAAAGACCCCAAAAAAAAAAAATTTATGATTAAGGAAAAAAAACGAGAGATAATTATAATAAGTAGTATATGATAGACCTAACAAATTCAGTCAATATTAAGTGAAATTCCAACACAAATAGTTATAACAAAATCTAAGCGGTCAACAATCAAATTGAATAAGCTGAAATAACCAAATACTATTACTAGTAAAAAGAAAAGAACGGGATTTTTTTAATTCTATAAATCAACCCAAACCAAGAAAATGTTTCCATTTTAGGCCATAACATCACTACAACTTGAAAGAGAACAAAAAATTGTCAAAAACATTTAAAAGATGTTAAAGACGTATGCATACATATATACATATGCTTAGAGAGAGAGGGGCTCACAATAGGAGTGTCCTTGATGCTAAGGTGAGGCAAAGGGTCATTGGTGCTAACGTACACTGGGGCGAGTGGAGCGCCCATAACACCGAGCAGCAGTCTCAGATCAGACCGCTTGTAAGCATTCGAAGCCACCGGCGGCGTTCTACACAGCTGCCCCTTCATCCAATGTCCTAATCCTGACCCGACCCGCTTAGAATCCCCAACGTCTCCGCCATCGAGATCCGGACCCTCCATCAACGGCGTCAATGTCTCCCCCATCGGCCTAAAGCTGCCGGATCTCGCCATCAACGGCTCAGGACTCGCCACGTAGCGGTGGCTCTTCCTCCGGCGAAGCAAACCCGACAACGGTGACACGCTCCTCGCCGGACTATTCTCGCGTGACCTCGCCGGAGACAGCCCTCGAACGACCTCTTCTCTCAGAGCCGAAAAGAATCCTTGCTTTCTCTCCATCGTGAAACCCTAACTCTAACAAGTGAGTTTGACGAAACCGAGCAGCGTGTTTCTCTCTCTAACGATAGTTTTAGAGAGAGAAAGCAAATATAGAGCGTGAGTAAGCTCTCTTCATAAACGAATCAACTAGAAATGGCAGTAACAGACAAACTGATAACTGAAATTTGTTGAGTGTATTAGAGAGAATCAACAGAGAAGTTGCTATTTTTGAGAGAGAAAATTAGAGAGAGTACAGGAAGTGGTGCTTTGAGGGAGAGTGCTAACTGGAAAGCAACAGTGGGGAGGAAAACGGTATGCGAAGAGAAGAGAATAAAGAGCGTGTTTGTGTGTGTGTGTGTGTGTGTGTGTGAGAGAGAGAGAGAGAGTGCTAACTAGTGTGAGAAGTGGGACTGGGGGAGTAAAACTGTAAAAGGAGAGATGTCGTTACGCGCACAAGGAGAGCGTGACTCTCATGTACTCTTGCGATAAGTTACAAACCATAAAAGGTTAAACACTGCGGTGAAAATGTCCTTCCGTGTCGCACCCTTTATTTACCTCTTTCGTATTCAAAGCCTAATTTTTAACTGAAAAATACGTGCGAGTCACAGTCACAATTTTAATGTGAGTCGCTGTAAAAGAAGAAAATGAAATGTGATATTTTTGTAGAAATGGTGGATCAGTATGAATCCCCTGAAAACGAGAGCTTGGATAAGCACAGAGAAGATAAAATGAAAGGATAAGAATGAAAATTATAATACTAATCTCTTACTATAGGGATAAATAAATAAATAGAGAAAAAAAAATGAGAGTGACTTTTTATTGAGTATTTCTCTCAGTAATGAGAGATAAGTCTTCTACAAAATGCTAATTTAAAATGTTGTGTATTTTTTTAATCAAATTAGTCATGGACGACGATTTTGTGTCACGTCAGTGAATATATATAAGAGATGATTCTTTTACAAAATGTTAATTTAACAACATAACAACAGGATAATTTTAGCCTGATGGTAACAACGTGAGAACTCAAATTATTGAGTATTTTGAAGCTATCGATCATGTAGTGTTCCATCACTAAATGCACACCAATTTTTTTTTATAATTAAAAATAGTTTTGGTAACCTGGTATTACTCGAGAACCCTAAAATTTTCAATTGGATAGGAAAAAAAAATACCAGCCTTAAGAAAGGTGATGTATTATGCTATTTGTTCAATATTCAGGTCATAGTTTGTATTTGCGGTATCTATCGTGATTGCGGTGTAATATATTCAGGCAAATATCCATGTAAATCGATCCAAACGGTCAGTTCATGAGAGTGTATAACAGTATTTGTTGTATCTGTCGTGATTGCGCTGCAACAGATTCAGACAAATATCGATATAAATTGATTGAAACAGCCTGTTCATGAGGGTATATAATAGTATTGGATTCGTAAAAAAAAGTTACAAATCCGATGATACATCGTGTGTGTATTGACTGATACGACGAATTTTTACTTACATTTTCATATATATCTAAAATCTTTTGTAAACTATAACTTTACAATGCTTCTTGATTTTTCCTGTAGCTCTTGAACCAACAAATATATATATATATATATATATATAGATATATATATATATATATAGATAGAATTACATAAGCTTCCACAGATATCTTCACTAGGTTTGATGTCAATGAAAATGCTTTATTATGATGTCCCAGTGAGTAGACCACAGTTGGTGTGGTCAAGACAATCGTGGGTTGTCCACCATTATACAATGCACGTGTTATTCCCTCTTTGTTTTGTTGTTGTTCATCGTCTAATTCTATACGTTGGCAACCCCTCTTTTCATTTGTTTCATTTCGTGTTCCCATAGTTTTCATTCTTCCTAATTTTCTCTGCACGTTATATGTAAAGGAAAATGATAAATGGACCTTTTTTTTTTCTTTTTTTTTTCTTTCTTAAATTAAATAACGAAATCTTTTCGTTTGTTTCATTTTATGTTCCCATGGTTTTCATATTTCCTAATCTTCTCCAATAATTCGAGTAATTCAGTTAAGTTTTAAAAATGTTTGTAGTTTAAATTTCAATTGGACTCCACTTGTGATCCAATTTCATTTGATCCCTCGATTAGATTTGATGAGTGAAGGAGAAAATGATCATTAGGATTGAATAACACTTTTTTTCTTCAAACTATCATCTAAAATTTGGGCTCTATAAACAATGAAAATTGAATTGCAAAAAAAAATTATATTTTATAAACTTTCATTAATTGAGAAAATAATTGAAGTGGAATAAGGAAAGAGAGAGGAACTTTTTCTATGAGGCTTTTGAAGAGTTTCTAGTGACCTTTTGCCATTCATTGCTTGAAGTAAGGGTTTTTTTTTTTTTTTAATTTTTTTTTAAATAATTAAAAAAGAAATATTGATTAGAAACACTTACTTATTTTTACCGGAATTTGAATCCTCATATGGAAGTATCACTTGACTATAATATTTGGTAATGCACCTATAAATAAGTCAAATAGTTATGTAATACTTTTTTTTCTTAATTTCATCTAATTCTATGAAACAATATAAGAAAACAAGTTATTTTTTGTCTTTTTTCCCTTAAACATACCTCCTCAATTAGTCCTATCAAGAAACATTAGATCCGTTTATGAGTTGCTCATGCGAATTAGGCATAATGATAGACTGATAGTAATAATGTTATTCCCAAAGAACAAAATGAGTGTATGTTTTTTCTCTATGAAAATATATATATATAGTAATAATACTTGCAAAAGGATTTTATTTTTATTATTTTTAAAATCTTTGCAAAACCACTTGAAAATGGTGAAATAGGGTGCAATTACTTGTGTGTGTGCCCATGTGGTGAAAACTGATTGTAGGTGACTCTTTTATCAATAAATTATTGTTTGTCAGTGCAAAAAAAATCTAGATATAAATATTTTTATTGTGTGTATATATATATATATATATATATTGGCACACATGATGCTAAAGGCTGGATCTGATCGAATATTATTGGCACACATGATGCTGAAGGCTGGATCTGATCGAATATTAGATGTAATATACGTTAATAAACAGAACCAAAATCTTTGTTCTGAAGATATAAGACATGTGATAGACTCGTTGGTATGTAATGGTAGTATTTATGATTTAATTTCACATGCCTAATGGGATGAAGACCGTGTGTCATTCAACGCCTTTAGTGGCCTAGCTATACCTACGAGAGAAACAAAATGCCTCAATCATTATTAGATCACAAATTTTTAAATGGAAAAAACATATATTATAATACACAAGATGACGAAAAAAATTTCATAGGAAAATCAACAAGGGAATATAATTATGTAAAGAATCTTATGGGTGGCCTAATCATTTATCATCATCTGACCCAGGCCATTTGAAATGTCAAACCTTATAACGTGGTTCATGCAATTGGAATAGGAGAAAGGAAAGGAACGAGGGAAAGGGAATTTAAAAGAAGGGAAGAGAAAACAATTTTTTTTTTTTTTTTGTTAAGAAGAAAATGGATGGAAAATTGGAATGATTATTGATTTTTTTTTTTTTCTTTTTTTGAGTAAATTTCACTTATCTATTTTTTAAAAAATTTATCAATATTTTATATAAGTTTCTCTACGTTTCATAATTTCACTTACCTCCTTCGCAAATAATTTTTTTATCGTTTTGTCTATTAAATGTTTGTTGTCGTTTCATAGATTAGAAGGGTAAAATGATTAGGTAGAAAAAAATCTGTTACATCAATCAGAACTTCAGGTGGTATTAAATGTTTGTTGTCATTTCAGATATTATAAAAGTAAAATGATTAAGTAGAAAAAATTTGTTACATAAATCAGAACATCGTAAGGGGGGGTCTCTGGGAGTGGAATTTACCAAAAAAAAAAAAAAAACTCATGCACTTATTTCTTTAGGTTTTGTTTGGTTAGGTGGAAACAGGTAGAAAATAAAAGAAAGATAAAAATTTTAAACTTTTTTAGAGTTTTAATAGATAGAAAGAAAAACCTACGATTTCGTTTGGTTAGATAGAGTCAACTGGAAAAGAAAGGAAATAGAAAATTTTAAATTTTTTTTAGAGTTTGGTTAGATAAAAAATGAAAAGTTCTAGAAAATTAGGATTCTTGTAATCCTTTATTTTCTTCAAAATGTTTCCTTCACAAAACACCGGGAAATTTTATTTTTCCATTAAAGCATGTCTTTTTATTTAGTATACCTATTTTATTCAACAACTTCATTAATATTATTTTATCCAACAACTCCATTTTATATTGGGAAACAACAACAATTTTTTATTATGTTTCAAAGAATTGGAGTCCACTAACAATTTTATCATTGATAAATTTTTAATTAACTTGATTTCCATTCTTAGTTGTTTTTCATCATATATGAATAATAGTAATTCAAAAGGTCAAAATTAATTGAAAATTTTATTATTTTTTTAATATGTTTTATTACTAATTCTTTATTATTTTATTATTTTATAAAATAAGAGTAATTTAGGTATCCAAACTATAATATGATATTTTCCTACAATTTTATTGAAGAAATTTTCATCCTAACCAAATACATTCTAGAAAATCAATTTACTTTTCATTCAATTTACTTTTCTTTTCATTTTCCATTTCTTTTCCTTTCTTGCTATTTCCATCTAACCAAATGGAGCCTAATGGAAAATTTAGCTTTCCTCATTGAGTATTTTCCCTCAAAAAAATTCTCTAATTTTTTATTTTTTATTTGTTTATCTTAAACTAATAATTAGTTTTACTTAAGAAAATTTTATAAAACCTTATTATAAATATAAATAATATAAATGAATATAAGCAATTATAAATTTGAATTTAATAATCCATCATTTTACTTTATAAGGATAGTTTTGGCATGCATAATCATTTTCTTTTCACTTTCATGCTATCCAAACTAACAAACTAATATTTTTTTTCGATAAATTTTCATACTGACCAAATGCATGCTGGAAAATCTCTTTTCTTTTCATTCATTTCACTTTCTCTTTCTTTTTTTTTCTTGCTTATTTCGATCTAACCAAACAGAGCCTTAGATAACAAAGAAGGGAAAATAAAAGAAAATTTTAAAAATAATAATAAAGGAATAAAAACCTATTATTGTCCTTTCATTGAATGATAAAAGGGAGTTGATGGAATTTCTCTCTTCTCATTTCTCTTCTCTCATTCAAAACACTAATTTTAGCAACTAATTTTTTTTTTTTTATTATTAAAAACTAAAAATTAAAATGACATTGAAATGCTAATATAACTAAAATCTCATTAAAAAATAATAATAAAAGAGAAGAATTTCTAGAAATCTAAAATCTTGTAGTTGGAGGAGCATTCCCAAACTTTAATATCAATTATTTAGTACAAGAAATTGAAATGATTAAATCTTCCTTCTTCTTTTTTCTTCAGTTGATATTTCATAGCTTAAAATATAATGAAATAATGTCAAGCAAGAGGAAATTATATTAAAGTCTTCTTCAACTTTTGATTTGGAAAAATACACAGTTTTTTTTTTTTTTTTTTCACCTTCAGATTATTTGTTTTATTTTCTTCAAATCAAGGAAATGGTTCAAGAATGAAAAGACTGCGATTGGGGACTAAGTATAAATTTAATTTTATCTTAATTTTGAAAAAAAAAACTTGTCACTCTTGACCCCAACTAATTTTATAGGTATATCAAACACTCTTAACAGACATACATGTCATATGTTACTGTGAGCTGCATTGCCATCACAAAAATCACTAGTACTCTCTCTAAAATATATTATAATTTTATTGTGTTATTATTTTCTTTTTCTTTTTCTTTTTTTTTTCTCAAGAAAAATATTTTTCCGGTACAGTTATTTTATTATTTTCCCTGCTTAGACTACCTTTTTTACAGTTGTTTTCTATATGTTTTTTGTTTTCAAATCCACATTGACACATGTTGTACACCAACTCCATGAAAGTGTTGTGTTTTTACTTGTGTTGGCTTCTAATACATGATATTGCAGATATATCAACATGGTTTTGTTTATACAAGATTATGTTTTTACTTGTGTTGGCTTCTAATTGTATGATACAGCAAATATACCAACGTGGTTTTGTTTTATAGAAGCAATTTTGTTCTGATCTAAAATGTTGTGTCTGTAAGCTGCATAGTCCAAACAAAGAATAATATCTCAAATAGATCGTTACAATCCACCCAATCAGTATCACAATTTAATGTTTTATGATAAATGATCAATCCATCTAAAAAACAGTGGGCCATAGTGATTGAACAACTGAACCATAGTTTTATTAGTGGGGGACTTATACTCGTACAAAAGTAGAGGCAAAAAGGACAAACATGACCTTGCTTCACTACCAAGAATCCTCTTCAAAATCTTTTTCATTTTCACATTGAAAAGCTTTAACAATTTGCCTTCAAATGAAAAATACTAAACATAGATCTTGCATAATCTAGTGGCAATATTATATATAATTGATTAACTCAATGACTCATGTCATATATAATGGGTATTTAATACATTAATATCTCCTGTTCGTGGAATCGATTTAGTGTTATAGCGTTCAATTGAATCTTAAATCTCGATTCTTAAAATTGAATCAAAAATTTTAAGAATTTGATATGTGTGAAATTCGATTTATTTCAAAGAGTAATGATAAGCTGACTGAAAACCGTTCTTGTGTGGGATCCAGATTCGATTGCCTCTCTTCTGATAGTCAGTTAAACATGTATACACTATAAAACTTAAAAAACATATAAAATGGGGAGATTTTGTTTGTTGAGGTCCAACTAATTGCCTTTCATAAAGGTTCTTAGTCTTGGAATTGAATAAGATAAATTTGATTAATTGCTATTATATTCATTTAACTGATAAATTAAATAATACTTTTTTTCTCAATTTGTTGATTTTGTGTCTCTCTCTTTGTTTTTATTCACTTTTTTGTGGGTTAAAGAATGGAAACAACACAGCTTTATGCTCCTATGTTCTTTAGCAGTAATCTATTGCTAATCTGTACAACAGAGGGCATAAAGCATTGGCTTCAATGGGTCCCAAATATGATGCCATCTTGACTCTTTAGTCTTGACCCAGCAACCACCTTCTTCTTTACGCGGCATAGCACGTGCAATACGAATGTTACTGCAAAATCATATATACATATACATATATATATATATATATATAGAGAGAGAGAGAGTCAGAGACACAGAGACAGACATATCCTTGGAAGGTTTGTCAGAATCTTGGTACCTCCTTTTTGCTAAAGAAACTGCAGAAATAGACTGCTTAAGAGTAGAAGATGATCTTTTTTATCAAGTTGGGCCTGTCTGTCCAATATGACAAGTGACTAAAGAAGCATGACCCATATTATTAGCCTAAAATTAAAGTCACCAAAAGGCAATCTGGAAAGCATTCGATTTATTCCTTTAATTTATTATTATTACTATTATTTTTTTATTTTTTTATTTTAGGCGATTCTTTGACGGTAAAATAGTTCCATTGTGACCCCATTAGAAATAAGAAAATAGTCTCTCTATCATCTAACCCTTTCTATATCCCGAAATGGCAAGCTTAATAAGTATAGACTCAACATCACTATAAAAAAAAAACCACTTGTCATCTAAATGGTTCACATTTTATAATTAATTTTTTTTTTTTAAAAAAAAGAAGTCGCTTTTTTAAAAAATAAAAAATAAAGATTTTATATATTGGATCCATTGCTGAGAAAATACAATCTTAAAGCAAAATACCTATCCATTTCAAAAAGGAATGGGATCTTTCAAAACACCATTGCTTTTTTTTTTTTTTTTCTTTCTTCATTGCAATGTCACTCAGTTGATGGGCCACAATAACAGCTTCTCTGGATGCGTAAAGAACTATCAAAGAAGTGGAGTGGGCCCTCTGTGTCATGGCCCACAAAATTAGTACAGCTAAAATAATACACAGGTGAAGCCCAATTGTTTTGCATGAACATATAGCTCTATGTGAAGGCCGCAAGCCCAATACCTAGCCCAGCCTATTTGGATCTACAGGCTAACCCACGGACTCCCACCACTTCTTCCCCAGTCTGATCCATAACATTCTCTCTCTCATTTGATTAAATAAAACACTGGTGTGAGATGAAGTTTGACTTAGCCCAAATAAAGATCCCATCTAGCGTTGCTGTCAGTTCAACGATTAAGGAATCGATTCGGCTTTAATATCAATGATAACAAATTGGGTGCTTTGCAATTTGATCAAGAAAACTAACACGTAATTCATATATAACCATTTACTTCTCCCTTGGAGTATGATGTGGGACAAGTTGTACTCGAACATATATATATATATATGTGTGTGTATATGCATGCGTGTATCTGTAAATAAATATATATAGATGTAGGAGCAAGTAGGGCAGGCAACTTTCCCAAGGTCACATACAGCCAAGGGTAGTAAGTAATAGTAGATGCCAATGCAAACCCGTAAACCCCTCTCCTCGCTCACAAGTCACAACAACGTGATGGAAGCTGCTGGCAACCTTCTGATCACCTGCAGAAACCGTGCGGACAAGCCAGCGAATACACAGCTGTCACATGCATGCCACTCCCTAAAATATGTTCCAAGTGTAACCTCCTCTCCCTTGTCACGTTTACTAGCTACAGCCTACACCCACCCCCATTCTCCTCTATAAGTACCACCATCCACTCACCATCTCATCGTCACTCTCTCACTTTCTCTCTCTAAATCTTAAGCCATCAAGATGAAGAACTTCTTCTTTGTCACTCTCCTACTCTTCACTCTCCTCCTTAGCTCCTCTTTCCTTCAATCCACCATGGCCACTCCATGTAAGACCCATTCTTAACCCATCTACCAATTTACACTGTATATTATTGCTTCTCCTTCATTGCTATATGTGTCTGTATATATATTAGATTACTAATGCATGTGGGTTTTTTTTTTTTTTCCTTTTTTTTTTATATTTAAAAAAAGGATGTTATTAATGTGATGAATAATGGTGTTTGTTTTGGTGGTGGTTGTGAAGTGTTTTGTGGAAATAAGTGCAAGGACAGGTGCAAAAGAGCTGGGGTGAAGGACAGGTGCTTAAAGTACTGTGGGATTTGCTGTGCAGAGTGCAAGTGTGTTCCTTCTGGGACTTATGGGAACAAGCATCAGTGCCCTTGCTACAGGGACAAGCGCAATTCCAAGGGCAAGCCCAAGTGCCCTTGATTAATTAATAATACCACACACACATATATATATATATATATATGTCCTAGATCTAGAGATATATGTAAAAGACATTATTATTTTAGAAGTTTAAAATGATGTTGTTTTAGAAATCATTTGATTTTCTATGATATGTGACCCAGATGGGGGTCCTCTAGTTTTTCTTGTAGTACAGTGGTGTTCATGGTGTATTGTGTGTGTAACTGTGTATTCAACTAATGTGCCAAATAAATACTAAATAAATACTAGCAGTTGGTTTTCTATGATAACTTACTGCTCCATTTTAGTAACATTTTTTTAATGGGAAAATGATAAAATAAGTAGATGTTTTATTTTTTCCTCTCAAGAAGAGGTTTTTCATCTTTCTTCTTTACAATTTTTTTATTTTTTTGGAAGTTAAACCAATTACATTTCCTTTTCTCTTGTTTTTCCTTCTAGCTACCAAGGAAGAGAAGTACTCCTAAAAAAAGATTTGTAAAATTTAATTTTTATTTCCTGTTTTGGTTTCCTTTTTACATTTAGCTCCTTGGAACACTCTAGAACGTACTTAATTAAGCGTAATAATCAAGTATGATCCACCCATTGCAAACTGTAAAGAAATTGAATGACACCTGCAGGACATAGACCTCGGACCTCGGTCAAATCAATCTTGCATTCATCTTATTGTTGGAGCAGCATTTGAGAGTTCAAACTTTGTATTGTGAAAATATATATATATATATATATATATATATATATATATAGTTTGCTCAACAAAACATAATCTTAAATTTTTTATTAGATACTATAAATGGCAATTGATAATAAGCTAACATGCAAATAAGAGTTCATTAATTTAGAAGAATCATTCGAAAATGATGGGTTAAATGATGACTTAATTAATCTTGTTGAAGGCCGAGTTGAAAGATCTTCACCCTCTTTAGGTTCACAATTTACATATATATATATTATCATCCTATTGAGTTTATAACAATATTAAAAATTAACTAAATAATCATCATTCATTTGTCGGGCAAATAAAAAAAATAATTATTTGTCAACTGTCCAGCAATTTTTTTTTTATTTTTTATTTTGGTTTTCAAGTCAGTGGAGTGGACATAAATATATTATGAAGAACTGTCGGTGGAGGTAGCACGACATTTAGCAAAAGGTCGGTCCAAAAACTACAACTTCAATATTTATGTATTAGCTTTGGCATTAGCTCGTGTGGGTCTAAAGATTAGGATTAAAAACAGTGCATTTGTTTTTAAGCAAAATTAATAATAAAATTTTGTGATGTTTAACTTTGCATCTCAATATTTTTCTAATTTATTAAAATAGATTCACTATAATATTTTTCTAATTTTTCTAATTTATTAAAATAGATTCACTATAATATCGGATTTTTATTAGAAAGACTGATGTTGATCTCTCGTGAATCCATTAAATGTTTCAAAGTTTGTATGGGTGAGAAAGAAATCTAAGTTGACATTCATATGAAGTAGATTTTGCAAACTTTCATATAGTGTTTATTTTTTTCGAAGACGAAATAAAAAATTGCATTGTGCGGCATTGATGTTTAGATTAAAAAAAGCTATAGGCTTGGAATCCAAACAGACTTTTCTATGGTGTTCATTTTTTCGGAAAAATTCATAGTGATGCGATTTTGGTGGGAAAAAAATCTAAACAAATATGTTAATTTTTAAGAAAAGTATGTGTTTGTAAGAGGTTTGGTGGAAGAAAAAATTTAAGAATACTCAGTTCATAATAAAATAATAATTAATAGCAAATTGTAAAGGATGGATAACTCGCAACATAGGAGTAGTAAAATCTGAAATAGATTGAGAGAGGTTGGCCCGCAAAGTCAAGAAAAAAAAGGTTTTTTCATTTGATTGTCTTTTCTGTACAGTTTTTTTCTTTTTCTTATTTTTGTATAAAAAAAAAAATTTGTGCATGATTATGTCTTTTGGGTAGTGGCGGTGAATCGTGTTTGAGTTATAATTGTGTCGTGTTGATATAAGAGTATTATACTAACTAGATAAATTTAAACTCAGCCTATTTAAAAATCGTGTCAATTACACTCAATATTAACCCAACCGTTTATTAAACTGAAAAACGTGTTAACATGTGTAATGATTTTTTTAATCGAAATGAGACATTTAATATTTAATTAAATAATAAATAATAAATTTTTTTTTTTTAATTAATCTAAATTTTTAAAATAAGAATAAAAATAATAAGGCATATATATAATTTATGTTGAAATAATTAACTATTCGTAGTGATTGAGTTTAAGGAAGGAACATATTAGATAAGTTACATTCAGGATTATAACATGTTGTATTAAACGGGTTACACAGTTAAATCCTTCAATTATAGCCCGACATGATTAAATAAATGGATTAATCATGTTAATCCGTTTATAACTCAAGCTCGTTAAAAGTCAACCCAAACCTGTTTATCTCATGTTATATTGACAAGTAGTGTCGTAATTTGTCACTCCTAGCTTTTAGAGTTCACCAAATAGACACACGTCAAATAAATAAATAAATAAATAACAAAAAAGGTTGTAAAACCTATAAACGGCGTCGTGATTCCTAACAGAAAACAATTGCCCTCTTCGTCTCTCCCCGAATCTCATTTCTAGTTCATTTTGAAATTCTGAAGTAGCAGCAGGGAGATCTTCAGCGATTTATCCAATGGAGCATCCAAAAGTTCAAGAGGTAGGAGATTACTGATTCCTTTTTTTGACTCTCTCTCTATATGTATAAATACATGTATATCTTACTTATACATGCATTTTCTCTGATCCTAAATTCGCAGATCCTAGAGAAGCAAGTCCTGTCAGTGGTCAAAGCCGTGGAGGACAAGATCGACGACGAGATCGCAGCCCTTGATCGGCTTGACGACGACGACCTCGAGGCTCTCAGAGAGCGAAGGCTTCAACAGATGAAGAAAATGGCCGAGAAGCGAAGCCGTTGGATCGCCCTCGGCCACGGCGACTACTCCGAGATCCCCGCCGAAAAGGAATTTTTCTCCGTCGTCAAAGCCAGCGAGCGTGTCGTCTGCCATTTCTATCGCGAGAATTGGCCTTGCAAGGTAAAATTCTCCCTCATCTCTTGTCAATCTGGGTTTCAAGTTGGGTATTTTGCACTCAAAATACATTGTTTGGATACTGAGAAATTTGCAGAATTAGAAAAAAATAAAATGAGTATAGAGTTAAGCCTAGAATATTTCCTTATTCTTATAATTCAATGGAAAGTATTATTGTTGATTGTTTGCAAAGTAATATTCTCTCTGATTTAGGGTAGAACAACGAAGTAAAATGTTGTTAGATGCAATGGAGTGTGTTGTATGCGAAAGGGAGAGGGATATGAGAATTTTTATGCATACATACATGGATAACTATGTAACCACACTGATATGTGTAGCCATTTATGCATGTTTATGTGTCTAGCAACCTTGACATTATTTTGGGTTGATCTACTAGTTAAGTTTTAAATTTGTATCAGGAAACTCATGCTTTGAGTATGTAAGTGATTTTATGGAGTGGGCTGGAATCTGTTGGACTTGCATTGAAATGCGAAAAGATTGTCAAATTATGGACTTTTGTTTGGTGACTTTGAAATAAAAAAACAGATATCAACATACTCACAACTAATGATTTTTGTAAATTAATAATGCATGAATCTAGAGAACTTAAATTATAAATAACTCAAAAAAGTATCAGTTTCCGACACGATATCCTACATGGACACAACACCTCCTTAGAAGTGTCCGTATTGCTTAGCCTTAAATTCCTCTTCTTTGTGTCATACTTCCATTCCTACAACTTTCCATAATTTTTACTTATCGAAGCATTAGATTTCCTTCATATGTTAGTAGTTCAGCTAACATGTAAATATTTTTTTAGATGAATTTATAATAAAATTGGAGAAAGAATGCCATTGGCATTCCCACAATAACTAGTCTAATTTGTTGTACTTTGAAAATTAATTCAAAATTATTTTCCATACTTCATACCCAATTAATTTTTGCATACTTCTTGATTTTAATATTGTTGCCAAGTTTAAATTTAGATATTGTAGATTATTACTTGTTTGGTTGATGGGATGTCTGGATTAAACTGGTATTGTGGAGACCGGAACTGGTTGCTGTTTATTGAATGTGTCTTATTTTTATCTTACAAATGTTAGGAAGCAGGGGACCCTATAGATTTGTGTTCCTATTCAATTATCAAATTAATGACTTTTTTTTATTGCTGGTAGCTGGAAGTTGGCGGTATGTAGTGAGTATTCTCATTTATTAAAATAATAAATAATAATGTTGTGAAAAATCTCTTATGTATTTGAAAGGGGAGGAGCATACAGATTTGTGCTGGGGTTGTGTGTATTGTGGACCCGCAGAGTTTGGGGCCCAGAATGTTATAAATTGTTATGTTCTTAAATTAGTTAAGATACGAAGTGTTATGATTATTTTGGTGTTCCACAACAACCTTCCTGTGGGTTCCCATCGTTGATTTTGATTGATTTTTGGGCTTGGGGTGGGGTGTTCATACTTTATTGCAATGTATTCTTTGTGTGTTCTAATTTATAACATTCATCTTATAATCCAGAACGCCTCCCAAGAAAACTTTGTTTTTTAATTTTATTATGAATAGATTTAGGATAATCTTGTAGTATTAAATATGGTAGTTTTCTTTCTTGGTCCTTTGGCTGGAAAACAATACAGCTGAAAGGTGCCGTCTCTGTTTATGTTTAGGGATGGCTTAGACGTCGCCCGTCTGTCGTTAGGTTAGTTTATATATGAATAAGTATTTGTAATACCTGAAAGCCAATTCCTGGAGGATGAAAGACCACTTCTTTTAAAGCCATTTCTATAAAGGTATATATGGATATATCTTTTAATATTTGAGGGTTGTGAGATACTCACACCCATCATTTAAGTTAGCCAATACATGCTCTTCAATTGCTTGTCTGTGTAAAGGTGTATATGGATTTAAGTGGGCAAGTAACATCTATGCATTCACTTAAGAATTTTATTAATTTCCTGGCGTAGGAAAATATGTTTTCTAATAAATTCGAAGTTGTTGGAGAAACAGTGTTGTGTGTACAGTTTCTTTACAGTGATGGACAACTGCTTTTTTTATGTCAGGATATTTATCAAATATCAGACATTCCTGTTTAGATGGTCTACAGCTACTGCCTGATCACTTGGTTATGAATTACCCTTAACTGTGTGTTATCAATATCTCTATATGTGATGCATTGAGACAATCTTTCCCTGTTTCAATTCTTTCTGGGTAAGAAGTTAACTGAACTGAATAGATTATTTTCATTTTTTTGGTTCATCATCCAGGTTGGTGAACTAAATCAGATAAGGTTTTTGATTGAGATATAGCGGATTATGTATTTGCAGTACAAAGATTGGTTTTCATTTCCTGTGTACACAAGATAGCGAGAAAGTAAACATGAGTAGGAGAGGCTGTTTCCCTAAGATTGGTTGATCAGTTTTCATGGGTTGAAGCAGGTTAATCAATAGATTGTCCTTGGTGGCACATATTCTAAAATAACTTTCTATCTTAATGCATTGTCTATAATAGCATCAGAATAACGGTTTAAGTGCGGCCTGAAAGTAGTTAATAACTTCCCTTGCTTGAGAGAATAATGTTCAATGTTTAATTGCAGGTGATGGACAAGCACTTGAGTATATTGGCAAAGCAGCATATAGAGACACGATTTGTGAAAATTAATGCTGAAAAAAGTCCATTCTTGGCCGAGAAGCTTAAGATCATTGTGCTTCCGACCCTTGCCCTTATAAAGAATGCCAAAGTGGATGATTATGTGGTATGTTCTAAGGAAGATTATACAAAGTTCCAAAAGATTCTTTAGGTTAAATTTTTACTTAATTTTAATGTTTTCTCGGATCTCAAATCCTACTTTATGCATATTAGGTGGGATTTGACGAGCTTGGTGCGACAGATGAGTTCAGCACAGAGGAACTGGAGGAGAGGTTGGCTAAAGCTCAAGTTATTATTTTTGAAGGTGAATCATCTCTAAAACCATCAAAGTTCAACACCAAAACGAGAAGCGTCAGGCAAAGCACAAATCCAGACTCGTCTGATTCGGAGTGAACACAGATTGCTACGGTTGTAATTCCTATTTCTGATTTGGAGAGAGTGCCTATTAGGTTTGCTGGCGACATCCCATCTTATATTTGGAGAAGTTGAGTTTCACCTGCTACACACAGGGTTGCAGTTTCTTGTGCAGATTGAGCTTGTTCGGATTTCAGAAGCATTATGTAATATTTATGCCATCACCATTAAAACTATCAATTCGATGGCTCTACTGTTATTTTCTGCTCTAGTGTAGAATACAGCATCTCTTTATGAATTTTAGTGTTCCAATATCTTGGATAATTTACTTGTTCTTTTCCTTTTTCATTTTTTCATTTTTTCTTCTCCTCCTCTCTCTCTTCTGTCCACACAATATCTTTCATTTTTTATTTTTTTTTATTTTATGATAACAAAGTGGAGTGTGAGAAGTTGTTAGAGTTCTAAATCAGCTCTCGATTTCAATGATATAAAACCACCAGAAACAAATGACATGGTGCTCAACTTGATTGGTAAAATAAATGTTGTTTCTGCCAAAAGTTTCTTGAACTTTTCAAAATCTCATTTCACAACTTGAAGTAATTTATCATAGCTTATTGGGTGAATAAAGTTTTATTTTTATTTTTATTTTTATTTTTATTTTTATTTTATTTTATTTATTATTGGCAAAAAATACACACTAATCATACACTCATTTTGCCCCTTTAAAAACTCCATTCACTTTGTGTGGTGAAGAACTAGGACACAAGACCCTTGATTCGGGTGAATAAAGTTTGAATTCCAACTTAAGGGATATTTGTGGTTGCAGATGTTTGGGCTTTACCTAAAATAAAATTAAAAATAAAATTAAAAAGTTATTTGTCCTCCAAAAAATACCTCAATTGCTCCATTCGTAATTTTTAATAAATAAAACGACAAACCTAACATTCAACTAGACATTTTATCTTCCTTTATTTTATTTCCTCTGTTCTATAACTTTCTATCTCTCTACTCCTCAACATTTATGACAAAGGATAGGCTAAAAAAAATTGCAAAAGATGGATTTTATTTGAACTACTCATTTTCAAATGATATTTAAATTATACTATTATTATTTTATTATTGTATCTTCGTCGTATTCTATTTTATTTTTTAAAAATTTGTCATATCACAATGTCCATATCATATCACACTCATATCCTGCGTCCATACTTTATAGAATATATCTATAGGACTCTTTTAATTTATTTAAAAATCACATAGTTTTATATTAAGATGAAAGTTTAAGATTCATTATATATTTGTTATTTCATCTATTAAAAGAATATAAGTGGAGTTTTTTTGTTTTGAAGTGTGAATATCATCTCTTTAAAGTGTTAAAAACTTAAAATCACAAAACCCCGTGCTTTCAAAATTGAATTATGCATAAATTTTGTCCTTTGATATATGATATAGGTATTTATATGTCCAGATACAAATATACGTTTATATTTGTGCGCATAGTATGTACATGTTGGAAATAAGTGCAAGAAATCTTAAGCTTTACTAAAGAATTTCTTGTGGATCCTTATCAAGTTGCCCCCATATTTGTGAGGGGCTTGTTAACTTGGTTGTGAAATGACAAAATTGGCCTTGTTATTTAATCTTAAATTAAAATATTGAAAATTCATATTTTTAAATTACAAAAATAATAAAGGACCATTAAATAATGCTAAATTACAAACGTACTTAAAATTACAAAATTATTATTTAATGTTAAATTATAAAATTAAAATTTCTATTTTAAAATTACAAAAAAATATTTTTAAAAAAATTATTATCAATATTTTAATTTAACATTAAATAGCAAGGTCATTTTTGTCATTGCACAACCAAAATAACATATACAGTGCTTTATTATATGGGAGCAACTTGATAACTTTTCTTTTTTTCTTTTTTTTTTTTACCTTTGGAAAAAAAAAACTTGATAACTTTTTTTAGTTCAGAATTTTTTTAAATTTTATTAGAGATTTTATGCATAATTTTGAAAATACTGGAGATTTTGTGATTTTAACTCTTAAAATAATAATAGCATGAAGTAGCCTTTGGTTTTCTATCTATATACCAATTGTCAAAAGGACCGAGCGGGCTGACGTCAAGCCCAAGACCCATATAAGGCCCGAGCTTTGGAGAAAGGTTTCGACCCACCACGGCCCGGCCCACCAATCGTGCAACTCCGGAAGAATCACGATCCATCTACGCCGCTTGCGCACAGTAGCGGCAAATGAAGCCCTATGCTAGCTATTGCGCGACATTGGGACCGATTTAGAGGACGAACAACTCAGACCTCTCCCTCTCTCATCGGCGGTGAGAGAAAGTCTCGGTAACACCAAAGCAGAGCGACTATATCCACCAACCTCCCTCCCTTTATTCAACTTTCAACACCTCGAAATCTAAGCTTCTGAGCTCAACAACCCTAGCACCTCTCTCTCTGTTCTCTGTCTGTATACATATTTATGGGATAATTGCAGAGGATATCACATTGAAGATAAACATAAGGTAAGCTTTTAAAATCATTTCTCACTCGTATTTTTAATGCGTGTGTGCATATATATATGTATATATTGTTTATGATTTGCTCGGTTGTAGGTAGAGAGCATATGAGGAAATAATGAGAAATGGGTGTTTTTGGATAATATTTTTCTGGGACTCGTGCACACTTTAGGTCAGTTTTTTTGAATTCCAGAATAGATGTCTAGTTTTTTTTTTTTTTTTTTTTCCCCTTTAATTTTCTTGGAAATTAAATACATGAATGTTAGGGTTTTTTTTTTTTTTTTTTTTTTTTTTTTTTTTTAAATGTTCTTCAGGACAGTAGTAGCAGTATTTTTGTGTTGTGTGGTGTAATCTGGTTACAAGATTGTTGTTATCCGGTATTGGATGGTGTAATTTGGTCATTTAGGTAAGAACAGTTGACAGAAAAAACACTCGGTTCCGAGTTTTTTTTTTTCTTTTTTCTCGAAAGTTCAAGCAAACCCACACCCACTATATATTTTTGCCAGCACGGGGCTCGAACACTCAATCTTCCTAAAGGGAAGGAGAGCTTATACCATCTAGCTAGAGCCCATTGGTACCTAGGTTCCAAGTTTATTCACATGAGGTTCTACTGAACTTGAGTTTGTACTTGCCTATTTTATAGGGACTTGCAGATGGTGATATTGAAAATTTGCAGGGAAAAATGTTGAGGTTTAGAACGTTGTAGAGATGAGTAAAATAAACCATAAAATGAAGAGTTAGTTTTGCCAGTCAGTGACAAGATTTTAGTGGCGCTGAGTCCATAATTTACAAAATCACAATAGAGAAATTTGCGTGTGATTACGTAATGAGTGTACCCTCACATGTACATAATGAGAAAACTACAATCGGTATGTGTGACAGTTTACATTGTGATAAATGTCTAGAACAATTCAACATACTTCCATGGATGTTGAGTAAAAAAATAAACATTATTCCTGCCCTAGGTCTCATGCTTTTAAACTGGCTTTCAACTCTGGTTGCTGCGGGCTTGCTGGGCGCATTCGGAATTTCTTGTAAAGTTAGAGCTCAAGGAAACAATCGATTTCCCTTATTCTTAAGTGGCTATGCTTCTATCTTTAGTTAAATATCATTTACTTATTATGTCATTATATTTAATTTCATTTTTTTTTTTTCATGTTGACAACAAAATGCAAGTCTACTAAGTTCCCTCTTCTCATGAAGCATTATTTAAAGTTGTCTAAGGTTCAACTCCTCTTGGGTGCAAACAATTTCTTGGAGGGGGGGTGTGTGAGGATCAATTAGGAAAAAAAAAAGCATTATTTAAAGCTATTATGTTAATAAACTAACTCTCCTGTTATGGAAATTGTGATATAATCTCTTTGTTTGTGTTGTTACTTGTGTACCCATGCCTGTGTTTCTGTCAAGGCCTATGTTACATGGACTCGAGTACGTGTGTCGGGTATGAGTATGCATCCATGTGTCAAATCTCCACACAGAAGGACACATAGACAATGCTAAATATTCATTTTATTTTCTAAAATGAAATAATGTATTTATGTAAATATTTAATATAGGTATTTCACTCATTTTGAAGCAATAATTTTAAAAAATTGAATTATTGAAATTTTCTTTTTTAGGTACATGTTCATCGAAAAGTGTCAAAAACGTATCCCATACGCATGCCTGAGTGATCTGTATAAAAAATGGGTGCTTCACCTACTTTCAAAGCGTCCATGTAAACATAGGAAAAGACAAGTGCAAAGAAGCATTTTCTTATTATTTGTAGATGCAATCCTAAAAAGATCTTTGACTGATGAAAATAATCTTCCACTAGTTCTGTTGCTAAACTAGTGACAGCCCTAAAAGAGTGAATGTTTCCTAATGTGCCAAGATCACGGAAGATCTGTTGGTTTAGGATTTGAAATGAAAGAGAAAAGGTTGCACCTTTTTTAGGGAAAAGAGAACATTTGATTAGGCTTGAATTGATGGTGAAAACTTCATGGTGGTTTAGAAAATAACTTGCTGGAACTATTTGCTTGAAATGTAGAACATGTGTTGCTGAAACTAATTTAAATGTGTTGGATATTCGGGATGTTTATAGGGCAGGGTTGGAAATAGGGGTTGGGGAATTGAAGTTGAAGGATGGAAGCTGAAGGCAAATAGTGGTTAATTTGTGATTAAAACAATAAATTGTGCTTGAGTGTAAAGAAAAAGAAGTCCAAATGTCTACGTGTAGAGTTACTTAGGTTTTATTTTCTATTGCAAATCTGGCTTCAAGGACTGCTAGAAAATTCTCTCCACTTATGTTCTACTTAATACAATAGCAGTTTATTAACCTAGAATAAATATTAATTGACACTTGACCCTAAACGGATCACTCCAAGTGTGCCTTATATGAAGCTTCCAATTTACTCCTTTTCTTGTTAAAATGCTCTCTCTCTCTCTCTCTCTCTCTCTGAGCTTGTTCCTTATTAGGTGAGGTAAATTATTTATTCATCATGCTCTTTTCATGTCCACTGCAGGTGTATGGAGTTCATTACAACAACACCAGAACTACGTGTATTATCTCTTTTATTTATTTATTTATTTATTTTTTTCTGTTGCTATTATCTGGGTGAAATCATTCTAGGAAATTTGGTATTTAGTTGAATATTTATTTTGATCGGTTTTCCTCTCTGTAAGTCTTAGCATGAGTATGGAAGTATCTACAACACGAGAAAGCAGTGAGGCCGAAAAAATCTCAAGCCCTAAACGAACTATGTCAGAACTAAATAATGAATTTAGTTGGAGAAGTGTATGCAGTGAACCGCTGGAACAAAAAGTTGATATTGCCAATGAAAATGTGCCAAATGGACCTGCAAAAACTGCGACTACAGAATTCAATTGTGTTGGTATTGAACAATTGAGACCAGTTCCTGAAGAACTGACTACAAATTCAAGCCGTGAACAATTAAAATCAGCAGCAGAAGATGCCACCATGGATTCTAATCTTGGACAGTTTGAATTACTACCTAAAGATGCTATTGGGGGAATTCCAACCCCTAAACAAACTACATCAGAACTAATTCCTGAATTTGGTTCTGAAAGTCTACAAAGTGAATCAGTAGAACAGAAACAGGTGATTGGCTCTGAAGATTTTCAAAATAGACAAGCAGAAACCAGGATGGCAGACTCCGACTGTATGGATGTTGAACAATCAGGACTGCCTCCCGAACATGTGACCGGAAGTTCCATGCAACCAGATGTTGAACAATCGGGAATGCCTTCTGAACATGCCACTGGAAATTCCAGCTGTGAACAATTGAGATCACCACCACAAGATGCGGCCATGAAGTCTTGTCTTGAGCAATTGGGGTCCCCTGAAGATGCAGCAATGAATTCTAATCTGGAACGATTGGGACATCCACCTGATAGTGCGTCCCAAAATCCTTGCCTTGAACAAATAGGATCATCACTGCCTGATGCAGACAAGAATCCCTGTGAGTTGGAGCATAGGGATAAACGAACTTCTGCAAAATCAAGAAAAGGAAAATATGCAGTCAGTCCTTCAGTAGGGTGTAACAGGGTTTTGCGCTCGAGGTCACAAGAGAAGCCCAAAGCTCAGGAGCCTGTTAATACTTTGGCAGAACATGGTGCTAATGAAGAAACGAAAAAGAAGAAGAAGAAGAAGAAGAAGAAGAGACAAGAAAAGAGAACTACAGTAAATGAGTTCAAAAGAATCCGGAATCACCTAAGATACTTGCTATGTAGAATGAGCTATGAGCAAAACTTGATTGTTGTTTATTCTGGTGAAGGCTGGAAAGGACAAAGGTTTGTGCTGCACTGGAAATTGGTCTATTATACTTTTTGTGACACTTCTGTTGTGGAACTGCTGTGTCATTGTAATCCCAGATCAATATTTTTCATGATAGTTAACCTGATCCCTTGTGTCTTCACATTATTAATTGCTTTGTTTGGATGTTGGAAAGAGTGAGAACTAATTTGGAATAGTATTATTCTTTGGAGTTAGATTAGTAACTTTGTTCATATCTCACTAGTTTCTATCTTCTTGTTGATGAGTCTAAGTTTAAAGGTCCTGAGTTTGGTGCTTACAAGGTGGCATGATTTTGTTTTGTTTGTTTTACTTTGAAATGCTTATTACGATTTAGAGAATGTTAATAACAGATCTGCAGCATTTGAGTGGATTATTTTCTATGACATTTTTTAAAAATATTTATATTCCCAAACTTGTGTTTTTTTATTGTTCGCTGCCTCCTCTTCTTTCTTTTCCCCTTGTTTTGCCAATGAGTAAACATGCGTGAGCAGTAGAATATCATATTGATATTGCTTGCTATAAAAGCATAGTATCATATTTCTGGGAGTTTTGTTGGACTCCACTTATAGTCGAACTGCAGAAGTGTTGATATTCATTTCCACACCCGGTTGAGTGGATGAGATGCATCAGAAGATATTGGTATGATATCACTGATTGGTGCTGAATAAGACCATGAAAAACCAGGGATTACTGTTACTCCAAGGCATGTATAATTTAATATGCTTCTTTAGTTAGATTGTTAGGTTAAAAACAAGGGTTCAAAGGTTGGGGCATATTTGTGTCCCAGTTTTGACCAGAATTTTTCTTTGCTCTTGTTCTATTGGCTTTTCTGATGTGTGTTCTGCATTGCATTCCTAACAAAAATGAGCAGACTATTACAGCCCCACATGACTAGGGACATCTTAAATTAATGTCTAGGTAAAAAAATTCGCGGAGAATGATTCAGTTTTGATGTTAAACCAAGTCTTCACTGAGTTTCTGGCTAATTTGAGCTTTTTACCTTGTCTGATTCCCAATTTATCCCCAATTTTTATTCGGTAATTATTATGCCTAATTGTTGTTTCTTACCATTTTGATAATTTTGCAGCCTAGAAAAGGTTAAACCTGAGAAGGAGCTTGAACGTGCCAAGTCTGATATTTTCCGCCTCAAATTAAAGATAAGAGATCTATTTCAACGTCTTGATCAGTCATTTGCTGAGGGAAGGCTTCCAAAATCTTTATTTGATTCTGAAGGAGAGATCGACAGTGAGGATGTAGGAGATGCCTTTTGACCATAAACCGTGTTTACTCTTTACAACACTATTACTTCTAATAAGATGTTATTGTTTCTGACACATATAATAAGCAACCTGAACTAGCAATGCTTAGACATGTGTCTTCTTGTGGCAGATATTCTGTGCGAAATGTGGGTCTAAAGAGACGTCAGTTGACAATGATATCATACTATGTGATGGTGCTTGTGAACGGGGGTTTCACCAGTTTTGTCTGGAACCACCGTTGTTAAAAGAAGACAGTAAAATCCAATCCACTCATTTTATAGTAATATCTGGATTTCTTGTTTCTTGAGTTCATTTTCTGTTTTTTGCTTGGTGTATTTTACAGTTCCTCCTGATGACGAGGGCTGGCTTTGCCCTGGATGTGATTGCAAAGTTGACTGCATTGACTTGCTGAATGAATCTCAAGGAACGGATCTTTCAATTACCGATGGCCCGGAGGTCGGATAAAGAATACCACTCTTTGTTTATTTGGGTTTATTACAAGTTCATTACTTCCACATTGTGCATCAATTTTTTCCTTGTGCAGAAGGTTTATCCCGAGGCAGCAGCTGGAAATAAGCTGGACGATGCTTCTGGATTTCCATCAGATGATTCTCAGGATGATGACTATGATCCTGATGGTGCAGAAGTGGATGAGAATGTTCAAGGAGATGAATCAAGTTCTGAAGGATCTGAATTCTATTCCGCATCTGATGATTTTAGGGCTTCACCTGATAATGGGAAGTATTTGGGACTTCCTTCAGATGATTCAGAGGATGATGATTATGATCCTAGTGCTCCAGATCTTGATGAGCAGGTTAAGCACGAAAGTTCAAGTTCTGATTTTACATCTGACACTGAGGATTTTAGTGATGCAGTTGAGGAGAACAGATCATCATTGGACCAACTTAGGTCCAGTGGAGGCTCGGATGTAGAAAGATCTAAGCTGGAGGGGACAAAAGAACATCCTTTAAATGATGAGCTGTTTTCGCTGTTAGAATCGAATCCTGGCCAAAATGATTCGGCAACTATATCAAGAAAGAGGCATGTAGAAAGGTTGGACTACAAAAAGCTGCATGATGTGAGTTTTCGTACACAATAGAAATCTCATAACATGATCTTCATTCTAATTACATGCACGCACTGAATCTGAAGTAATATGGGGTTCATCCACAGTGCTTAAACATTGAATTAATGGACTTCAATTGTGTTCTTGTTTTCTTACTTGGTTTCTGCATCTACTATAGGTTTTTCACCAATCTATCATTAGCGTGCTGGTGAATATGTGCCTTTTCAATGGAGATTTTAAACATGTTCCCCTGGCCTCTGATCTTGCTACCATGTAGTATGCATTTCTATTTTGGTTTAACTGTATACCTGTTATCGTAGGTAATTGATGTGAGGTGTATGCATGGATGTTTACTATAAGCTATCTTTGACCTGACATTACCTATTGTAATCCTTGCTGCAGATGAAGAAATATATAATTTGCAGAAAGTTTTTAACTCCCAACATTGGCTCCTTCTACCATCATAATTCATAGCAATGCCAAAACCTTGATATGATATAAATGAATGTAAAAGTATGTAATTACTTGGCATAAAACACACATGCACATGCCTACCACTTCAAGCTGAAATCTTGACTAATGTCGAATATTGGTGATTGTGTTTGCTTCATGCTGTCTTGTTGTCATGGCTGCGTGTTGTATAGCTGCTTTTCTATTAGAAACGTATGCCGCACTGTGACCTGAAACCTTTTTTAATCTTTAGTTTTTTATGCAATTTGTTGTTCCTAGCTTGTGTGTGAGGGTAGAGGCTCATGTTTACATGATAGTATATTTGTTGCCTTCATGCAGTAATTTTGACATACTGATTGATCATTAACATTTTTTTACCTCGGAAAATCCAAGCAGCACTGTGGGCACTAATTATTAATTTTTTTTTTATTGCTGCAACGTCTTGTCTGCCTCTCAAATGTGTTTCCTTTGCAGATGGGTGTATTCAGTGTTTCCTTTGGGCTGTCACTGCACAGAATTGGAGATACTCTTGGTTTTTATATGTCATAGATCTTTCATGAATTACTTTTGATGTCTAAATGTCTGATCCATCTTGAATCTAGTCTTAAGTTTAATGTGCTAATGTTTGTAGGAGCATCTTTGCTGTGCTTTAAATGCTTATGCATTCTGCAGTTTTCTCCCTCTCCCTATTTTATTTTCTTGTTACTCATGATGTTTTTACGTAATCTTTGAAGTAAACTCAAATCTTGGCTCTGTTATGTTAGTTAATTTTTCCCTTCTCCTTCCTTGGCTTATCTTTTAATGATGCCCTGATACGTGAAGGAGACATATGGACACGTTTCTTCTGATTCAAGTGATGAAGATTGGATGGATACTGCTTCACCAAAGAAAGTGAAGAATAATTCTGGGGATGTTGCTTTGGTGTCACTCAATGGAAAGACTCCGCTTGTCAAGAACAGCGCTGAAGGTACAAAGTACAACCAGGAAGAGAGTGAACATACTCCTAAGAGAAGAGCTTCTAAGAGGTTAAGTGTTGAAGGCAGTAATAATTCACCAGCAACATCAAATAGAGGTTCTTCTCAACCTGGTTCTGGTGGTAAAAGTTCTTCAAGATCATATAAGAAACTTGGAGACACTGCCTCTCAGGTATTACAGTACTATCATTCAATTTTTGCTTCTTAATCAAGGCAACAAACTGTAGGCAAAATTAGCATCAATCTTCTAACAAATTTTAACTACCAGAGCGATTGCTTTGTGCAATGGTAAAAGCTCATGAGAATGTGAGTTTGCATCAAAGAGCAACCACTTCGTGTAAAATAGCACTGAAGGTTAGGGTTGTATTCAATCTACTTCCCATAAGCCCGCATAGGTATCTAGATGGGCTTAACTTGGGATATATTACCGTTGTTCTTTATAGAAATGTAGAAGTAAATATGCAGCAGCAAGTACTGAATATGGAAGCTGTCGGGTTACTCAGATGGTAGGGTCTTATGGATATTCCCTCGAGGTCTCAAGTTTTAGTCCTGTTTAAGTGATATCCATGGTTTCCTGGTGATTACAGTTATTCGGTGTTTGCACTGTAGTCACGAGTCCAAAAGGACTCCTTGTTGGAGCAGTTCCTCGGTACCCAAAAAACAGAAGTACAGAATATTGTCTATTACCTTGGGGGCCAAAACTTCAAGTCTGATCTATTAGAAAATAATAATATTATCAATATTGAGCATGCTTTTTAAATATGTATGGCATCTGAGCTTATAACTTTGACATTGCAATTGACTAATTTTATGTTCGTTGTTGTACCATGCAGATACTCATCAATTCTTTTAAGGAAAATCAATACCCTGAACGTGCAATGAAAGAAAATCTGGCAAAAGAATCAGGATTGACATTGAAACAGGTTCATCGCTTTTTTCATTGCATAAAAAGGTGATTTGGTTTGGTTTGGTTTTTCTTATTTCCCCCCCTAAAATAGGCCATGATACAGGTCAGCAAATGGTTTGAAAATGCTCGTTGGAGTTTCCGGCATCCATCACAGATGGATTCAAGTACAGTTAAAAGTACCCCAAACAAGGGCTCTCCCTCACCTAAAAAAGGTACAGTTAAAAGTCCTAGTGCGATAAGGGTCAGTAATGGAGACGCAAGGGAGGTGATTAAAGAAAGCAGCATTCAGAAATCTACTACCCCTAGAGGTAGAAAGAAAAAAGCAAAACTAGATCATCAAGCAATTGATCATATGAGTATCGAGGAGACATCAGAGCAAGCAAAGGCTCGGGAAGCAGGGAAAAGTAGCCGAGAGGTGATTAAAGAAAGCAGCATTCAGAAATCTACTACCCCTAGAACTAGAAGTAGAAAAGCTAAATTAGATAATCAAGTAATTGATCAGGCCAGTATTGAGGAGACACCAGGGCAGAGTGTACCAGTAGGTTCATCAAAAGCTCAGGGAGTGGGGCAAAGTAACCGAACTAAGGGTAGGAAGAGGAAATCCGTTTCTTGACCATACGAATTTGGACAATCATGGTCGGGAACAAATTTGACCATTTGCCACTTGGAATAGCAATTCAAGTTGTTTGCAAAGGTTTTTCCATCTATCATAGGTAATCCTGACAACTCCTGCAACTCCGGTTCTATGAATTAGCAATTATTTTCTTCTTTCAGGTTCACTACTTTTGGTCTCCTTTCTCTGTGCCTCGTATCGATTCTTCATATTTGTAGTTCACAGTTCACACGAGCTAGCCTGCCATGCTTTCTAAGAACTTACTGCTCAGGCTCAAAGATTTTTGGTTTCAACCAGCATGGTTGTGTGCCGCTATATATTGACATTGTCATTATATGAACCTGGATACTGTTGTCATCATTCTGTTGTGAACCTGCAGGCAACCTACTTATGTGGGCAATGCATTTGCTTGAGAAATGTTCTCCAGAAGCCGAAAGAATGCAGAACTTGGCCCTCCACCCCAACCAATTTTGTAGTGCTTTATTTCGGTTTGCTCGACTGGGTGGACGATCATTAAAGTTGTCAAGATGCAAAAAGGATGAGATAATTTGTTGAAATTGTACTTTTATCATGACCTAATCTGTTGTAAGAAAAAATCTAATTGTCTAAAGACGCAGTAGGCTTTCAAATCCTATGAGAAATCAAGTATTAGACCCTCATTTTCCATTTTCAAATAAATGAATGAATTCTTATGGTTTAAATTATGTATATGTAGACTAACGGTTGCAGCCTATTGGTAACTCCTCACCTTTCGAAGTAGGAGGTTCAAGCTTCAGCAGATGCATGCGGGGTGTCATGAATGTGTGTGTGTGTGTGTGTGTTGTAGTAGTAGTATGTACATCCCAATCAAGTATGAGGCTAAAAATATCTTCTTCCCGTGAAAAAGTCAAGACCCGTTTAGAAGATGATTACAAGTGATTTCTTTATTTATTTATTTTTTTTTTTTTCTGAAATAAATGAGAATGATGTTTTAGTGAATGAAAGTTCGTTCTTCTTTTTGAGCCTCCGAGACCATGGTAAGCTCACTCTCTCTCTCTCCTATGATCATCCTTAACGGTAAAAATTAAGTGCTCCAAGCCAATTAAATTACCAATGATTATTATCAATAATTTGAATCGGTGGAGTCAATTGAATTGTTAATTGTGACCACTAATAGATTATTAGTCTAGTCGAAAGGATTCAAATCATTATAGGAACATAATAAGTGAGTGACTGCATAAGTCATCTGTGAAAAAAGGTCAACAGAATTCTGAATGAGTACTCTGCTAACTCTCTAATGGGCTAAAGAGAAGTAGGCAAGGTTTGGTAAAAAAATCTCTCTAATATACAGAGACAAATTAATTGGTACAACTTATTTTTCCCTAGCATAAAAAATAATTTATAAAATTTAAATATTTTTTGCCAACCAATTATTATAGCATAAAAATTCCACCAAATGGTTTGTCAATATTGAAGACCAGACGCAAAAGTCAACTAATTTAGGATTCACATATGAAGTATTGAAGTATGATACTGAATTAACGCAATTTTTAAAAATTTACTTTCCTTCAATTTTAAATAAAAATGCAAAATTCCTGTACTATTGACAGAAAATGGGCCTAGTACTCTATTTATCAGCCATACTTGTTGGTCCAAAATTTTTGGGCCTATTCAGCCCAAACAGCGCCCAATACAAGAGGCTAAAAGCCCATATTAGTCACGTCACTCATCCTCTCTTTAGGCGGGACAGAGGCCGAAAATAGGAAATATACGAATCAGAACTGTCACTGAGAACGCGGTAAATGCAACTTTTGAAATCGTAGAAGTGGCGGCATCTCTTAACTTTCTCTCTCTACAAAGAGGAGACACTTTCTCTCTCTAACCTTCACTCGCACACCGCCCATCTTCGTCCCAAAATACTGTACTCTTTCTGTGCCCTAATTCAATTCATAAACCCTAAACATTTCACCATTCAAGACCTCAAATGGGTAAGCAAGAGAACTCCGTGCGCACCACCGGCGCATCCAAGAAGCGAGCCTTTGCTTCCGTAACCACGCCCAATCAGTCTCTGCAACAACTTCCCCCAACGAAGAAGCGAGTCGTTCTGGGCGAGCTCACCAATTCGCTCAATGCTGGGTCGATTCGGACTTCGGGTTTTGGTGATGCCAAACAAACCGAACCTAAATTGAGAAAAACGAAGAAGAAGAAAGAGAAAATTGACGAGTCAGTGAAGTCAGATATCGTTGGGGTTTCTGATGTTCCGCAGAAATGTGGTTATGCGCGTCTTATATATCAGCATCTTCACTCCTTGGAGGTATGGAGAAGCTTGTTTTATTTTTATTTTTATGGGTTTATTGGTAGGATCTGTTTGTTTTCTGATAAAATGAAACAAAATTAAAGAAAATACAGTAGAAGAATATTTTAGGGTTTGCTTTCTATCATTTCTATTCACTTTAGAGGGATTGTATCAATACAACTTGCAACTACACGATATTTTGCATTGTTTTTTGGTTGTTGATTTGATTGTTCCTTTTTTGGTTGGTGTGAAAATTAATGAAAATCATGGGAAATTTTTGAATTATGTTTTCTATCATTTTTTTCCCTTAAAAACGAACAACTTAGCCCATCCTTGGGTTAAGTATAGTTTGTCTGTTTCCTTGAACGAGAAACTTGTATGGGGATTTGTGCAAATTATGCATACATGTGTGCGTATTCCTTTCCTATATAGAAATGGTATATAATCTCATAATGGTTCTTAATTTTGTAGGGTTTGATTTTCTACTTGTTCTTGGTGCTGCCCTGTTGGGGTATTTGGCAATTTTGTAGGGCTCATTATGATTTTCTACTTGTTCTCTGAAATTTAGTAAAGATTCTCTTAATCGTCCATGGCGTTTATTGATATATCAAATGGGTTTTTATTGCTATGGCCTTTTGGTTTTGATATGGATTTAATTTGAAATGTAGGATTATAATATCTGTGTGATTTGATATTTCATTTATGAATTTGGTTTGAGACTTTGATTTTACTTTTGATTGTGTTTCTAGTATTATATTAGAGCCTTCTATGATGGGATCTTTGACCTGTATCACCCGACTTTATATTTTAAGCTCAGTTTAATTCTTGCCAATATTTAACTCACCAATCATGTTTCTGATGAGAAACTTGGTGAGAATGATAGAAATAGAACATGAATGGTATGCTTAATTGGATACAGCTCCCATTGAGTTAGCCCAATACTGGTATCTGTCATTTTGTAAGATTTTGTTTTTTAATTGCTGGTATTTTATACTTGTACATTCCACTGGCTACCAGAGAAAGCATTATTTGGTTTAGGATAAGTTGGGAATGTGGGATGTTACTGATCTAATTGCTAAGGCTGATCTGTAATTCAGGTGCAGGACGAAAGGAGGCCATTTCCCAATTACATGGAAACTGTTCAGACTGATGTTACAGTGTCTATGAGAGAAATTCTATTGGATTGGTTGGTGGAGGTTGCCGACGAATACAAACTTGTCTCAGAGACCCTTTATCTCACTGTATCCTACATAGACAGATTCCTCACTGAGCATCCTTTAAGCAGGAACAAGCTTCAGCTCCTTGGTGTTTCTTGCATGCTTGTTGCCTCGTAAGCTCGTGAACCCTTTTGTTGTTTTTTTCTTCTTTTTTGTTTTTGTTTTATTGTCATTCTGTTGGATAACCCTCCTGATGGTTATTCTATCATGGTTATTGACACAGAAAATACGAAGAGATCACTCCTCCCCATGTTGAAGATTTTTGCTACATAACAGATAATACTTACACCAAGGAAGAAGTAAGTTCTCGTGTCTTTAAATTTGGTTTTAGTTTGTTTATTTTGCATTTATTAATTTATTAAAGCTTGTGAACACTTACTGTGGTGAATATACAGGTGGTGAACATGGAGAGGAATGTACTAAAATTTTTGAACTTCGAGATGGGTACTCCAACAACAAAGTCTTTTCTCAGGCAAGAATATTGTCAAGAGTTATTGGTTATCCATCTTTCATCATTGTTATCTTTTTCTTTTTCTTCTTTCCTTTTTGTAGTAGTTGTAGAATCAATTGTATTAGTGTTACTGTTACATATACAGTTGCAGTCTAAATGTTCATAGGACTGAAGCAAATTTCTTGGTGGATTTGCAGGATTTTTACCAGGGCTGCTCAAGATAATGGCAAGGTAGGACCCCTTAGGGCCTGTTTCCAAAAAAAAAAAAAAAAAATGTTATTTACGTTAAATTGACTTTATAGTTGTTTAGCTACAGTAGCAAATACAAATGAAAACAGTTTTTTCTACCTTCTGAATTTGGAGCTTTTCCTGAATCAGACGTGGTAGTATGCAAAACTGTTACCAAACATGCTTTCTCCACTTATTTATGATTTTTCCAATATGACAAGAAAACTGCTCTTATTCTTGTTGTATGCTTCCAGTTTTCTTTATCCTCACCTTGTCACTGATGTAGTAATTTCTATCCTCCAGGTTTCTGATTTGCAATTTGAGTTTTTGAGTTGCTATCTTGCGGAGATCAGTTTGTTAGATTACGACTGTTTGTGCTTCTTGCCATCGGTGGTTGCTGCTTCAGTCGTGTTTATTTCAAGATTTATAATCCAACCAGACATGCATCCTTGGGTAAGAAATAGTTTTCAAGTAGCCTTGACAGTTCTAAATATGAGTTGGCAAGCATAGAATTAAATCTGGAATTTGGGAACAATCAGGGCTGAAAATAATTTGAGATTTCAGAGATTATGGGAGAAAGTACTTTTAAATGGTGAAGGGGGAGGAAAATGAAACATAATATGCTCTTATACTGAAAATGTGATATTTTAGGCTGGAATGAATTGCACTCTTTAAAATGTGATGTACGATTTTATTTATATTTTTTTGGGGTGGGGGGAGGGTAATCAATGTAATGTATGAGTTGAGGGCTTAGGATCACTTGGGAAGTTGAGATTAGGAATCCATGATAACTAATTAAATTTTGTTTGGGAAATAATTTCAGAAACACTTTTCAAGTTTGGTAGTAGCACTGCTTGCAAAGGAACCATTGCTGGCTGGGCAATGGACCATCTGGACTGAAGGCCATTGCCGATTTAGCTTGGGAAACAATTTCAGAAGCAGATTTAAGTTTGACAGTAGCAATGCTTCCTAAGGAATCATTGCTTGGTGCACTGTTAAAATGGCTATAAAGTGTAAGAACGCGGGTTTGAATCCTAAAGAGCAGTCACTTTGTGCAGTAATGCCAAAGTTGATGTCTATATCAAATCTAATATTCCATTACACTCTTATTAACAAAGACTACACTGGGTAATGACTTAGTAGCAAAATGCCTGCAAGGAGAACAAAGAGGGGAAGTAGACTAGTATATTTATAGAACACCAATGGTTTGGAATGGTCTTTGTGCAGGTTCTTGAACTATTGGTCCATAGATGATAGAATTGAGCTACCTATAACTGATTTTGGTAGATCTGGAAAATTTACCCGTGTATTCTTTTTCACATTTTGCAGAACTTGGCGTTGCAACAATATTCAGGTTACGAACCATCTGATTTGAAGGATTGTGTCCTTACCATTTATGATTTGCAAAAGGGTATAAGAGGAGTATCTTTGCGTGCGGTTAAAGAAAAATACATGCAGCATAAGGTATCTCATTGTCTTAGAAAATATTTTTTCATAGTGTACTGATCAAAATTGTCAAAATACTAAGGCGATTCCATGCGATTGACCTAACTTGTCACTCATGTGATCTCCAGGACAATTAATATACGAGTGCCAAACTGTAGTCAATATCCTTTTAATTGATTACCCCATTTTATATTTTCAGACATTTCTCTATTTTTCATAAAGAATATTTTGACATGCTCAGATGCGCATGTGTGCAGCCATCTGTAAACCTGGTGACCACCTGCACTATGCCCGTCTAGGCACATCTCACACTATACTTTGAATAACAGTTGATGTTGCAATTAGCTGCAATCCTTTGTTGAACAGTCGCTATTGGCTTAACTTGCAACACTAACGAGAGTCTCAGGTCTTTAAACAGTTCTGATATGACTGTTTTTTGGCTTAACTTGCAACACTAAGAGAGTCACAGGTCTTTAAACAGTTCTGATCTGACTGTTTTTCTTTTTTCCCTGGAACAGTTTAAGTGCGTTGCAGCATTGCCTTCTCCCAAAGAGATTCCTTGGAGTTACTTCGATCCATTAAGGAATGAATGATGATGGGATCCTCAACAGTTTTAATTTCTTTTTGATGTCATGTTATTGAATAGTGTTCTTGCAACAGATCTCTTCCCATTTAATGTTTCATTCTTGGCTTAATTGGAGGGAGTTGTGAATCAAGTTGATGGTTGAAGCAGCTTGCTTGAATTTGGGATTTATGTTGATCGTCGAAGAACTTCAGGGGAGCACCTCTAGTAAGCAGCCATTGATGACTTATAATCTGACATGTTAGCCTCTTGTTCCTGGAACAAATTATCAATAATTCTGGCAAAGACTGTAGATCATCTTGATTAGATTGTGCTTCTTGTTCCACAGAACAAATGAACATGCATGACATAAATACTTGTACATCTCCTTAATTGAAAATCAAGCATTTTTAACTTTGCAAGATTTGGTGTTCTTCCACTTCAATTGATTTTATCTTTCCAGCCTGATTCTTGTTACACCTTATATCATAGATGCCTTCAATATTATTTTATAGGTCATGCAGCTGAAGAATGTATTTGTTAGTATGGAGTTTTTAAATTGATGAATTGTGCAGCTGCTATTCACTTGGATTAACTTTTCATATCGGGCTTGTTAGTTCATTGAAGATTAGTGAGCTAACCTCAGTCTAACTGCAAGGTTTGTTAAAGACCATTTTGGGTTGGTGCCCTTGAAATATTAATTTATAATCAAAGCCCAAAAGTAACAACTCATAATGGGCTAACAACTAAAAGGGACTGATCTCATATAAGCATTTCATATCTTCATGGAGATATTGGTCCCTTCGATCGGAGAAGGTATGGTGTGCGGCACCGGGCACATCATAGCCGTTCGTGTTAAGCATGTGTGAGCATGGATGGTTATGATGTGCTCGGTGCACCGAGCACTTCGTATATATTCTCCTTTTATCGGTTGGTTTATGTACTCCCAATACAAATCAGTAAATCAAAAATAATGGAAAGTTCCCTTTTTCTATTGTCAACTCTTAAAAGACAACAAAAGCAGAAATCATGTTTAATAATATATATTTGCTTTTCTATAATAAAAATTATTTTTTCATTTTGGTGAAGAAAAGAGGAAACATAGAAAATAAAAATAAAAAGGTGTTTTTTATATTTTTGGCATTACAATGTCAAAAAAGTTTTCGCTACTCAAAGTTGTCAATACCGGTAATTAATTGAAATGATATGAACTCTTATTGTAGTAATAAGTACTGTGTTACTCAAATAGTTAAATTCCTCCTCGTGTTTGGAATAATCTCTAATAAGTTATTCATTGTGTCTAGAAGTCCATATTTTAACCTTACGCCCTCGCCCCGCCCCTCCCCTTTAACCACTAACCCTAAATTGCCTTGTAAGAAAACCTCTTATTGTCATAAAAGAAGTTGAGAGGTCGAGCTCTGTTAATAGTGTACGTTTAATTGCACTCTTAGAAGAAAAAGAAAAAAAAAACAAAAAAAACAAAACAAAAAGGTTGCCAAGGGAAGGCCCAAAGTTACAAGTACTTGATATGTCTAGTATGACTCTCCTTCGGACGTCATGCATGGCGGGCTCGAGCCGGTCGAGCAAAGCCCTAAATGAGGCCCAGGCCCGTCAATACATTTGACTTCCAATTGAAATAGAAACACAATTAAAAGTCTTTAAACCCTGTTTAGGTTTTCCCCTAAGTTGTGAGAAAACAACCAAATCAGAATATTTTTGTCCGGTGATCGATGGAGGTGGAGGTGAACGAGAAGGAGCTGAAATCTGTTGGAGCTGAGCTTCTGCCGGAGGGTCGGCGTGGATTGCGCATACTTGGTTGGGAGATCGAAACTTTGAAGCGCCCCATTCTCAACTCACTTGATGTCCAACAGTATTCTCTCTTTCTCTCTCTATATATAAATAATAAATAGGTTTATGTATTTTATACAAATTATGTAATTACATAAGCTTCTTTCTTTTCATGCATTGCCTTTCTCACTCAATTTCATTGTTAAATCTTCACTGAATTACCTACTGATTTTGTATTTCATTTGGAATTTGGAATACTATTCGGTACAATTCTCTTTTGAGTAGTTCAAGGATAATTAAAGTGTGCGAGATAAATTTCTGGTTTCACTAGTTTGATGAAATATTGGGGAAAAAGTAGCCATTCCAGCTATATTTTGGGGATTTCTGTGATTATTTGTAGTGGGTTATTTTGAATTAAACTTATAAATCAGAATATGAGAATAACTTGTCTACGTTACTTGAAATTTCCATAATTTTCGACGTTACTGAATTGGGTGCAAATGGATGTGGAGAATAGGTTTGAAAAGATTTAAGTGTACTCAACTCTCTCCAATTTTTTTGCAGATCAATGCAGTAAAAGGTCACACATCTTTGGAATCTTTCTATATCAAAAGTCGAACTTTTAACTTCTTGTTGTGTATATTGCTAAGGAGAGGCTAGACAATGTCCTGTTAGTAGCTTCCATAATCACTAAGGCAAACTATGATATGTGCTTCTTGTAATTATGGTATGAGTTGTAATTTCTAATAATATTAATGTGATAATTTTAAAATCTGTGTAGTTTATTCGTTGATCATTATGTCCTTAATTACCTTAAAACATTTGGCTGACCATTTCTTCAAGCAACATGACCCATATTGTTCTTGACCAAGCATTTAGAGTCCCTGGGTTATGTCCTTGATATTGTTTCTTAAATTCTACAGAGTAATTTTTAATATTATATTCTATATTAATCCAGAACTCCTATATTGATCCTTTAAACCCCATATGCTGTCCACAGTGCTGGAAGTGAAGTGCATATACCCTTCGGCTCTTTGACTGTTAAAGATATGTTTACAGGTGGGAACAAAAGCTTCAGACGTCCCACTTGCCAGAGATGGTTTTCGGAAACAGCTGTTTGGTTCTTAAGCACATCAATAGTGGCACTAAAGTTCATTTTAATGCATTTGATGCTCTAACTGGTTGGAAGAAGGAAGCATTGCCACCAGTTGAAGTTCCTGCAGCTGCAAAATGGAAATTCAGAAGGTAAGCTGGACAATTGCATATTTCTTCTTTATAGTTAACATATGGATTTATCTATATCATGCATGGGTGTATAGCATTGAACTCATTCAAGTTAGTGACATGCAATGCTATAGTATTAAGAGAGGGGTTGAATGATACTCTATCCAATTCCCAAGGCAGTAAACATACATTCTTGCTGAGATACTGTTATGCACATGTATGCTTTGACAAAATTTCTCAAACAGGTACATCATGGGCCCGCATTTAGCTTCCCGACAATTAAAGCTCCTTCTATTCATGCAGATACTTTAGAACTTGCATGTGGAATGTAACTGAATTACTATAAGTTAATTTAAAGCATGTCAAAAGGTAAGAAGGCATTGGAAAATAATTAGTCTATAGGACAAGCATCGATTACCCCTTTAGGGGCTGATGAAGCTCCAAGCATCTGAGGCAAAAGGTTTGCACAATGAAGAGGAATTACTTGCAACATACATCAACATTCCAAACTTCCCTCGCCTTTAGATTAGGAGAATTTTACCTTCATTTAATACAGTTGTCTTACTCTCCAAATTGCCCTTGAAGATATCCACAGTGTTCATTCTCATGTCACTGAGACCTGCCCAACTTATAGTGCAAGGATGGAATGAAATTGTTTCAATCTTACAGAATACACTGCGTATCCCTGCCAACCTGGAGTAGTGAAACCCTTTTAATTTTTCTAACTCGATCCAAAAAAAAAAAAAAAAAATTCTTTCAAATAGGCCCCAACCAATTATCCATTGTTCCAAGGGCCCTTAGTACCTTCATGACTTCACTTTTGAACCATATCTAGTAGAAATTACTCAATCAAGGAGATCTTCACCCTTCCCTCTCTCACCTTTATAACATCAAGGAAATCTTCCGTCTCCTCCATTTCCCCATCTCTCTCTCTCTCTATATATATATATATATGTGTGTGTGTGTGTGTGTGTGTATATATGGTCTTCTTTGTAGCTTGCTGGTGTTGAAATGCCACTCAATAGATCACCTTAGGTGGACACAGGGGTGCCTATCGTCCTGGATACCTTCAGTGTGTTGTATTAATCCACATCTCTGACTTGAATTGTATTGATCTGTCTATTCCATCTTGACAATATACATGCATGTACTTTGAGTATTTGGTATGAGCTTTAGATTATATATTTTCCATCATCAACAAATTGATGTGGCAATTTGTACCAGCCAAGGGAAAATCTGTTATTTTCTCCCCGCTAAAGGTCTACAGAGGGAGGACATATTATGTTGACTCACATTCTATTTGTATATTTGCAGCAAACCCTTCCAGCAGGTGATTCTAGATTATGACTATACCTTCACAACACCTTATTGTGGGAGTGAAACTGTTGAGATAAATACACAGGTGTGTGCTTGCTCTGGTTTAAGGTTTTGACGCTTTGTTGGCTGGGTTATTGTTTGGGATTTCATAATAAATATGGCAATATGATGACTATGAGTCGCTGCATATATACATTACCATATGAGAGTCCCTTTTCTTTGTGCAATTTCATATTAAGAGTAACTTTCGCTTGTGCAATTTCATATTAGTTGTCTTACATTTCTCATAAACGTTCATCTTTTTTAGCTACCACAAGAACCGAAAACAGAAACCCTATAAATCTGAAACCTTAGAAAGAAAATGCATTGACCACGAGTGGGTAGATGATATCGAGTGCTTTTTTGTCGTTGTGCAAAATCAGTTTTCCTCAATGGTACGATTTGCATACCTTCACTTCTTGGATGATCTTTTGGTGGGTCTCTTTTTTCTAACTTGAGTGTTACATTTCTCTGCAAAATCAATTCTTTTCATTTTGTTTTCAGTTAAACATATGGAAGTACACACACACACACACACTTATGTGTGTATCTATTGCAGCTGGCCGAGCTGGTTGGCTCAAGTATTGTCAAGCAGTAAAGTAACACAGCTGCATAAATCAAATTTCAGGGCACAAAACCAGCTCTTGATTGCTTTAGTTCGAGCATGGCGAGATTGATAGTGCTGTACATAAATCTTTTGTTTAAATCAACCCTATTTACTCTGAATCACATTTTTTGACACTATTATGTTATTCAATTTTTTTCTCATGGTTTTGCCTAATAAACAAACCTAGAATTTTAGATTTTTTTTTTTAATAAAATAAGTTTTCAATTTGGACCAATATATATGTATGTGTGTATATGTGTTATTGGATTTGTCTCTCATAATTTAGCCTAAATAAACAAACTCAGTTATATGTGTATGTTTCACGGCAATCTATTTTTGTCCACAAATGCATACTAAAAGTTTTTGTGTAGATAACATCAAAGGTTATGTCCATACTGCATCTGTCCTGTGTCCTCCCATTACACTCAATTATATGTGTTCACAGATGGTAATGACTAATGACCTCTTAAGCATGAGTGATATTTATTTTTTTTGTCCAACATTTTATGCTAACAATTCTGTTCATTGCTGTCTTTATTTTTTCACTGTCTCAATTGATTTGAGCTAGTAGAAGTATTGAAAATAAGCAATGCAATGATCATTCAAATTTAAGGCGTCCTTTGCATAATTTCATTTGAAAAGGTGAAACACCGTTCCGTTTTTATCAATCTATGCTTGAATTTTGCTAGGGGTAATAAATATTCTCAGCAATTAGATAGGATCCAAATCTTATCTTGGATAGCTTAAAGAAGCCTTATGCATTAGGGAAATCGTGACCTTAATAGACCTTTGTTCCTAGCTCAGGTAGTGCAGAAAATAATTTTTCTCATCTCTTTCAGAAAATGAAGAAGTTCAGAATAATTCATGTCAGAATGGAGTTACTGAGCTGCTTATGTAGCTTTTGAATTTGTCCTCTTGATTTGAAAAGAAGAAAACAAGTCATTTTTGTCCACTGTAGGTCTGATGATTGTTGCCTGAGAATGTTCGTGTCTGTTACCATGTTTGTGCTCCGTTGCTTCACTTTATTGTTCTAGCAGCCAGTATCTTACTAACAGACTTGAATTTATTACGCACTTTTTCACTATCACTTAAACTATAAGTATCAATATGTTGAAGGGGAGAGACGAGAATTTGCAAGTTTGCAATGCTGTCTCAATGGGGTAGATAGGACGGGGAATTGCAACTCACCAAATCTCAAATCTTAGATTGAATCGAGTTCACTCAATGTAAGAATTGGAGAATAACCTTTGTTCCTCTCACACCCGCTTCTAATTAGATGATGAAATAAAAATCTATAACCTACCCGTAATATGATATATAAAAAATGCACTATTAGCAGGATAGCATTTTTCATGCAAAAGTATTTCCTACCCCATACTCTTAATGTGCAAAAATTTTCTTTTTCCTCAATAATGTTAAAATTTTTACCTGCTGTCATTTTTTTGGTCTCTTTATAGCCCACACAAACATGGCTTTTGGGACGAAATTTGTGGTTTTCCTTTTAACAAGATTTCAGAGTGACACTTAAGATCACATCTTCCGTTTAAATTTTTTTCTTTTTCTTTTTCCTCTCTGCCTTGGTACTATTATTTGCAATTTTTTTTTTTTTTGGAGACCAGTAGCTATGTGAGACTAAAACCCCGTACCTTCAAGCAGTCTCGAATTCCTATGTCCGGAAGATGGAAAGATAAAGGAAACAAAAAGAAAGTGAAGGGAGAGACAATAATATCCTTCCTTTTCTTTTGTTTGTTTCTCAGAGAAAGATGAAGGAAAACAAAATATACTAGAGAAGGCAATTTCTTTTGTTTTGTTTAGAGGAGAAAGATGAAGAGATAATAAAATATATTCGAGAATTGTTTGTTACACCAAACCCAACATGAAAAACCTTAGCAGCTGCATAATAAAGTAAACAAGGAAAGTAAAATTCCTTGATATTTTTGTTATGTTTATTTTGTCATCAACTTTCCATTGCAACGAAACAAGGAAAATAAATCCCTGAACATCTCCGTTCTTCCTTTGTTTCCATAGACTAAACAGGGCTTTAAAGAGATCATAAACTGAAACTTCATTGAAAAATTGAATTGATGCTAATTACGCTTCTGAATGCAGAGGATTTTTGAATTGGTCTAATTGTTACTTATATTATATCAATAATACTTTTATTGCTGCTATTTAATGATCAGCGCGGAAGAGAGACATCTGAGGAGGGCAGTTGTAGTCTTCATTGGGAGGACTGTGAAGAGCAGATTGATGTGGTTGCGCTGGCATCAAAAGAGCCTATTCTCTTCTATGATGAGGTTAGCAGCTCAGATAATAACTTAGAGCAAATAATCTACAATATTCATCTTCTGTTTTCTCTGTCTGGCAATGTGATCAAAAGTTGTTATTCTATGTCAACAGATAATCTTGTATGAAGATGAATTGGCTGATAATGGAGTATCCCTTTTGACTGTAAAAGTGGTAAATCTTGAATCAGGCTGTTTATAGATAGAATAGGTATGATTAGTTTCCTTGACAATATTATGATTAAAGAGGACTGATTGCATTAACTTGTGACTTTGTAGAGAGTAATGCCCAGTAGTTGGTTTCTTCTCTTGCGTTTCTGGGTGAGTAATCCCTTTTTATTATCAACTGTTAACATAAGCTTTATAGGCTACACCATTTATAAATTTTCCTTTTTCAAGTTTTGGGAAGTTTAAGTACCTGATTGTTGTGCTCAAGATGCTATCCAATATCAGTATATACCTGAACATTAACAGGAAAAAGACTGAAATTCATCGTCTCACTTCTCTGAGTTTACCTTCCGTTAGCAACTTTATAACCCGTGCAACTGATTCATTTCTTCTTATAGCTTAGAGTTGATGGAGTACTTATGAGATTAAGGGACACGCGTATGCACTGCATTTTTGGGAATGGTACAAATCCCATTATCCTTCGAGAAAGCTGTTGGAGAGAAGCCACATTTCAAGCATTGTCTGCTGTAAGTTCAAATCTGTGTGTGTGGGCATGTGTGGAAGTTGTTTGTTCGGTGTGTCTTTACATGATAGTTAAGTATTCCCTAGTTACCGTCATCGTTTTACATTTTATGCTTCTCATGCTTTGCTGAAGAGTGTTTGTGTCACTTTCTGCTTGTTAAGGGGTGTTTATCAGGCCTTCAATTTTTGGAATAGTCAAAAAGTTTAAAGAGAGAATCTTTCTTAATTTATATCTTGTGGGGGAGGAACAGTAATATCTGTTCTTTGTAAAGTAGCATTTTATGAGCAGCTTCTCTAGCAAATCCTTTTAGGGTAGCATTACAGTAATCTCAATGAATCATTGACGAATTTTCTCATACCTATGTCAGCATATTGTATCAAAATTACCAAATACTTTGTATGGCATATTAGTTTCTACTTGTTTGGTTTAATGACATTTCAATTGGATACTGGTATAAAAGTGTCATTCAACCAATTGTTTACACTTCACGAAGTTTGTCCATGGAAAATTTAGCATTTTTTTTCTTTTCTTATTGTGCTAATTTGAAAGTTCTTTGTGTTTAAATGAATTGATCGGCCTAATTAAATGGTGCAGAAAGGATATCCTTCTGATTCTGCTGCATATAGTGATCCAAGCATCATCAGCCAGAGGCTACCCATCATCATGCGTAAGACTCACAAGCTTCAAGTTTCAAGTGCCTAGTAACCTTTAACGCTGTAATTTAAAACTCGACAGCATTGTATTATGGAAGAAACTGTACTCAATTCTTCTTGCAAAAGGCAAAAATCATCCTAAATTGTGGTCACAATCTCCTTTCTGGTAGACTATCCACACATACCTCTCATGTTTCTTCTTCGTTTGCGTTTGAGTGACTCATTATGTTGAATTAGCTCGAGAGAACTGCAGAACAATGGTGGTGCAGCATAAAAGACACATTTTTTAGTGTATTTGTCTCGTGTTCATATTTGTATAATTGTTACAAGAATAAAGTGTGGAGTGTGGGTAGCATAAACAGCGGTTGTGATTCAACTAGGGCGCAAAATAAGCAAATTGAGCTAGCGCATTGGCATCGTTTATAATGATGAATTTCTAACAGGTAAAAAAAAAAAGATCAAAAGATTGGCATATATTTTACTTCTGCATTTGGAGAAACAGGTATTGGGTACCCCGAGGGTACCGGGAAAATACCACCCCAACCAAATTAAAACTCTCCGTTTCAATCGGGTTGGGGTACTACGGTGTAGCCTGTGTAGGTATTCGGGGTATTAAAAAAATTTCCATTTTGGAGAGTGTGTCCCCTCGTTATTTTAACTCTTGTAGAACTCGGTATTAAAGGTATGGAACCTTCTATACACTTGGTTAATCGGGCACCAAGATTTATATCAGCCATTAAGGAACTGAAATCAACTAAAATGTGGGCTGCATTGCAGGTTTTTGGGTCCTACGACATGCATAAAGAGTTGGTTATGCTTGTGACTTTATTAGGGAGAACTACCATCAAGGATCTTGACTCTTCTTCGAAGCTTTAGATTAATTAACCTAATTGCTAAAATAACAAATGGGCAATTGTTAAGATAAGGGGCAATATGAGGAACTAAAGCGGAGGGATGGAGGCGTTGAGCCTAAATTGAGTAGGTGTACGTATTACCAAAAGGGTAAGGGTCTGTTTGGCAATCGTTTTTGTTTCTATTTCGTATTTTTTTGTTGTGAGTAGTGTACTGTTGCGAAGCTAAGCAAAACACAGAAATACGTTTAGTAACTTTTGTTGCAATTTGAATAGTACTGTGTTGGGTGTTTCCTAATGTTTTTGGACCGATAACGCAACCCATAACCAAAACACTATTGAACACATCCCATAACCAAAACATTGTTCATCAGATGAAGACAGAAACGCAAACAAAAACAGTTGCTAAACAGGCCCTAAAAAGCCACCGTACAAAGATTGAGGTACCTCATAACCAGTGAACGCCTTCGTAGGTTGCTCCCCATTGTCCAAAGAAGCCTTTGTAAATTGCTCCTCATTGTCCTAGGAGCCCGGCTTCGAACCTTCGCACCCATTATCTTCTAATCTAACATTCTTGCCATGAAAGATATATATATATACCTCATAACCAAAACATTTGTTAACGGATGCCGAATATATATGCCAGTATAGTTAAAACTTTCTTGTGCGTCTATTCGACTAAATTTCTATGTGTGGCTTTCTGAGATTTATATGTTTCCATTCGGTTTTATTTAATCAATCGGCTTCCATTAATATGGTTTTAAAAAGATCATATCAACTATTACTCCCATATAGTCACAGGAACTCATCAATACTTCAAATCAATACAAAGTCACAGGAAACTATTACGAGGGCACTCCTATTTGAACAAAAAATCATGATTCATTGATAGTCCAGAGCATGCCTTTCCCATGACATTTAGTCATTTAACCTCACTAAAAAACATAAACTGAGGGCAAAAGCCGATATTGGAAATAAGAGTGCGCCGACCCGGACAATAAATTGCAATCACTGATAAAAAAAAAGTAAGAATTTGTTAAACTGTGAAATGAATAATTTTCCAAAAAATATGTTATGAAATGTACCATAGGAAGAAATGAATAAATAAATCATTTATCCCGACCCCTAAATTCCTAAAAAAAAAATGGAAAAGAAAAGCAGCTAAAAAAAATAGGAAAATTTTAATTTCCTCTGAAAATTTGACTGGAACTAAGAAAGTAAACACTCTTCAAAAAGACTAAGTTGATCTGAGAGTTCAAAGAAAAGCCGCTTCTGAGAGAGAGTACGTTTTCACACATTTTAACTGCTTATTAAATGTGTGTACTCTGCCAGGTAATATTTTTGCTGAAATAGTCGTTCCTCTATAATGTAATCTTTTGATAGAATTTTGATTCTTTGACCAAAGGCCAATTTCATGGAGATCACCTTCATTCCAGCAGATATTGACCGTCACACCACCACGTGCTTTCAACCCTTTAACACAGCCATTCACCCATTTATCACGGGGAAGAGCAGGAAGTAGGTACAGATCCTTCAGTGTGCTCTGGACAAGCATTTCAGCCACTGCTGCAGAAAAACTGGCACCAACAATTGCAAACTTAGCATCAGCATCAGTAATAGCATTATTGTTCTTGTCCAAGTCCTCGGCTTTTTTAACAAAATTTTAAAATTCAGACAGACATAAAATTCTTATAGCTTAGACTAACAGTCAGCTGAAAATATAGACTGCTAGTGCTAGGTCATGTACAAGTTCAACCTAAAAACTAACCTCTTTTCAACTTTTCAACAAAGAGAGACTGCTCCATATTGTCATCTTAAAACGTGATCTTGAGACACAAGTAAATAATTGGGGTACATCCAACTAACATGGGATATAATGAATTCAGTTCCATACTTTCAAAATACATAGTTATCACCAAACAAATCAAAATGCTTCTAATGTATGAGTTCATTTGTGTAAGGAACATGAGTTCCTTTACATTAAATGCCTCACACACATACACACATACCACATATGCTTGCTTTTTCTTTCAATAGTTAGGCTCTATTTGGTTCGCACATTTAGTGAATGAAATGAAAAGGAAGGAAAAGAAACTCATCTTTTTCCATTATACTTGCATAACATAGAAATTGTTTTTTCCTCGAGAGGAATCAGGAAATGAATCAATGGCATGTATATAATTAACATTTCTCCCTTTGCATCAAATTTACTTTTCCTATTTTTTTTTCCCCCCAGTAAAAATTTATTTTCCTCTAGCTAAACAAACAAGAATAATTTTGTTTGCAATTGTCTTTTCTTTCCCCTCACTGGATTCACGAACCTAATGGAGCCTAGAGGTTAAGAAACATGAAAATCTTTACAATTAAGGCCAAAGTGTGATGAGAAATCCGCAAAATTCCACACCATATTTTATACATGTCATTTAACAGTAGAATTTTATCGATGGACATAGGGAAGGACTTCAAACACCCCTCAGATTTTGAATATAATAAAAATCTTGGTAGAGGCATGCAAATGCACCTGCTTTTCTGGGGTTAGATACTGTTAACTCATGAATTGAATCACCAGAAGGAATTTAAATGGTTGACAAAGATTTTCTTGACAAATAGAAGGTAAAACTGCTTACCCAAAGTTGGCATCAATCTGGAAAGGAGGGTGTGCAGTGAACAGGTTACTGTAAAGGCCTCCTTCAAAGTCACTTTCATGATCAGGATCCACTAAGTCAAATAAATGCTTGACCATCCGATATGCATGCTCGCTGTTGCGAAGACGCGCCCATAAGGCAGTTTTCCATGTCGTTGACCAACCAGGACCATCTTCCCCTGTTTCAAGTGATGAAAATTATAAACGGAACTATTTCGACAATTAAGTAAAATCACACTTCAACAAACTTAGGCTCAGAATCACAAAGACCTCAGCTAACAAAATGAAGTAGAAACTGTGAATGGGTGATCATCATTCTTGCCTTTATCCCGTACAAACGGGTCGGCCAGCAACTGCGAATGGGTAATAATCCTATAGTTTACAGTGTACGCTGAATGCAAGGTCTCCTGACTAAGGTTATGTTCTAGATAGGATCCCCTAATTGCCGTGTCAGTTTGCATATCCCCGGTGGCCCTTCCTTGCAGTTCTGGACAGCTGCAAGTGTAAACTTTCCCTAGCTGAGTTCTTAGTGGGAAGGAGGCTCTGGACCAAAATGGGGCATCTATGCATTTTCAGACCCCCTGTTTATCTGATTTATCCATTGCATGTACAGAAATCACCTTTTGCATTCAAGATATGACATTACTCTCTCTTTTACAATCACAATTGGCAAGAACTTTAGTCACATGATTTGATCAACAGGGGTACGTTCTCTCATTGCATCCGCGAATCCATGGTTTTAAAGCAGAAATGCCTTTTTTTGTCGCTCCACGAACTTATCATATCAATTCGTGGATCCCAAGCGGTTTGGTTTTATGTACCAATTGGTTAGGCTTTACATGTGCGTGCATTTCAGAAGTGCTGCTCCCAAAACCTAATGGTGGAAGGGCGGGCCATCCAGCAACGAGCTACTACTTTTTGTTTAAATGTACACCAATTAATCTAGTTAACCACACGATATTCAATTATATAGAACACTATAGGCTAATTCAGAAAAAGTAAACAACAGTTCCATGCCATAATTTAATATAGTAATGTGCTATGTGGAAGGAAATGTATATATACAATATGAAAGAAGCTCCTGCTCTCAAAAAGTTCTAAATTTTAACACTTTCATGCTCTCACACCCACTCCCGTTCCCACCCTCACGCTCCTGCTCTGCGTGACTTAGGTGAGAACCCTTTTCTTTTCTTTCATGCAGGACTTTTTTTATTCTGAAAATATAATAATTCTGATTTATGAATAATGTGGATGAAAACTCAGTTTGGTGCTGAAATCCTACACCATCTCTCCCCACCCAACCAAATGGACCCTGCAAGAGTGAATTAACCTTTCTACTTGTTCTTAAACAAAACAAACCTCTTTTATAAAGGGTATTGTCTGCAGCTTTACAGAGGTCGGGAGTTCTCTCAACAGTTATTGTGTGCCCAGGAAACAGGCCAAATAGGTGCGATACATGCCGATGGTGCACCTCTGGGTCCTCAAAATCTTTCGCCTGCCATTATAAAAAACAGATAAGATTCATACTTCTCAACCAAAATGAAAGCAGATTTGTGTTACGTTTCCATAATTGTACATGATAAGCTTTGTTGGAAAACAGAAAGAATTGGAGTTACATTCAAGCTTTTTACATACCCATTCCATAATGGAACCGTCTCTAGCAATTTTTGTTGGATAAAGCCGTGGTTGGGCTGTACGAACTTGTTCAACTAGAACATCCTTACTTCTTCCCAAGATCTGTTCTCAAGCAATAATTTTATATAAAGCATCTAGATTAAAAAAATAATAAATAGCTAATAAAGATTAAAATAAAAAATAAAGCATATAGATTAAAAAAATATAAATAGCTAATAAAGATTAAAAAAAAAAAAAAAACCTAGGAGAGGCAGAGCTCATTTGCCTTCTCAGTTTACTTGTATTACCTTTCCCCTTTAGTTTCAAAAATTCCTCAATATTGCAAACTTAATTATTATTATTATTATTTTCCACAAGCTCACCAAAAGAAACAATCAGAATATACAGAAAGGAAGTTTGTTGATGCTTCTTCCCACAAAACTTGTGGGAAAAAGAAAACTAATCTTCAAGCTCTTGGCCACTATTCCTTAACTTAGAAGTTCTTTAATAATTATGCATATATGATTATATTTCAGGGCATAATTCAAATTTTAATTTTACAACTTAATAATTTGTTGGAATTACATTTTTGTTGAGGTTCCATAGCATAACATGTTGACATTGAAGTTTGTTGATGCTTCTTCCCACAAAACTTGTGGGAAAAAGATTACTAATCTTCAAGCTCTTGGCCACTTTTCCTTAACTTAGAAGTTCTTTAATAAATATGCATATATGATTATATTTCAGGGCACAATTCAAAATTTAATTTTACAACTTAATAATTTGTTGGAATTACATTTTTATTGAGGTTCCATAGCATAACATGTCAACATTGAAGTTTTTATTTGCATGTGTTCTGTGTGTGTTTCTATTTTTACAAGTTGATATGAAGTTAGGATTCTTTCTTGTCAAACATGGTGATTTTGGCTAGCAGCAGATACCCTGGTGTGTGTTCCTTAGTGACCCTCATTTCATTTAAGTCCAACAAGTCATTTGATGAGGCTGAATATCTTGCTATATCGTCAGTTTGTAGTGTAGTTGTTTGGTAAAGAAATCTCTCAAGAGATACTAATATATTATTTTTCAGATCCTACACCACTCTACGCTGATGATATTAGTGTGAATATTAAGTGTTGTTCACATTGCCTCCATGTCTGTGTTTCATGAATGCAAAAACACAGATGAATTGCCATTTTATAAGGGATCAGTATTACTCTCCTCACGTAGCTATGCACTTTCAAGTCACTGATTTCCATATGAAGGCTATGACTTGTGTTTACATAAATATTATTGAACAAACTGATGTTGTCATCACATCAGTCCAAGGGAAAGTTTAGAAATAAAAACCATTTTGAAACAAATCAGTCAAAAAAAAACTTGTAGAATTGAATTTTTAGCCATGACCCAATCAAAACTAGTAGCCACTTTATGCAACACAATCATATGGAGATGGTCAATTGCATTTTACTAGTGAGGTGGAGCATGATTTGGTGGCTTCATGTGGACTTGTTAGGAGGAAAAAATAGTTTAGTGGAATAGTAGCACCACCAATAAATGGGATAAAAAAGGATTTGGAGATACATCAAGTCGGTCCAGAATTAAGAGCAGTATATTGTTTGGAACAACGACAAAGTGGGAGAAGGGGCATTATTAGAAAATTTCAAAACTAAAGGGAAAAAGTGAACATGTGTCAAACCCACTTGGAAAATCTTATGCAGATCTAGAACAGGAGCTTTACCTCTGCAGCAGAAACAATGGCGGAAAAAACTTCTTTTATGATTGCCATGTCCATGGTTGATGAGAAGCTCACACTAGCAGGTTTACCATCAGGAGCAATAAAAGTATGTTCAGGTGATGTTGATGGGTTGGTTTCCAGATATCCTCCCCGGCCTTCAATTAACCAGTCCAACAAAAATGAAGCACAACCTTCCAGCAAGGGATATGCCATTTTTTCCAGAAAATCCTAATAACATCAACAAATATTAGCATCATTCTCCTATCAGAGAGTTTTGAGTTCAGAATGTGTGTGTCTGTGTGTGTGTTGATCAGTAAAGAATTCAGTATTATGAGCAAACCTATACTGGAGTATATATAATATCCCACTTCAAAATGAACGTCTATCCAAGGAAGGGGGAGTATGAAATTATTATTCCAAAACACAAAAGATGTTATTCAAGAGTCTAGCAAACGGTTACCCACTTACATGAAAAAGTCCCTGAATCACAAGGCTATAGATTACCATACGATCCACAACAAACAAATTTTGAGGTAGACCACCTTCAATTTTCATTATACATTATTGCTGGGTTCCATCTTAATTTTCATTGCAGCAGAAATTGCAAACTGAATCAGTCTCCTACTCTCCTATAAATCACTTAACTGTAAGTTTGAACATATTGCTTGACGCTGGGTTCATCAACCTTTTTCAGCCATTTAGCACCATATGTGTAATTAGAGTATAGACATTCATGTCATCATCACCATTAGAACCATGTTTCAAGTTATCACTGTCTCTACTACATTTACAAGACATGGTAGTAGTGTAATGGTTTGCAATCAAACTAGGCCATTGGATTCGGTCCTCACTGTTTTGAAGTGAGGCGGCCAATTTAAAAGTTGAAATCATTTCAAGCCCAACTCCCTAAGGTTTAGGCATACTTCAATTTCTTATGAGAGATACTGAATCTTCCAGTATCATCATAACCAAAAGAATCACAACGAAAGTTCTTTGCTTGCCTAATTTGAGGCCCGGCAGTAAGAGAGTCTTAATTTTCCTACAATGGGTTGTTTCTAGGCATTGTATATGAGAACCAAAGTTTGAAGAATAAAATGATATGGAGTTGACTCGACCATTTAAAATTCGGATCAAATGTCTAATTCTATATCATAATAACTCAGGGGTCCTTTTGGCCATATCGGTGACGTATGACCAAACGATTCCGAATCGTCTTGCTATATGGTGAGACAGCTTGTAAATTGTTTGCTGTTGGCTAATTTGCACATGCGAGGCAAACAACTCTTCTCTCTCCAACTAAACCATCTACTCTATTTCAAACACAACAAAGAACATAAAACACACTTCTACCCACTCTGCTATGAAGATTTGACATAAAAGGTCGAAATTTCGAGAGGTCTTTAGAAGATTCGATGATCTGAGCAGTAAGATCTACAAGTTGTGTTCCTTAAGCATATAAAAATGTTTGGAGATGATGCTGATGAAGATAAAGGTGATAATGACTGATTTATACCACTTTAGATTTGCAAGAAAATTCGGATTTATAGACAATGCAATGCACTATTGTAATAAACTAGCTCAACAATGCCAATAACAATCTGTTTGATAATGTTATGTGCTAGTTAGGTGGTGTATTTTTAAAAAATAATGAACTACTATGGTATTATTAATTCTTAACTTTTACAAAAAAAAAATAATAATAATAATAATAATCTTTTAGCATCATATGGTGTGTTGTCACATATTGCCTCATATTGAAGTGATATGCTGTAATCTACTATCTTGGTCTCTCGAGAGATAGTAATTAATACGGCTATACATCAACTTTGAACAATGTTTAGAATCAATAAGACATCTTTTTAATATAAAAGACCAACTTATTGTATGGAAAAGCAATTATGTGGTAAATTTTTTGTAAAGGATGTGTTCTTAAAATAAATGTGGGAACTAGAATTGGCAGTAATCTCAAGCCAACTTTAAACTTTATGTTGAATTCATCCCCCCTTTTGCCTTTTTAATTTTTCTGTCGGTGAGTAGTTTTTTCCGGTGCGGGACTTTAGTGAATGTGATATAGCTACTGATGTGTACTAATCATTAGAGTTTCAGGAGTCTATTTTCTTGTAATATTTTGTGTTTTCATCTATTTTTGAGAAGTTTTAGTGGTCTTTTGAGTAGATTCTATAGCCTCAAATGTTACTGATAGGATGTTTATTTATTCTTACATAAAGCCCAAAGACAGGAGTTATTGCATAAAATATTAAGGGAAAAAGAAAAGGATGAAGGAGATATGAGAGCTGTCTCGCCTCCCCCGCCTCTATCCTTCACTCCTCTCACCCTCTCTTTTTGTCTCTTGGAGCTCCTCTTCTTCTCTTTTCACCGCCTTCTTCCCTTCCTTTCTTCTTTCACATATACTAGCATTCATAAGGAATCCTAAGCCAATATACTAAACATTAATTCAACTTGGGCATCTAGAGCATTACACCAAAACTTTGAAATTAAGGAGTTCAATATTTAAACAGTTATATAATCTAACATAAACAATTCCCCTTGGTGTAGATAATTATTTCCTCTTAAGATCCAAAAGAAACTCTAAACCAAACATCAAAAGTGAAAAGAAAGAGTTCATAATGAGTGCCTTCTCCCTCCATATTAACTTCTTACATGAGAGTCAAATCAGATGTTTTGAGAAATAATGAGTAGACTGTATAGCAGGCATAGATAGTCTAGAAAAAGAGGAGGAAAGAAAGAAAATAAGGCATAACAGAATCAGAATCATTTACTTTATCCATTGTATAAGAATAATGCTCCCAGAGATGTGTGCAAAGCCATGCTCCACCCATTGGCCACAAAGCCCATACAGCTTCACCTCGATCTGGAGATGTTTTGGCCCATATATCAGACACTTGATGTACAACCCAGCCACTAGCTTCATAGTTCACCTGTAACATTCTGTGACTGAATAAAACAATGTTGCACATAGAGAATGTAGAAAGAGTAAACAAATTAAATTTTCATTGAGAACAAGAAGGCAGAGTACATTCTGGGCCTTGACCGTTGCTAAATATCATGTGAATTTGCAGTCTTGTGATACTTTATCGTGTACAGTGTATCTGTGTATGCATTGCACTCCTAATAGGATGGTTGAAATCATTACAACACGTTCGGATTTAATGAGTAAAGGTACCTTCCATGGGGACATGGGTTTATTATTGTTATAGAAACTTTATGTGCTCATGCATAATTTATACTTGCTGAATCCTCTTTGCTCAATACTGTGTTAGAAAATTTACCACTTAACTCCAAACAATGACTTTCAATGTTTGTAACTTATCTTTCTTTAGTTCCACTTGTGGAAAACCTCTTCTTTACAAGGCCTATGTTCTGGTGCTAGAACAGACAAATACAATAACACTAGATAAATAGTATAATTTATGAGGGCAACAAATGTAATCTAGAATGTAGAGTTACTTACTTTTGCAGTTTTACTCCCATTCACAGACAAAGATGAAGTGTAATCAAACAATGGCTCCTGGCACTCCTTGAGGTTGCAAGGAAGGGAAGGCCAATAGTTCATTTGAAGATTGATATTCAAGTGAGGAGCTCCACTGAAGAAAAAATAAAATATATGGTCAAGTAGACTTCTAGATAATATTTTGATGCAATAGATGAAAAAATTAAGCAGCACTATGAAACTTTGTTAATACCTTACCGGAAGGGGAAAAAAAAAAAAAAGAAGAAGAAGAAGAAGAAGAAGAAGACTGTTAATATCTCATGTTGTTATCAATAGGAAGCAGTTGTCATACTGCATAGAAGAATAATATAACAAACATATTCTCTTGTCAATTTTCAGGTTAGTTGCTCCCATATTTCCATTATTCAGTTTTGCTTGGAAAATACTAGACAGTTTACTTTGTCAAATGTTTCTAGTGTTTAATAATCCATCAAACATATTTACTCCTTCGAGACTACTGTCCTGTTTTTGTTTAACATACAGGATACTCCTTGCTAGGATTAAGAAAAAGAAAATAAAGAGAGAAAGTACACCTTTTCCTGTTGCAGATTTATGCTTCTTTAGGTACAGTAACATTGAAAAAATAACAGCACTCCAACATGAAAATTTCACAGGTCAGAAATCTAATTAAATCGACAAGAATGTTTAATGCAATTAAGAAGTCCAGTTTTATAACAAATGAGGATGCTTCTTATATCCAAGTAGCATTACTGTACTTCAGAAAGGGACATTTGGAGAAGAGGAAGAGTATCATGCCTAATGGTTGAAGCACTAGTGCACAACATGAAAAGAAAAACACAACAATTAAATAAATAGATAAAAGGAGAGAGAGATAGTGCAGACATACTCCCATGGTGGCTCAATTTTGTTGTTCCATATTCCCTGCAGGTTTGCCACCTGAGTTCCAGGCCGTGAACAAGAAATAAGCAGATATCGACCATACTGGAATAGTAGCTCCACCAAAGAGGGATCCTCATCAGTTTTAAAAGATTTCACCCTCGCTGCAGTTGAAACTGTATCATCTTCACCTCCTTCTGAATATAGATTAGTAACATTCCTAGAGCTTTTAGAAAGCTGCAGCGAGACACGATGAAAAAGTTTCTGATAGTCATCTAAGTGACGTGTGTAAAGATCAGTATATGACAACTTTCTTATTGAATTTAATGTGCTCAACGACTCTGAAGTAGGATCCTTTTTAGAATCTGAAGGCTTAGTGAATGGCCCATCAAAAGAAGATGAAGCCACCAGAAGCATGACAGCCCAATCTGAACCCTCAACTTTCAGCTTCCTATCGTCCATAACATGTATCACACCCACACCATCACTAATTTGTAGGTCAAGAACAGCAGAAAACTGAATTCCTTTTGGATTGTCATTTTCATTCAGTTTAGGTTTGATTCTTTTACCAGGACAACTTCCTTCCAAGATAATTTGATTTTTACCATTTACATGTGAAGTATGGTGCAACTTGCTGTCAAGAGATACTGTGAAGGACAAAGACCCAGATTTGCTTCCAGAAATTTTTGTCACAATCACTTGATCTGGATTTGAAGCAAAATGTTCTCTTGTGAATTCTACACCGCTTGCGGAATATTTAACTTTTACTGTTGCAGTGTCCAAGTCTAGCTCCCTCCTATAGGTTTCCTCAGCAAATGCAACATGGGATTCATCAAACTCCAGCTTGATATCGCCTAGAAGTTGGTAAACCTTCATCATCACAAGAAAAATCATTAGGATATTATTCCTATAACTGTTTTAAACTCCTTTTCTGGAATGAATCCTTCGTCATCTTAATGAGAGTGAAGGAACAGGAGAACTCACATAGTGATCAAATCAGGAAAAAAAGGGGGCGGGGGAAATTACAAACAGATTGAACACAAGGTGCCAACAAAAGTAAAATTTTGGTTAATGTAAAAAACATTATAACTTAGATATAAGGCTAAACTCAATGAATCTAGCACTTTCTCTCAACCCCTGTATGTATGTGCGCGCGCGCGTGTGTGTGTTTGTTGCACTAATACGGGCATTGTCCTACTTTGACTGTCCTCTTCAGCTTCTAGTGCACCTGACCTGTCTTGCATATGAGCCTCAATATAGACATTTAATTAAAGTGATAAGTACTTATTTGTATATGCACCACTAGATGAACCCTACAAGGAGATTGTGTAGGTGAGAAAGAAACATGGACCCAGCCTAGCGCGACAAATCTTAATTTCAACTACTTAATGTCAGTTAAATGGGTTTGCTTCTCCAATCGATTCTTTGTAGAGTCATACTCCTAGCCTAGGGAGATTATGTCCTTACTCGTGGCTTCAACCTATGGTCTTTTTTAACAGTGGCCTCGGTGATGGCATATCATACTAAGCAAGTAATTGAATGAAAGACCCCAATACCAAAGTGAAAAAATAGATTTCATTGTACAGTAATAGAATAAGAATTGAAACTTGAAAGTTTACTGTATTCCATGTTCATCATATAATTGTATTAATTCAGTATTAACAGAACAAAGAAATATAACTAAAATATAAATACAATGAAGCAGCATACATCAGAAGGATTATCTGACAGTTTGACTGCAGCTGCAGTGGCTTCGGCATATTGACCATCGTCAACAAGTTTTCTGACCTCTGATAGTGCCTTTGGAGCATCTGGGTTTGTATAGTCCCCAGGAATCCCAGTCCAAAGCGTGTCCTCTGCAGAAATAATTCAAACCATATATGCTGTAAGTTTACTTTTGTCGCAGACAGATAGAAGAGAGGTGAAACTAGTTGCTATGTATACATTTCATTAGACATCTTAGTACCACAATAATGATAATTTAATTGGTTAATGAATCTCATTTAGTCAATAGGAATTATTTAGGCAAAGAAAATAATTTGGGAAAAACCCCAAGAACTTTCAGTCTTTGGAACCTGAAATTTTAGAACTTCCACTCACTAAACCTAATGCAAGTTATTTAACTATTTGGGTTAGTTTTAGGTATCTCAAAGACATTTCTAAATTTTTTCTATGATATTAGAAATGGCAAGGTTGTATTGGGGAGGTACATGGGTATTCAATACAGTCCACATTAGGATTGTCAGAAACTAATAGCTGTGTCATGGCAATCCAAATTACAAAATTGTGTTGTTCCTTCTATTGCTAAGGTTGAGTTCATAGCAGGATCGTCAGAGAAAGTTCCCGGAATTAGGAATCTTTCCTTTGTTGAGAAAAGTAAAAATTGCAGCCCACTTACCAGTCACAATTGGAAGGCGTGCTCAAGCTCAAATTACATGAGGTTGCTTGTGACATTGGAAGTTTCAGATATAAATGGTCAGATTTCGGTTTGGCATCACCAACAGCATAATTGCTGTTGGTTGTTCCCAACATACATCAGAGTTGATTAACCTTGGTGAAGAATATTTGTTTTTCTTGTGATGTGTCTCTAGCATGATCAAGATTGTAAACTCATAATGTATAGTAGAATAAATTATTCAGAGTTATCTTCTGGATTTTACTTATCAAAGGGCCTTCCACTTAAAATTTGAAGTTCTTATGTGGTTGGAATTCTGCTTCATTATGTGGGCTCGAACCTCACCTTCCATTTGGGAGGAGAGTACCAGAGGTCATCTTCGGCAGTGGCCCAGTGCTGGTGGTGGTTGTTTGTCAGTTTTCCCAACAGTAAGTAAAATTTTCAGATTACACAACAAACTAAATCATGTTAAAGATTTAATTGTTACTTTTCCTCTGTTTCTTCAGTAAACAAGCACAATGTCATCTGAAAAATGAACACCACGAATGCAAACTCAATTGAACTAAAGGTGAAAATGCAGCATAGAAAATTAAATCTGACAACTATAATTCAATAAACCAAACCTACTTTTGCTATTTTTAGTTACTGCAATAATTTCAGAAAATTCATATAATAGATCAACTATACATACTCAGATTGTGATTTATTTAGCTACCAAGAAAATGTAGGAAAAGAAAACACGTCTAACTCACTAACTCTATTTATTGAGAATAAAAACAACACGAAATGTAACTCAAAAAAGCTCTTTTGTCTTTCTTTTCCACCATTTTCTCAGGAACCAAATGGAAGAGTGTGGAAGTAGCATACCATTGAGATTAAGAGTCTCCAAAGCGACACCGCCCCAAATCATAGCACCGAGACGGCCATTGCCGATGGGAATAGCATCGGTCCAGTGCTTGGCTGGTTCACTGAACCTAACCTTGAGAGGCTTCGAAGGCTCTGCGTCTACGGAGGAGCTTGGGTTCCAGTAGTCTTTGTCTGTGGATCTTCTCACCAGAACCCAATTTTCATCGTCCATTGGACTCGTTGCCGACGAGAAAGCTAACACAGTAAAGTACTTTTACTTTCTGTGCTAGTTCGATGAAATCTTTTGATCTTTTTCTCTTTCTTTTCTCACTCTAAATCGAATTAGTAGTGTATATAATTTGGTCAGCCCGTGAAGGGGTTATAAAGAAGCAGAAGAGAGAATTATTATTCACAAGCAAGACACAGATAGAGCGCGCCAGAAAGGCCAGTAGCAAAGTGATGACAGCAAATAAGTGACCACCCGTTGCATTCAATTCACGCGGTACTGCCGCAAATAGGCCCCACATACTTGTCTTTGCCTTTTTATGTCATGCGCCATACTCTCACTCTTTCCTAACCACTCCACCGCATATGCGTGTTTGTGTAGAATTCGACCCTTTTTTTTTATTTTTTAGAGCAGGTATCCCACGTCTTACTCTAGGCACGTATCGCAATGCAAGTTCGGAGTGATTACGACTTAATTCATGAGCTTAATTACACTCGCAAAACAAAATTGGTACAAGGATGAGGATCCACTTAACTTAAGCCACGCAATTCTTCTTAATAAGTGTCGTTTTTACATTTTGAGTGTGTTTTCACTCTCAAACTCTGCGCGTGCTCTGTCTCAAATTCTCACTATTTATGACTTAATTATTCCGCTCTCACGCTCCCGCTCTCGAATTCGTTCTCTCTCCCGTTCTCGCTTTATGTGACTTAAGTTTTAATATCAATTATTTTAATAACCTAACTTAAACCCAACATAAATAAAATATGATATGATTATTCTAAAATTTCAACTTAAATAGGTATCATCACTACTCTTGTTTGTTTCATAAATTACGTCTCTTTTGCCTCCCTTATTTTTCAATTTTTCATAACATGTTTTCTTATCTTTTTAGTTTTTATTTATGGTTGTATCAACGTCTTTTCTTTTCTTTATTTTTTATTTTTTTTTTTCACATCAAGTTTTATGGTACTCAAATATAAGAATTTTATTTGTATAAAAATTATAATGCTTCTTTACAATTTTTTAATACTTTGCAATATATATATATTTTTAAATTGCTCTCCTTATTTTTATTTTTTTGAGTCAAATAAATTATTAGTTTTAATCATTATACCAATTAACAAATGCCTATCAAAATAATTGATGTATTTTAATGATCAAAGATACAATGTTTTATCTCAAAAATTCTTACAGAAATGCAATGTGATGTATATAAAATAGATACACAATTTTATATACATAATGATTAAAACTTTAATTGCCAGCAAATATACTATATTAAGATGAAACCTGAGACTACAATTTCTAAATAGTTAATTAGCTTATATTTTAATACAAGTCCCATTATATTTGACATATAAATAACTACATAAACTCAGTGAAATAATAAATTTTTATTTATCAGATTAAATAGCATTACTCTATTTGTAATATAAGAAATTTGGTTTGGTGTTGTGTGAATCAAATATCACATTGCAAGTGGTATTATCCCACTTTCCTCTTTTCACATTACATTATATAGAATTTAATATTACTAGTACTAACTTCCATCCATGAACCACCACATCAATATATATATATATATATATATATATATATATATATATTACAATTATATATAATTAATTATATTTATTTATTTTTGCATGAAAGGGTAGTCTAGTTAAATAAATTGAGTTGTAAAGGTTAATAAGGTAATTTCATGGTCCAAATAGGGGATAATAATGTCAATTCATCATATACAGATGACTAGAGGATGTCTTTGTTAACTTTATGAAACTTGAGGGGGTGGTCATTGTTAAAAAACAATTCAACTTTTATTTGATTGTCAATAGGACAAATTTCATGAAGTGTGACTATAATTAACCATAATTCATGTGAATGCTCTTAAAAAAAATTATTTATCTAAAAATTTAAATATAAACCTGATATTTTTTGAGCGGCGAGGTTGTCTAAAATTCAATTTCACAATGCAAATAAAATAAAATAAACTCTGTTATATAAAAAATGATAGTAATGCATTATTTAGTATGTGCATATAAATCTCTAATATGTGAAACTTTGTGCAAAATACTATTAATAAAATTTGTGCATATAATTATTTTTATAAATACTTCAAATATCATTTTCTCATTAATTTGAAAAATGTAAAATCTTTTTAACCCGAAATTTTTGCATATTCCGTATATAAAAATATAATTTTTTTTTTACACTTCATCCTTTATTTATATACGTGTCTCTTTGAGTGCGAGGAACGTTTATATTTGATTTTTCTTACATTTGATATGAAATGTGTTGAGGAGATTGAGAGAAAGATCAACTGAATATTAGTGGCATGAAATATCAAACCTCATTTTGCAAAATACTATTAATAAAATTTGTGCAATAATTTTTTTTTTATAAAATTTTGTAGGTGGTCAAGCAAAACTCGATTAAAAAATTAAATGCAAGAGTCAGCACATGTTTTAATTCAAAGATTAAAAAATAAAATAAGAATTACAGAGTAAATTAATAATTTATAGTGGAATGGGTCCTTATACCGTCGGTTTAAAATCATTTTATATACTATTAGTTATGGAGCCCATGTCCAAATCTGAAATCTCTCGTAGCCTCACCCACCAAACCAGTAGGTCCAGTACACTCGCACGTGAAGGATTCCCATGTCCAAGAATGGGACTGCATCCAAATCGAAAGAGATATGGAAGTAAATAATGACAGATACCGTATTTTTATTCTATATTAAATTATTAATATAGTTTTATTACAACCATAAAATTATATTATACGTGACTGATGTCATTCTTAATTTGTTGTTTACTATAATGCCACAAGTGTTCTAAATTTTAATCCAGAGAATACCCTTTCAGAAAAAGATATCTCCAAGGATTTTAAACCCTCCCGGTAGATGTTAAAGGGTATCAGAGTAAACAACCTTTTTTCCTGGATCAGATTATCTTCCTTTTCTCCATCGGTTTTGACAAGTGACAACAAGTGATATCTTCAGGCTCTGAAAGGAAGAAATGATAATATATACTAATAAAATTGTATTAAAAAACAAATTCACACTCCCCAACTATTATATCATGAAACAAGAATGGCAGATTTTGTGATTTTAATTAATAAAAGTACAAGGGTAGTAGAACTATAGAAATTAGAGTGAGAATATCATATTTCAAATGATAAGTATTCATGCCTTTCAAGAATTTCAATTGTCAAAAAATTGCCCCCATTGAATAAGTTAGGGAACGAATAATTATGTTTTGTTTTTTTTTGTTTTTTTTTTCTCTTAAATCTAAATGTTTTTATGCACAACTTTTTATAAAAATGGTAAAACGGTCCATATTTTTCTGTGATTATCCTAAAAATTATTCATTTATTTTTATGTTATTTTCATTTAGAAAGCAAAAAATAATTATTGGAGAGTAATTTATTTAGACTTATTATTCTATTAATAAAAATAAGGATAAATTAGCCAAGGTATATATTTTCTTGTAACTTTGATTATATCTAAACCATGAAATGAAGTTTTTTTACAATTTTGTTAAAAAAAACTTATCTTAAGAAATTTAAATTTTATTTCTCTCACTACACCTTTTTTATTTTTCAAATTTTTTTTTTTTTAACACTTTCCTATTAATTTTTGTCTAATCAAATCGATCCCAAGTCATGTGGCTGTTTTCAAATGCATAATGTATTTTGTTCCAATATCCCTTTTATTATTTTAGTTGAGTGGGCGCCTTTTTTTGGATGAGACTCTTCATGGGCCGGTTTTCCCCAATCCAAAGAAGAGAGGACCAACAATACCATCAAAACCAAGCCCACGGAAAACCAGAACTGGGCTTAGCACAAAGAAAGCAAGAGCAAAGCTTTACAGGGAGCTGCGTACACACTCCAAACTACAGCAAACAGCCACACACAAAAAAAAAAATAATAATAATAAATAAAATAAAATAAAAAAATAAAAAAACTCAAATATAAGAAAAAATAAGTACCCTCTGCATTCTCAAGTTGTATATAGTACAGATTCTTCAGCAACCATTATTTATGAACATTCACTACAAATCTAACATCATTAAATTGGCTAGCATATATATCTTATAAACTTCAACACCAGCCTTAGAAGATATAATTACTTGTAGGCCGGAATATATATTGTCCAGCTTAGCACTGTCCTGGAATCAAAGGCAAATCAACCTCATCACACCACTCCACACTCCTTGTTTCAAAATATGAACTCTTTACGTCATTAGGCCAATAACTCAGCCAAACTTGACCTCCTATTCTCCACTTCAACACACTCCCTTCCATCTCCTTGCTCAACCTCCACCCCACACCCTCTCCGCATTCATCCCTCGCAAAAACCAAACCGCCGGTTTTCGTGAACCGCCTCCTTGCTCCCGTGTACCTCTTTCGAAAGCCCGTCCCCGGTTCACCATCACCACTAGACGGCTTCCACGTGGACACTTCAAGACCGGTGGAGTTGTCACATAAAATTGCATCGAATATAGCTGCATTGCCGTCTGCATCCTGGTCCCACCTCCATGTCTTCATCCTCGTCCTCATCGCGGTCCTTGCCATCGCCTTCACCTTCGGAAACTTTGATTTTCCGAAACTACCCTTCGCGACTTTTTGCATTTCCAATTCTCTCTCCACATTGTCAGTGGACCGGCCCAAGCTCAGACCGGTCACGTAAGTCGCCCCTACTTCCGGTCCGACCCAAATCCGGATTCTCGACGGGAAGTGCCTCTCGTCTTCATAGTCGCCCTCCTCATCATTTTTCTTAAAACCCAATTTTGCCACGTGTAAGCGTAGATTATCGACACGTGCATTCACATGAATCCAACCATCAAAGAATCCAACTGTGTATTCCAGCTGAATCACAACCTCCAGCTGCTGGTGCGCCAGGGTGTATCTTAGCACAGACTCTTTGGCTTCAATCACAGGGAACCTATATTTTTTACCGTTAAAGAGCGTTCTTTTCATTGCCCACACCGGGGCATAACCTTTCATTACCCATAGCCCATGAGACTCCATGGCATAAGAAAACCCTAGACTGTGAGACGGTAGTGGTGTTAACGAGTGTAATCCTATGCCAATCTCTCTTAAGATTAACCACTTTGCCAACATGTACCCGACGGTGCGCATGAAGCACAGCTCCACGTCGACTCCAACCGATATAAAAAATGTTCGGAGAACAGTCTGAGCAGGCGCGTATTTGCACGTGAAGATTTCAACGTTCGGAGTTAACAAGGAATGGAAGTATAACGAACCAACTTCAGACGGTGAGTCGCAAACACACAGCCAGAAAAGGCGCGTGAGGAATATGAGGTTGAAAAAGAGGGAGAACGACTCCGGCGAGTGCGAGTCAAGGATCCATGCAACCGGGTCGGGTTTGAGCTTCTGGAGCTGTGAGCTTGGGCAGGTGCTATCTTGCGCTGTGGGTGAACGTGATATGATCTCTTGGAGGAGCTGAAGGATGAGAGGCAAGAAGGGCTTACTGGAGGAAAGAGGACACGTGTCAGAAACCCAGAGTGTCATCTCTGTGTCAGAAGAATCAAAGCCTTGTGAGCACACAGAGAATGTCACTAAAGCATCATCCGAGTTGGGCTCGGTGGTTCTCTCAGCTCTGAGTTGAATGGACTGGGTTGCTTTGAAACTGGCTAGTTGGAAGATCAGTGGTGAGTTTGACTCGGCCCACTCATCCGAGTTGGAGAGCTCACATATCCATGACCACATATCCATCTTAGCTAGCTTGAGGTTTTGGCTTTTAGGGTTTTTTGAATTTGGTGGAGAAATAACTATTGTGGCGGTTGTTTGGATTTAAAGGAAAACGAGTGATGGAAGGTTTGCCAACTTGGAGGTGGTTTTAGCCAAGGAAGAGGTTGAGGTGTGAGGTATGCAACTGGTGGTTGTAGGTGAGCCGTGCGTTTGATTCAAGGTTTTGGTGGCTTGTGTGTTTGATATGAAGTTTTAGTCTGGTTGCATTAATTATAGATAGATTTACATTTCTTCAAATTTCCTTTAGAATCTTTTCGAATGATACGTACCAACTACCAGGCCATGTACAAGTAGTTACTATTTGTCAAGAAAAAATCATTTACTCCGGATAATAGTAACCTGATTAAAATCTTTTTATTGATCAAACAATAAAAATTTTTAGATTTTAACGAATGCACATCAGATTTTTTCTAGATTATTTAACTTTATCATAGGATGAGGTACACTGAAATAATTTCTTAGATTATGATTCATTATTATTATCATTGCCCTATCCAATATGAATTAGTCTACGTACCGTCTATTGCATGAATCATCTCTTGCCTTTCCTAGCTAGCTATTACAAGTCAATTCTTAATTAATTATATTTAACTTGTTAAAATAATTTTTTAAAAGGAGGCACTCCACTTTTCTATGATTTCACCTCGTTGTTCAACTAAAAATGAAATGAATTAATTATTTTAAGCCTAACTTCATGAGCTAACAATTATTTAGTTTCAAATTACACAACTATCTTACTATATACTATTGGTCTCTCCCTCTCTCTCCCAGTTTTAATATTTTTAATCTTTTTGACTGCGGACCTAAAAGAAAAAAATATAAATTATAAATAAATTATCTAATTTGACAGGATTCGAGAATAAAAGGTACAAAATCAACAAAGAAAACCCCCCTCCCCGAAAAAAAAAAAAAAAAAAACCCAAAATTAAATAAATTTTTACTTTTGAAATGAACAAAATAATAATAATAAATAAATAAAGAGTTATCTTTGTACCCCTCCCCGCAAAAAAAGAAAAAAGAAAAAATAAGTTATCTCTATTATAATAAATTATCTCTTTTGAGATGATAAAAATAAAAAAATAAAAAAACCCTAAAGAGAACAAGTAAAGTAGATTTATAGTATAAATGATAATGATGATATTTTAAAATAAGAAATAGTGCATTAATGAGTTTTAAAATATTTTTAATATTTTATTTAAATGAAAAAGAAAAATGAAAAAAAATAAAATGCGAATATGACTTGCAAATTTTAAAACCTCATCAATGCTATTTTGGCATATCTTCCCCCCATTTTTATCCTTCTATCTCAGGGAATCTTTCTCCCTAACCCATCACTACTCTCTCTCATTTTCTAATTATATCTAATTTTCATCTCACACTTCTATTAGTCTTCTAGTCATTTCAATAATTTGCCCTAATATTGTCATTTTTTATGGGACATGAAGATATTGATTTTGTTTCTTTGACATTTATTTTGTTTCTTTCTTAGGCCTAAAGCTCTGCTCCATATGGAGCAATATATATAGTTGGTTCTAACAACGGTCTTATAAAATTTTATTTTTATCATATGTGTTATTTTTTTATTGTATAATATTCTATTAGCTTGCCTTCATTTTGTCCAATCAACTCCAATTAATCTACTAGTTACATCATTATATATCTATGTATCTTTTGTATTGTAAATCATAAATACCAAAAGTAGCTGTTTTGAAGTGAGATTATTATATTATTAATATCCAAATATTTATTAAATTTACACCAAACACTGGTTTTAATTTGTTCAACTAATTTTTTATTATTTTAATTTTAAAGTATTTCTCCATATTTTACAATTTTATCGTTAAGTTCTCTTTAGATATATTAAAAAACGCTATAGTAATCACAACATCGGCAAACAACCTACATCATAAAATATAGTTTAAGTATAATTTTATTATTTCATTTAAAATTATTGTGAATGATATATATGGGCTCCGAATTTCTTAATAATTTAGTAATGATTTGCGAAATGGAATTCTTTTATAGTTGCATTTTGATTTTAAATATATATATACATATATATATATATATATATGTATATATATAGTTGCATTTTGATTTTAAATATATATATATATATATAAATATGTATATATATATTTAAAATCAAAATGCAACTATAAACGTGTACCATGGAGAGTTTGGACAAACCATAAAAGAACATAATTTGAAGTAAAGTAGGGTTTTGGATAAATTTTTTTGTGTTATGAGAACTGAAAAAAAAAAACAATTTATAAAAATCTGATTGGTCTACAATTTTTAAGAACTGTTTATAAAAATTCAATTAAAAATAGATATTTAATTTTTTTATAATTATTGTAAAATAACTTTTTTTGATTGACAAATCAAACAAACCAACGAGTTTTATTTATCACTTAAATTTCGGCCCTCAATAAAGAACTCTTAGTGTATATCTCACGCCTTCGGTTACTTGTCGAGAAAGAAAGAGAAAAAAAAATTCGAGAAAAAGGTTCGCGTAAAAATAATTTATATTTTATGGGGGTTATCTATCTGGGTCTCGATCGTTATATCTATATATAAATGTAAAATTAGGCAAGGTTTCTTTACTTGGATATTTGCCGCTTCATTTGAATAAGGGCAAATAATCCGTTGGTACACAGGGAGGCATACAGTCTTACGCAGAAAGTTTCCTCTCTCAACGTCTCAATTCTCAATCTTGGTTCATTCAAATCTTAACCAAAATGAGTTTCGATTCTTCTCGCTCTGCCAACTCGGACTCGAAATCAAAGAGAAGCCTCAATTCAGCCTATTCAAACCCTTCCAGTAATAGTAACAACAACAAGAAGAAAAAAACTAACCAGAAAACCCTAGGCATGGCTTGGGGCCCCAATTCTCGCTCTTCGTCTCGATCCTCTTTCCGTAATTCGCCATTCTCTGATTTCGGCAGGTCCTATCTCTCTCTTCCTTTAATTTCATACGCTAATTTTCAAGAATTTATGATTGCTTTAAATTCAGAACCCCCAAATGCAAGAATTACAGAATAAAGTACGTTTACCTGTTGCACAGCCTATCTATCTTGATATTTTATTTAAAATTGGATTCTAATAATTAATTAGATATCTTGCCGACTATTTGATTGTTTTCCTAGTTAGTGGCATAAAAGAATTAGGCGGTAAAGACTGCATTTTTTTTTCCCCTCTTTCTTTGAAGAACGATATGGTGATTTTGATTATCTTTTGATTGTTTTGAACATTTGGTTATAGCTACATGGTAGTGAAGAATCGGAAACTACAGGACCAGTTTGATGCTGAAGCTTCAAGTTCTTCTAACAGTGCTTCAAATAGTGGGAAGCCTATTTTTCACGGGATTTCGATTTTTGTTGATGGATTCACGGTTCCTTCTAGTCAGGTTTCAGTGAATTCCGATAAATTTTTGTTGATGTTTAATGCTGGGCAGCCAAGAAACTGGAAAAAATAAAAAGAAAATTAAAAAAAAAAAAATTATATTTTACGCACTAAATGTAATTAACTATTCATGATGTACATACACAACTGTTTCTGCTGTGTTGGATGTGCGTGCTTCATTACTTTTACTTTGCTGGAAAGGCAATGGTGGGAAACAGAAAATTTTAATATATTTTTCTTCTTATTTTCCTCTGTTATCTAGGCTACCAAACAGTAAGAAAATGTCTCACATGTCTATTGCTTTTGATTGGCATTGATAATATGTTTCTACAGGAGCTGCGAGGGTACATGTTAAAGTTTGGAGGGCGCTTCGAGAATTATTTCTCTAGACATCGCGTCACTCATATTATTTGCAGTAATCTTCCCGACAGTAAAATTAAGAACCTGAGGTTGGCCATTCTTGACTAAACTTTCATAGCGGAACTGATTACTTGGCCGTTGCATTTTTTCATTTCTATAATTCTTGTGGTTGATATGTCTCTTTTCTTCAGGTCATTTAGTGGTGGGCTCCCAGTAGTGAAACCCACATGGGTGTTGGATTCTGTTGCTTCTAATAAACTTTTGAGCTGTAAGTTCTCTTCTAGGTTTTGGACGTATCCGTAACTATATTTGTCATAAATGTACTGATAGAGCTGTTGAATGGTGAAATTGTCTCCCTTCTGTTTGTAGAATGGTTGTCATGAACTTGGTATGTGAGAATCAAGAAGAAGGAATAAACCATAAACTAAATGCATTAGGGGAATCTATCTTAAGAAGATAAGAGTTGGAAGTTATCTGGCTATATTACTTGTTATTCGCTTCTGTTGAGAATGTTCAGTTTTAGCATAAGTGGCTTTGTTCTAAAGATTTTTACTGCATCTGTCTTCATGTGTATGGATTATTTGTGATGCTCATGTTTTGTTTTGTTCTTTCTAGGGGTTCCTTACCAACTTGACCAGCTTGCTAGTGAAACTCACAAGCAACCGAAGTTGTCAACCTTCTTTGCTCTAAAAAGGGACCCAGTCTCTGATGTTGCTGCAATGTGTTTTATTGATCAATTAAAAGTTGAAACCGAGGATACATTGTTGAAGGGTGGCACAATTAAGGATTCTGATTTATCTGAAGTGGGTGAATCCATAGAACACGGAAGGGAATGCAGTAGAGAATCTGAGATTGTTGCGCATGGGAATGCAACTGAAGCAATTATCAAGGAGACAACTTGCAACAATGGAACATATATTGAATGTGAAATTGCTGAACCAAGAAAAGACACTACAGTAGATAAGAACAGTGATGGAATTCAAGCTGAATCTAGTCCCTGTCAACCTTCTGCTTCAGTTAGCAGCTACTGCCGAGACAATCAAAAGGTGAAAGAATTGTCTAGCCCAACAATTGTTGTGCCATCTAATCAGAATCATTCAACTCTTGTGGACCCTGATTTTGTGGAAAATTATTTCAAGGTAAAGAAGTAGAAATCTAAGTTATTGTTTTTACTACCATGCTGCATTTTGCAATTATATTAAGAAAATATCTTATTGCTCATCTGCATAAGTAAATTTTTAACTATCGCTATATCAATAAATAGAAATGTGGAGCAACAAAAAATAAGATGGCATTTACATCTAAAATGGAATTTTTTGTTGGGATAGCTTGAGTTCATACACAGATCTTGTTTTCAACCCCTTAAGTAATACTTAGGCTAGAATTCACAGCATTTAATATAAAGATCACAAACCTTTTTGCAAGCTTTGAGGATTGATTTTTATGCTTTTTAAAAGTTGTAAATATTTGTCTGTTCAGCTTAGAAATGTTTTTTAAAGCCCAAGAAACGAAATTCAGAGTTAAAGAGAAGATAAAAAAAGGGTCTGGACCACCTTCATGACTAAAACTGATAATTAAGAGACTCACTGTGGCTTCTCTACAATTGTGAACTGAGATGGCAGCACCTTTGTCCAATATTAAGAAATTATTACTGTCAAATATCTAATATTTTAAGAAGTTTTAACATTTTTCTTCAAGCTCGAACCTGGTTTTAAGGATTTTTTTTTTTTTTCCTTAAAATTTTGAGCTGTTATTAGTCCAAATTTATTCCTAAAATAGTTCATTTGAAATGGTCAAAAGTTTTTTCAATAATCTTAACTAGGCTTGGAGTCATTTTCACTATGGATAACCTTGTGGATTATGTTTCAGAATTTAAAATCTTGGGCACAAAGATACGCGGTTATTAGCTCGCTACTTTTCCCAGTTCCTCCCTTTCTGCTATATTTTTATCCATAATTTTATATATATATATATATATATATATATATATATTAATATATATATTTTTATTTACACAGTTTTCTTGTTCCTGCAGTACCTCTCAGTTATCTCCAGTAAATTTTATCTGGTTGCTATCCTGTTGAATTTTAGTGTCTATGTTCTCATTGTTTTCAGTGTCTTCAATTACTATTCTACAGGACTTGCTTCGCAGAACCAGAGGCTATTGCTCTCTGTATTTTCCTGAAATTAATGTTCCAATGTCCATGCTTAGGCCCTGTTTGCCAAGTGTTTTTGTTGCATGTTTCGTGTTGCGGGTGTACTGTAGCGAAGCAAAACACAGCACGTTTTGTAACTGGTTGTTGCCATTTGAATAGTACCCAATTTGTTGCCGAAAAGAGGCCCAATAGGAAACACCAATTTTTTTGCACTGTAGCAGTTAACAATACCAAAATAAAAAATATAAAATGGAGCAGGCCTTAACTAACCATTTTGTAACTCAATCATGTAACACTTTGATGTTACCAAACATGTTTTCATGTTTTTGCTTCTGAAAATCTTGCAACAAATCTTACGTTACAAAACATGCTTCCAATCACAAATGAAAAGACAGCACAACAAAAATGTTGTTTTTGTTTCGGATGAAAACGGAAACGCAAAACAGCAACGGTTGCCAAACGAGCCCTTACTGATTTGTTTTTAACAAATTTGGCCGCTATTTTGTTATTACCAGCACATGGCATTTAGTCTCATAGAACCTTTTACTGTGATATCCTTACCGAGCTTTGTTTTTTTACAGAACTCCCGACTTCACTTTATAGGTACTTGGAGAAGTCGGTATCGTAAGCGTTTTCCCAGCTTGTCTGATGGGTTCAAGCATGCAAGTACAGATCTTAGTGCTTTTGCTCGGAGGACATCCATTATCCACGTGGACATGGTATTCTTTACATTCAGTGCTTTTGAATATTTCATGGATAAATTATCTATGGTTAGCAACTTGGAGCATTGTCATGTTGACCATATAATAGGAGTGTAGTCTTTCCTAGATGGCTTATGATAGGCGTTACCGAAGCACTTTTTTTCTCTCTGATACTGAATGTAATGACGATGGAAATATATGTTCCCAGGATTGTTTTTTTGTCTCTGTGGTCATTAGAAATCATCCTGAATTACTGGATAAGCCTGTAGCTGTATGCCATTCTGATAATCCACGAGGAACTGCTGAAATCTCTTCTGCAAACTATCCTGCTCGAGATTATGGTGGGTATATATGGAGTAGTCTCTGTTTTAATCAGATTCCCAGTTATGGTCGAACGGTTTTTTAATTTGTGTAAATGATAAGTTATTTTTTGTTTTTAAAGGAGTGAGGGCTGGAATCTTTGTTAGAGATGCCAAGGCTCTTTGTCCTCATCTTGTCATTTTCCCTTACAACTTTGAAGCTTATGAGGAGGTATCTGGTACATTGAAATAATTTTAATATTTAAATTGTTTATAAAGGGAAAAAGTAATGCTACTGACCATCTGTTTCTTGTATATCATGATGTTGTGTCACATGGGTGTCTTGGAGTTAATATGATCTCTTGGATGAGTTTCAGGTGGCTGATCAATTTTATAACATCTTGCATAAACACTGCAACAAAGTGCAGGTCTGCTCGTGGAAATGCACTTTTATAAACCATCATTTTTTTCTTTCGCTCATATACTTTTAAAATCTATTACTATTACTGAATGCAGGCCGTAAGCTGTGATGAAGCATTTTTAGATGTCACAGACTCAGAAATGGAAGACGCTCAGTTTTTAGCTTCAGTAATTAGAAAAGAGATTTTTGAAACTACAGGATGCACTGCAAGTGCTGGAATTGCTGGGAATCTGCTTATGGCCCGACTTGCCACAAGGACTGCTAAACCAGATGGACAATGCTACATCCCACCTGAGAAGGTATATATTGGGGAATTTTTATTATTTTTATTTTTGATGCTCTTAATTAATTTTTTTATTTAAAAGAAAGACCACATCACTTGGATCTTAATTAATATTGGGATATCTATTATTTTGTTTTGGGCTAAAAAATCTCATTTTGCATCATTTTGATTGCCACATATCTTGTTAATTGTAAATCACAGCTTCCGCTTGTTCAGTTGATTTTATAATATGAAATTTTCTTTTATCTTATTGTACTTTTGACTTTGCATTTGTTGTATTTTCTCGTGAGTTCTATGTTTAAACCATTCAAATTTGTTGTTTAAACTTCAAATTTGTGGTTTTATAGATTCATTTATGATCATTGCATAAAAATGTTGCTGGTTTATGTTTTTAGAAGATAGATACAATTTTCCATCCATTTTATCCCATGATTAGTATCTATAATCCTGATATTTACCAGGAAAATGTAGTGGGCAATAGAGTAAGTTTCTTGTTTTGAGGTTTCCCCTTCACATAAGCCAGCAATCTAGTTGAGTGTCCATCCCAAGGGCAGGAAGTAACAAGTAACAACATCCGATTTTCATGAAATTATAGTTGAATATCATCTTTAAGGTACATTTTTGTTTCTTGGCACCGAATACATATCATTCATTAGAGTGTTCCTAGTTGTACCTAATGTAGCAACATCAAAAGCTTAGGATTCTTTTTTTTGTTTTTTTTTTTTTTTTGGCATAAAAAAATAAATGGATTGAGTTTGCATCCCAAGATCCCAGAGATTAGATGAAAATGTAACAATATTCAACTCTAAATCCTAGTTAACAGTAATCATAGCCAATCATAATTTTTAATGCGGAATATATATATATATTTATATATATAGTCTCTGAGGCTGTTCTTGTTTGTGTAAATAATTCTAGTCATATTTATTCTAATGATCTTACACGTTTCACTTTTTTAAATGTTTTTTTACAACTTTGCAGAGGTTTTTTTTTTTTTTGACCTTTACAACTTTGCAGAGTTTTGACACATGCAAGAAAGACTATTAGTTATGGTTCTAGTTTCTGTAGGTTATCTCCTTTAGTGGCCAATTGATTTTTACCACAGTAAGACCATAGTATTGCTTGATGGAAGCCTTAACTTTAGGTTGTGGGGAGGATGTTTCACAAACAGAGAAGGCACCTGGACTTCCTTTCCTACAACTGAAATCATAAAAGCCAGGAACAGTTACCTACATGACCTGCTTTACTTTTGCACGCTCTGAGCCCACATAAACTGTGGTAAATTGAAAATTTTGTGGATCTTAGTTTTTTCTGATAAGCGTAAGAGATGCTGTTCCAGTGTCATCTAACAGGTCAGGCAACTTGACCCTGATATCGTCCAGTATTTAAAGTTTGCTGGGTTTGTAAGGTTATAAGTTGCTGGTTCGGGTTGTCATTCTCTTGTCGATATTGTTGGTATATGCTAGTGAACTATAAGTCGTCCCTTCTGCTCTTCAGCACCTTAATAGAAATTCTAAAATGAGAAACCACTGGTGTGTGTTTTTGTAGGAAAGAAAGAAAATAGGTGTCCTTTGGGCCAAAAGGTTATATAAGATTGGTTGTGTGTCCATTTCATCATGGTTTGTCCAAATTGTCCTGGTTAGGCCCACCTTTTTTTATTTTTATTTTTCATACGATCTTTGTCTTGTGGGGTGCACAATGCCACCTTGGATATTTTCAACAAGTGTGGTCTGTCTTTTTTCCATTTTATCGGTATGACTGTGAGTAGCCATCCATGGAAAGTAAGAAGAAGAATGCTGTGACTAGATAAATGTTATAGGTATGACTGTGAGTAGCCATCTATGGAAGAGTGTTAAGCAGAATGTTGTGACTAGATAAAATGCCAAAACGACTACAAGCTGCGACTCAAAGCTCATATAGAATTGTGTTTTCTACAGGAAATTGGGTTTACGACTTGTAGATCTTTGACGATGTTTTGTGATAATCAAGCAGCAATATGTATTGCTGCAAATTCACTATTCTGTAATAGGATGAAGCAAAAGTAGACTTTTTTTAGGCACATGGTAATAAAGGAAAAGATTATCACCGTGTACATAGTCAGAAAATAAGTTAAGTAATGCTTGTACCAAGTCTTGAGGAAAAGGGAAGCTCATAAATTATGTAGGGAAAGTCTTGGTTTGGTGCTGGACAGCCAGGTTAGTAAATCAGTACCACCTTTTTGAAGCAAAAAGTTGATAGTTTTACTGATGGAAGTGGTAAAAATTTTGTTTGTGGAGCTTGAGATGATACCTGGATGATCTTTTGTCAGTATGGGGATCTTGCCCCTAACTGTTAAAGGAGGGGTAGTTGCAGTGTTGTCACAGTTTTTAGGGTTTAATCTTGGTTACCTGCAATTAGCATTTAATGTTTGTCTTGACTAAGAACTTTTGTAATAGCAACATATACTAAGGTTTGTACTTCTTTGTTCAGTGCTTTTATCATGGGTTTGTTCCTGAATTTATAGTTCATAGCATGGTGCTCATTGATTGAAGAAGATACTTGTATTTTTAATATCTTGAAACTGTTATATTTTATGTTGTGTTTTATATTATCACGATTTTTTATGCAGAGGCTTGCTCCTTATTTGGAGCATAACATGCATTGTTGAACTGCACTGTGCCTTAAATATATAGTTATTTATTTAATTTTTTTGTTTTGTTTTTTGATTGTGCGTGTGTTTTCACCACATGCACAATAGTCACCTTGGAAAATACTCTCTGACCATGGAGAACTACCAATTAATAGTTACACCTTCCTTTTTATGCTTTTGTTTCTCTTAGACCGTGTATGTTTTCAGAGTAATAAAGGAATTTTAAACGTACCGTACATAGAGGTTAGTCTGTTTCTGTTTAATTTTTAACTTGATAGTTGAATTTGTTTACTATGCACGCTACCTTATTCAGTCAACATGTTTTATTGTCGGTTTGAGTAAAGGGTTTTTGTGGGGAATTTAATTTAACTCATGCTTTTAGTCACCTTGTCATAGTAAAATTTTCGACAGAATATTGATTAGGTTACGGAATTTGCTTTTCTTGTTATATCTGTTGAAGTATTTATAAATTTAAGTTACACCCTCTCTAACAAATTAAGCTTTTGGAGTAAATGGTAGTTAACATGGTATTAGAGAGCCAAAGGTCTCATGTTCAAACCTCACAGTCACAGGGGGCGTGTTGAAGGATTTATATATTTAAGTTACATCCTCTCTAACAACATAAGCTTTTGGCGTAGATGGTAGTTAACAATATCTATAAACTTCACGTTAATTTGAGTAAGCTATAATACTATACGTTCTTTATTTACTAATACAGTATAGTCTTTATACTAATATATTATTAATATATACTCCCTTTATAATTTTATTACTAATATATATTCTCATATGTATTATTGTTAAATTGAAAAAAAAAATATTTTTTTTTATATAAAAAACAGGAAGAAAAAAAAAAATAATAAAGGCCAGCCCAAGCCCACCCAACTCTCTAGGCCTGTCACGCCAGGCTTAGGCTTAGCAACTTCTTGTCGGCCTGACCTGACCCCTTAACCGGTCAAAGACAGACAAGCCAGGGCTGGGTTGGGCTAGGCAGGTCGTTTAGTGAGAATAGACGCAGCCCATATGCAAAAGTACGTAAACAGAGCCTGCAACAGCCAAACCTCCCTTGCTGCTCTAAGATTCTAAATGATAAAAGAGAATCCACCAACTCCTTCGCTTCATTACACATACAGTACCAATCAGGGAGAATTTATCTTTTCCTCACTAAGTTTCAATCATGAGAATCTTTTCCTGAGTCGCAGTCCACACATAACATGCCACTTTGAATGGTGATTTTTGCTCCATGTACTTTTCTAAGGGGAAAAGACGTAGAAGTACCAGATAATGTGATTTTACCACAAACCTTTTCAACTTTGAGAGGCACCCATTGAACCTGATCCTCTCGTCTCTTACCTTCTTAATCACAAAGTTGACACCCCTATATTAGTTGCTGAGACCTCAATTTTATTTATATTTTTTTCAGCGACCATTGCTTCAAAAAACAAAAGAAACTTATTGAATGGCCATCTTAATACCACACTACTGAATATTAGTAGATTGGGTGTTTCAGGTGGATGATTATTTATGTGAACTTCCAATCAAGGCACTTCCAGGAATTGGGCATGTTTTAGAGGAAAAGTTGAAAAAGAGACAAGTTCAGACTTGTGGCCAGCTGCGCATGATTTCCAAGGTTTTCTAACTTTTTACTTAAGATATAATTTTATTTCGTTTGTGATAAAATGGCTGAATAAATGCTCTTATTTGATTGACTTGCAGTATACCTGTCATGAAAGTTCGTTAAGCTTTGATCTGACAAGTGGTACCTGTTTTATAGTTTGCTTTTATCTTGCATTTTTTAATTGATTCGCTGTTTTATCTTATGAGTTTGATTTCCTGTCACATCTGTAAACTATCATCATCTCTAGTTACAATGGAATAGTACTAAATTTATTTTTATTGAAGTAAACGGTTGTCCTAGGTTTTTTCCTCTTCTTTTTTTTATATTAAATCTAAGCAAAAACTTTCTTTCCTGCTCCTTGGTATCTATGTCTGGGAAAGACAAATATTTATATTTCAAATCATTTAAGAGTATCAGAAAAACTACTTACAAAAAGAAGCCTGAATAGACTTGATTCCTTCCGACATGGTTTTAATGGAAGTTCATGTACCAGCAAAAGTTCTTCTGCTTCTTTTACTCTCATACAGCTGTTCCTGGTCTCTTACTCTCTGAACATATTGAAATCAATGGGGTCGCCAACTGATCCCCACCTCATGGAAGAGGATGTTTAACACATGAAGGTGATTAGGTAATGGGTTTTAACAGTCCTTTGCACTCACTTATGCATGAAGCACTTGTTGGGTGAGACTGTTTAGCAGTTTCTTCCTATTTGGCACAAGTCAGCTGTTTTAATCTTTTTGCAGAATACAGTTTGACATCATATCAAAAGGGTAAAAACTAAATAATAATTGCTTCATCATTTGTTTGCTACTTCCAAGCTCTAGTTAAATTAGAAAACACAAGTTTCCTGCCGTATGAGAAACCAATATTTTTTTTCCTGTTTGTTTTACTAGAATGTTAAAAGCGTGATCTGCATGTGAATTAGTAGAATGCAACAGTACAAGTATGGTTACACTTTTCTGTGGTGAAGTTATTGTATTTGTGAAGGATATGCATATTCATCAAGGTTTTGTGTGATTAAGACGTTTGCCCTAACTTTTCATCTTTTATTTGAATGATATGTACACTTCCAGGATTCTGCTCCTTATGTATAACGACTCAAGAAATTCTTTTAGTAAATTATCTGCCTGAATATATCTTCCTTGGCCATCTTCCCTGCAGTATCTTCTTGACTGATCTGGTTATTGATGTAGGAGAATCTGTGTGATGTTTATATATATATTTCATTTTGCTGTCCCTTAGAAAGAAATTCTGTTTGTAATGTGGTAAGACTAGAAAGGATAGAATTAGAATGATCACATTCCGGAGATGGTTGGAGTAACACAAATTGGTGATAAAATGAGAGAAAATCGGTTAAGATGGTTTGGTCATGTGCAAAGAAGATCTTTAAGTGCGTCAGTTAGGAAGAGTGAGATAGTCCACATTGACGGTAATACTAAGGGAAGAGGAAGACCAAAATTAACATGGGTACACTTAGTAGAAAGGATACGATAACATGTGTTTTGACCGAGGATATGGCATTAAAAAGAGCAGAATGGAAACATTGGATTCATGTAGCCAACCCAAGTAATTGGGAAAAGGCTGCTTCTTCTTGTTGTTTATAATGTTGTAATGGAATTTTAAGTAATTTTACTTTGCTTCGAATTTCCAGGAATCTCTCCAGAAGGACTTTGGGGTTAAAACTGGTGATATGCTGTGGAATTATAGTAGAGGGGTTGATAATCGGCTGGTTGGAGCGATCCAGGTTCGTCAAACAATTTGGCTTAATTTTACTATCTAGACACCTTTAAAGGATTAAAAAATACTGAATTTCTTGATGTCTATTCCTAAGATTGCAAGTAATTTGCTGCATATCTTTTTTTTCATGCCATGAATGTATTCCTGCAAAGCATCGATTTATCTATTAGGTTTTCTTGTTAGTTCTTCTATATTTTGTTTTTTATGCGTGCAATCTGTTAAAGTTCTAGATGAGTAGTTTGGAAACTAATATGATACTCACTTATTGTGCTATGCTTAGCATTATTTTGATGTGTAGATTGTGTGAAGACAGGCAAAACAATTAATAACTTAAATGTAAGTTTGAGATGTTGTATTCATGACAATAAATGTTCAATTTAAAGTACTTTATCTGAGTCATGCTTAGTGTCTTACCATTGCACAGTCTCAAAGAAAGGAGGATTTGAGGTAGATGGCAAACATGAAACTTATAATCACATTTTGATGGAAAAGGATCTTAAGAATTCATTTACAAAGAGCAGAATGGAGAAGATGGATCTAGCGATCTCAAGTAGTAAGGAGTAATGGATTTTGAGTTACAGCTAACTAGGATGCATTAAGTATGATATGGTGACTAATATACATAATTTGGGCTGGTTTGAGTAAGTGGCAAACCAGAAGAAGACCCTGGTAAATGCCACACACCCCCAAAAAACAAAAGCAAAAAAGGAAAAAAGAAGAAAGATTACTTAAACAGCTTTTATATAAATTGATTTGTCAAAGTATAGCTTGATATAGATATTTTATGTACTGTTTGGGCACGATATTTTATGTTCCATATGAATATTTACATCATCTCAGTCTGCCTTATGCTAGCATTGTTAGATGATGGCGTTGATTATGTAAACATGTGTTATCTTATATGTTAGTTGATGGAAAGAAAGTAACCTATTCCATTGTCCTATGTGGCATGAGCAGTTTGTTAGCACTGCAGTTCACTTGTTCAGAATAAACTACATATTCTCTTAGTTTGCTATTTGTAAAACATTTACCTTGTTCAGCCGGCATTCACCTCGATGACTTCTGCAGGAAAGCAAGTCCATTGGTGCTGATGTAAACTGGGGCGTGAGGTTCAAAGATTTAAAAGATGTTGGTCTTTCCATTGCATCAATTATTGTTTTTATCCGATCTGAATGGATCAAAGTATTAACACTTTATTGTTCCAGGTTCAACATTTTCTTTTGAATCTTTGCAAGGAGGTCTCATTGCGTTTGCAGGGATGTGGAGTGCTAGGGCGCACTTTTACCCTTAAGGTTCTGTTTGATTATTACATCTGAAACTGCCATTATAATACGTAGTGGCTTATTCTGTTGAGCTTTCTCATTGACATCGTTTCCTAGAGCTGATTAAGTTTTTGTTATGGTGCTTTTTATATTTTATCTTATGCTAAAATGGAAATTGTCTGGTTAATGCAATACATTGATGTAGATGAAGAAGAGGAAAAATGATTCTGAACCAATAAAGTATCTGGGTTGTGGAAACTGCGAGAACTTGAGCCGCTCTATGACGGTAGGAATGAGTGAAACTTTATTTTTTACAGTAGTTTCTCTTAGAAGTTTTTGGCTTAGGCAATTCAAGTTATAAGCTCATTGGTAATATGATAGATTCCACTGGCTACTGATGATGTGGATGTGCTTCGAAAGATAAGCACACAGCTGTTTGGATCCCTCTGCATTGGTAAGTCAGCTTTTTGCCTATTGGTCTTCCTTTTCCACTACAAACGAAAGCAAGTTTATTTATTTATTATTATTATTATTTTTTTTCCTACTTTTAAAATTGAAGAGAGAAATAGAAAATGAAGAACACAAGGATATAATGTGTATCAACCACTAGGGCCTACATCTGCGGCACAAAGAGCCCAAAGAGCTACATCACTTTACTTTATATTCTGTCTTGAGATTGAGCACCTCTAATTATAGGTGAAACAATACCAGTGATAAATATGGAAAATACATAGATGGAGGACTCCTAAAATCAATCGCATAAATCACTTCAATCAATATTCTATCATAGGCTAAAATCACTTCTATAATATTCTCCAACACCCACCTTATTCGATTATATCCAAGTAAGTCTATCCACTTAATCATGTAATACAGTTCCACTCCCATGCTTTTAGAAATCTAGTTATTGCTGGAGTACATTCATGCTCCACCCTTTATGTACTATAATTTAGTTTTTTTGTGAGAAATTCTTTTTGCTAATGGACTCCAGAAAAGATGGATTGAGAAATGAGTGCTTGTTTTAGTAGCTTGAGGTGGCGCCAATTAATGTTAAGACGAGGGAAAGTAAACATGAAAGTTTGGTTTTGTGTAATGAAGACCAATAAATGCAGAGATGATGTAGTTTATCTGATGGAAGCAAAGGTGTTAAGTGGAAGATCTGAAAGAATCCTGGTTGATATGACGAGAGAAAACTTTATTCTGGTGATCTGCGAAGGTTATTGCTTTCATAAAGATTAGAATATATTTCTTTTACACTTAATATTTGTTTTACTTTATAAACCTGGATGTTCTAGTCCAGTAAAATCGTATTAAGTATGGCCCATACAATTGCAACTCACCTCATTAGCTAGAGTAGAGGATGCATCATACGGACTGGTGGCATAGACACATTCTCAGGAGACTCATGTCCGTGTTGGTTGTCATGGTGGATACGGTTATTCAACGTATCTGGACACCTTTTGGATTGCATCAAAGGCTTAGATTGAAATTTTATTTTATTTTAATTAGGACATATGACAAATATAAGGCCCCAACATAGGAACTGCTGATTTGTGTAAGATGAAAAAAAAGGGCAACCCCAATGCACGAGGCTCCCGCCACTGTGGGGTCTTGAGAAGGTTTGATGTACACAGCCTTACCTCCATATGCGGAGAGGCTGTTTCCTTGTTTCAAACCTGTGACCTTTACAGGTCACAATGGAGCGACCTTACTCTTGTGCCAAGGTTCGCCCTTAATGATTTAATTTATGCGTAAGGAGAAGTAAAATAATTTTAATTGTGAAACTATTTGGTATGTAAACTTCTCAAATTAATGGATTATATCAATATAAAGTATGATAAAATGAGGCTTCTAATTTGAGAAGGGGGTAGAGTATTGGCGTATCCTACTCGAACTATGAAACCTAACTTCTCAAGATGATATAGATGCGATTCAGGTGAGATTCCATATAATGTCCTATTTTTGAGAAAGATGATGAGATAGTGTACAATATCGTTTTGTGTTTTCATCTTATGCATGCATCTCCACACCATATTAATGAGTCAAGCGAGTCATGCCCACCGTAATTCAGCTTTTAGAATATCTCATTTATTTGTTTCCTTTCAGATTTTCTAGACAATGTCTAATTAAAATGGTTGGAGCTCTTTGAACTAGCTGATTTTTCTGCATGGTTGACATGGATTTAGAACCATTAGGTAATGGCTTTGACTTCTTGTTTATGCTGGTATCGATAGCTTTAATTGTTAAATCATGCTGGATTATGCTTTAGTGGATTGAAAGCTAAATATGGAACTGGTGGTTCCTTCAATAAATGGAGAGCGCTTTGCTCCTAAGACATCTTGTGTGGCATCGGTGTATTCAGTATTTAAAATTTCCACCACCACAGTAATGCCAAAGGTGCATATGTGCATTTGAGTTAGATGCTTCCATTTTGTGCAAATAATGCCAAAAGCCAGGCTGTACCCAGTCCATCACCTGCAATGTTGGGACCAATGCTAGATAATGATTTTCCACTGCAATAAAAAGATATTACGTAATAACAGCCATTAACCGCATAACAGAACTTCATCATTTTTTTTGGTATTCAAGGCTGGCTATGTAGCACAAAGTCATGCAGTCTCTAGTGCTGATAATAGTATGTCACTGCCTTACTGGTGAAAGAGCCTCAGATGGGACTCAAACCCTCGATCTCCTTCATTCAATGCAATAAAGATACTACTTGGCTCTGAGAGCCATTGATATATTGCTTAACTTTAGTTGCTTTTTTGGACTCAAAAAAATTCACTGTACTCAACTCTTGTAAACATTGCCAGAGATGTGATGCATTCATAGATTTGCATTGTTACTTATGCTATTATTTTTTAGTTGTTTTTGTAACTTGGCATTGTGATCTTATGGATCCACTTTTACTTTTGTGTTCTTTCTTCTTGAATGCTATTGTATTAATGCAGTGCATATATTTTTGTTTTGTTTGTGTAATGTTAATACATTATGTATTCAACATGGCTTCTTTTTGCAGCAGCAGTATGTTGTCTAATCCCATGTTATGTTATTTATTCAATTTTTTGTTTTGCATAACTGTATGTTACTAAAGCTCAATGCCAGAATAAATTCTTTTCATATCAACTTTTTGCTATTCTTTTGTGTAGAGGTCAAGGATATCAGAGGAATGGGCTTGCAAGTTTCAAAACTTGAAAGTGCAGATACTGCTAATCAAGGTCTGCTTTTTTGTTATTTTGAGTAGCAATTTACTCTTGGCAGCAGGTCCATTACTGCTTTATATTGTTATTCGAATTTATCTGGCAATTATTTTTTATACCATTCTATTTCAGGATTTCCTTTATTTATTAATTATTGTTCACTAATACTGTACTTTCTATGAATATCTCTGATGTCCAACTATGTTCATTGACTTATGGGTCCAAAGGGAATGAAAGAAACTCTATTCGTTCTTGGCTTGCCTCAGCCTCAGCCTCAGCAGGGACTGAAGAATTACCTAGAACCACTAGTTCAACCAGAGAGAACACTTGTAGAGGTATTCTGGATTTCTTGTTTGCAAGTAAATCATTATGGATTAAAGATATAGTTTACTTATATGTTCTGTCTTTTCTTTTGCTTCTGTTTGGTTCTGCTATTAGAATTCTTGCACACTGTACGTAGGTTTTTTCTTTTCTCCTTTTTCCCATTGTAAGAATTGTGATGCTAAAATTTGTACTGATTCCTTTTTTGATTCACTAGAGATTGAGTTGTACTGTATCTGTCATTGTGTTACAGTTTCTTCCTTTATCTTTTGAAACTTGTAAATGGGACGGTGAAGAGGAAGTAGAAATGAAAACTATGTTCTTTTTGCTCTATATGCTTATAAAGGTTGAAAATTTGATTTTTTATTATAAAACTGGGATCTGGAATGTAGAAAATTGAAAATTAGGAACAAAAATGCAGATATTCTTTTTCCTTGGTTGGACATTCAAGGCAATACATTCCCATCATTAGTTGCATCTATTAAAGACAAGAAGGATTTTATTTGTCCATATTTGTCTTCGTCATGTAAAACTATGCTTGTTTCTGGACTTAAACAACTAAACATCTTTTATTATTTAGAAAAGTGCTCTTCATCTCTGTCTTGGTTTTAATAACGGTTTTGGGTGCAGCATCTATGGTTGGCACGATGGAATTCGATTTATATTCAGCAATTCGAAAACGTAATTTATAAATAGTGGATGCATCTATAAGCAAACATTAAGTTTTGGAGACATTTGTATTGTACAATCGTGAGGCCCATGAAACCGGTTCGGTTTTCAATTCTCTACTGTATCTGTTGTTAAATCAGTTTTGGGTTTTGAAATCACCCTATGTTCCTAAACCCTATACCCTATATTACAGTGCTTCAAGTTGTTTAGATATATAGAGTGCTTTCAGCTGCTTGGGTTGAGTCCAGTGGTTGTGATCTTGTACTTCAATATCTAGGTTTGCTCTTTGTAGTCGGTGCATGTTGATTGGTTTGTGATTTGATGCTCTTTGGATGATTCATTATGAGTTGAATGAGTGGAATTGTTTTCTAAGAAGCAATTTAAATGGCTCTTATAATTATTGGAGTGGTATGTTTGCTTTGGATATGATTATGGCTGGACTCATATTTTAATGTAATATATTTGTTGTGATCTTTTACCTGTAAGTCATGCAGTTCCTTTGGTTTCTGAATAGTGTAACCTGTGTTGCTTGATTGGCTAAATGGCTAACTTTGTCAAAGTCAACCCTATTTTTGCAAGCCATAGAAGGTAATTTATGGCTTAGACAATCTTCCTTTGCATGGTTTGATGCGTTCATTTTGGTGGCAGTAGCATTTTGGTAACAATATTAGATCACTTGTTGTTGTGAAGCACACTTTAGTGGGATTATAGTTCTTGCAGTGTACATGGATAATATCTTTGTGAGTGGGAGTGATCTTGTGGCATTAGAGTTTTAAACGCAAACTTGGGGAGGTATTTTCATAAATTTATGAGAATTGAGGTATTTCTTGGGTATTGAGTAGCCAGATCAGGGAAAGGAATCACAGAGAAAGTATATGACTGATCTTGCTGGGATGCGAGACGCTAAAGTTGTAGAACCTTAAATTTATCCTTATTCTGAGTTTAGTGTTGAGGGTGAGGCGTATAGGACACTGGAAGATTTAGGAGAATTGATGGGAAATTGATGCATAGGTCGACCATATGTCATTTTTAATGTAATAGTGAGTCAGTTTAGGCAAACTTAAGATCGCACTTGGATGTTGTATGTTGCACCTTGAGGTACCTAAAAGGGAGCACCTGGTAGGGATTAGGGCTTAGATCATATAGTAATCTTGATATTGCTATGTATACATCAGTATGCTGTTCATAAATGATCTGCATTTAGGTCCTGATGATGCACCTTTGTAGGTTTTCATTTAGTCAGTTTGAGGATTTTAAAGAAAATTATGGTGACAGTTGAATGCTGAGGCATAGTATAAAATACTGGTTTTTGTAGCATGTGAGATGTTATGGGTCAGATCGGTTTGAGGATATTAATGCTTGTAATTGTAAATACCGTACAGAGCTTTTGTCATAATTAAGCAGCTATGTGTGTCACCAGCAATGCAGTGTTTTTTTTACAAAGTATACTGAAGTTGATTGTCATTTAGTATGAGATATAGTTGAAACAATGCAACAAATGCGGTTTTCAAATCTTGTTGACAAGTTACACATGATAGACATCTATGCTTCAACTTGGGAGGGAGTGATAATGTAATTACCTGTTATAAGTTGTGGGGGTGTGGCGTAGCCAGCTTCTACGTGATTTAGCATTTTTACCAAAACAAATATGATTTACCTTTACAAGATATTCCCTTCATTTACCCTCTTTGTTGTTCATGGAATCTGGTCCTTTTGGGGTTCTGGTTGATGGTTGCTTCTCTATTCCATCTCTACTACTGAACCAAATGTGAGGGTTTCTTCTCATCTAGCTCCTTGTGAATAAAAGGGTTAAGATAAAAATATTTAAATAGAATCTTAATACATTGAATTCTAGGATTATTCGAGATTTTATTTAATCAAGTAATAAATATATATATATATAGACATATATGCAGAACATGTGGTGGACCCATAAGTGTCAGACTTCTTAACAGTAATTTATAAGACGGGCCATAGCTTGATGCAGTGGTGAAAGCTCGAGCGCATGATACCTTAAGTTTGAGTTTGAGTGCTGTCACCATGTGAAAATAATTATAAAAGTTAAGTCAGCAGTGCAATGTAAAATCCCTTTATCTACTTTCTAGTAAAATGATTTGATGATAATGTCCACCTATTGGTTACAATTTTTTTTTTTTCCCGATTATACCACCATTAAAAAAAAATGGTCACAAAATTTTTACTACAGTGAGAATGCTGCTGACTAATGAAAGATTAGGAATGAGGCAAATTGTGTAGAGTTTTTTCTCACTTGTATGTATTTCATGTTTGATTTGGTTGTAATGGGCGATTTGCTTACTGTGTCATGTTTCAGATTTTGATAAGCAGACCATTGATGGAAACCCTGGTCAGTTCTACAGTGATCCAACTGGATCGTCATTCCGAATGGGCACTAATATGTCCAATGGTGATGTTCGTTTAAACCAGGATTCAGTTCTGCCGTCTCTATGTGATCTTGATTTGGGAGTTGTAGAGAGTCTTCCTCCAGAACTTTTTTCAGAAATAAATGATATGTATGGTGGGAAGCTAGTCAATCTCATTTCTAAAAATAAAGGCAAAAGTGCCACTGTCGGAAGTTCTCTAGGTACCACATCATATGAAAGACTAGAAGGTTTATCTTTTCTACCTTCTTCTTTAAGAGCAGCTTGTATAATCTTTGGCCCATTATTTAATACTTTTTGATTTTGTCATTTCATGTAGGTGTAATAAATGAGGGAAAGGGACCTTTTCCCACTCATTTAGCCTCTTTAAGCAGCATCCCTGTACAAAACAAGGTATCAGTCTTTCTCTCTCTTCTTCTATTTATTTTATTTTTTTTCAAGCTTGTTTTCGCTCACAATAGGTTCCCTTGAATTTACTCTACCTTCAGTTCTTTAAATTTCCAATGGCTCTCACTTAAGTCAGATAAAAGAATCTCACTGTATTGCTTATGCTTCTGCAGATTTTCTCCAGCCTTCTGACAAATTCTACTTTCTCTTAAGGGTATTAAATGTTATTATCATATTCCCGATCCCTTCCCTCCACTGCTCAACATATACTATTTTGACAGGGAAACTGCATGATCTAGGATGGTTTACAAAAACTTACAGAACATTCACAAGCACCCTCCCTTTAAATGGAGGAAAAAAGAAAACATTTCACAATATGAAACAAAATTCAGGAAATCAGTGAGAACAAGTTTTCTTAAATTACTGAAGCAGGGGTAATAATATATGTCAGGGTAGTTGTCACTTGTCACTTAGACGGCTTTTAAAACTGAAATCAATTTTCTAGACATGTTTACCTACATTTACACACTCAGACGTAGTGTCCATGGGAAAAGCCCAAATGATTATTATTCTGCAATGAATGGTAAAAATAATTTCTATTCTAGTGTGAAAAAGTTCAGGAAAATCTTGCTCTTACAACCCATGTCTGTCCGTTTGTGTTTCCCAAAAAATGGTGAAACATAACCTTTGATGCACTTGTCTGGGTGATGGTGTGTGAATGCTTTTATGCAGATTAGTGACGAGTGGATTTAACATTGACCCTCTCAAAGTAGCTCTTTAGGCTGATTTATTTGAATTCTGTTATGCACCATTGCTTGAATCATGCTTTTAAGGGCCTCATATTATAATATTTTTCAAATGACTTGGGACCTTTATTAGTTCAAAAGATGTGGCTTTGACTTTTGTTTTGTTTTGTTTTTTTTTTTTCCCTCCCCTCTGGGAAAGGTTTGATTTGCTTATTGTGAACAAGACTTGCATGAGTTCTTTCATTTTTTCAGATGATACCCTATGTTTTTTGTTCTTAAGAAAAAGTTTGTTGTCTTAGATGCAAAGTTGAGCTTTATAACATCTGACTCTGCAAATTTTGTGCTTGGAAAGTGTAAGCTTTTTTTGCTTCCAACTTGATTCCCCTTTTACGTTTTCTAACATCGTTGGGTAATACTTCATTGAAGATCTTCATGTAAAATGCAAACCACCTCATGATTCATTCATAATGTTATCAAGCTTCTTTTCAACATTACCTGTAGATGTAGCTCTACTTTCCCTTTGCTCGATTCTTTTCTGGCGTGTTTATGTTCTTCTCAAAGTGTACTATCAAATTAAGACAACCTTGATGGAAGTAGAGAAATTGGACGTAAAAATAAGGAACGTTTTTTAGGGTCAATTCTGTAGTTCCAATTAATTGAAGCCAACTCTTGAATTATGTTAGCACTTAGATAAACTTCTTTGTTTTGTGCACTGTGAATCAAGTAGTATGATTTGGGATCTTTGGGTGAACAAAGCTGTCAATTTCTTTTCTCCATCTCCATATTCTTCTTCTTCTTTGTAAATTTAAATAAAGAGATGAATAAATGACAAATGATGAATCAGTTAGTTTATCAATTTCTTACCGAATTCACCATCTTTGTTAGAATCCATTAATTCTTGAATCTTGAGGCAGAGGAACAGATTGAACTGGCTCTTCTATATCTAGTTATATCGAAGTCATATTTCTTTTATCCTATACTTTGACAAGTTTCTGGTGTTTTTGTTTGGGAAAGCAGGATACAGTTGAGAAAATTCAGTCAGTGCCTGTTAGTGGGGCAGGATCTTCAAATGAAGATATTTCCACTTCACTTCAAGATAAATTTGATCTAATGCCTTCATCTCTAAGTCAAGTAGATGTCTCAGTATTACAACAATTGCCTGAAGAATTGAGAGTTGACATATTTGAGCTGCTTCCTCCACACAGGAGACCGGAATGTTCATCAGATGGTGCTTTGAGTTCCATGCTTAATCCTCAGGAATCATCATATGTAAAGTTAGCTGAGAAACCAATGGGGTCAATGAGTTCATTGTTAAGCAATGATCTTTGGGTTGGTAATCCACCTAAGTGGGTCGGGTATTTCAGAGACAGCAATTTCTGGATATTTAACATTCTTGCAGAGATGTATTACAGAGCAGGGTCAACTGGGTTTTTATCTTCTATTCTGCAACACACCATTTCTGAGTCTCGAGTTTCTCTGGTCGCAAGTATTGATGGTTGGGATGATGCTGTTAGTTGCTTATGTGAGCTTCTCAAGCAGTATATTGAACTTAAAATTGAAACAGATATTGAAGAGATCTATGTCTGCTTTCGTCATCTTAGAAGGTAAGTATGCAAAACTAGGGTGTGTTAGTTTCAAATGGTGGGGGAATGCAAAACTAACTTGGAATGTCGTGTTTGAAGAAATTGACTTAAATGAATTTTTTGCATGCACGACTTTTCTAGAAAATATTTGCTCTATTTTTGCTGCATAAGAGTTAAGATTAAGTTCCTTTTTGTTTTTCAACGTACTTCTATTGTTTTGTAGAAGGGAGTGGCTCGAATTTATCCTTGCTAGAAAGCTTCTTTTGACACTGTTGCTGCCCTCAATATACTGAATAACATTCATCAAATAGTTATATGTAAAATCAGAGGACCCAATGAAATTCTATTCCCTTGACCATGTATTTGTCAGTTGGCTTTTTTATCAAACAGGATACACATTTTAATAGTGTTTCTTTCAATATTTTGGATATTTTGATAAATTCCCTCATTCCTTTTTGAAAATCCGGTGTCTTGCATTGAAAATTTTATGCTCAAGGATTGAAGAATGACTCTATTTGATTTACCACCTGCTGTATTGGGCACTATATCACATTGAATGACTATTTGATATCTTTCCAACTCTTTGTAATCAATGATCATATAATTTTATAGTTGACTCTGATTTTTATTTTATTTTATTTTTTGTTGTTGTCATTTTGCTATGAAATATCTTAACTTTGTACCAGTGATTTGTTTGTCCAGGATATATGAATGTGGTTTTTGAAGTTTGTTTCTTTTCCTGAACATATTGATTTCCCTATCTTTAATAGTGTACATTCTTTTGATGTTGCATCAGGTTGACTTCAAAGTCAAAGTTTTTCTTACAAGTTTATGATGTCATCTTTCCCCACCTTCAGGTTAGTGCAGCTTCTGTGATATTGTTTATTCTAGCCTTTTGTTTGGAGTGCCCTTCTAAAAGCTGCTAGCTTTTCAAATTGAGTTGTTATTAAAAATCAGCCAGGCTTTCACATGTTGATGTTTCTGATATATATGTGTATGTTCAAAACGTAATATTTTTTTTCATGATCCCGATATTGACCAGAAAAAGAAAAAAAAAAAAAAGAAAAAAAAAAAGAGGTCTCTATCCTTGTATGTTCATAGTGTACTTTGGTAAGTGCATTATTATCACTATTTCCATTAGTGCACGCTTACATGTCACTACTTCTTCAGACATCTCATATCTGTGTGCTGCACATTATTTAATATTGCAAACTGGTCTGGTTATAATTAATTCAATAATTAGCAGCTCTGCTTTCTGCTTGAATTTTTTTTCTCTTCATCAATGTGGTTATCAGTTTATTAAGAGTTTATTTTTATGAATTTGACCAAATTGCAGAGTGTAAAATGTTATTGGTTGCCATTTTAATATGGATTAGGTGATAAGCATCCATGCTCGATTTACTTTGGTCTTATTATTTTTACTTGAAGAATTGTCTTTTGGTGTGGAAGAATAGAACTTTCGATGGACAAAAATAGCAATATAGCATCCAGATGGTTGAAAATCATGTACATGTGGTATTTATGGGCATGAAAATGAAAATGTCTACCACAAACTTAAACAGGAAAAGGCAGGCTGAAATCACCCAATAATTCACAAAAGAACCTGGAAAACAGTAAAACTTCTATTAGCCCCTTCTTTCCTTGGCGCTTTTGTGCACCTTGAGCCTTAAATAAATGTGGGAATATTGGATTCCATGTGCTCATTAGCCACAAAAGCTCAAGAAAACTAATGCCTCCCCTCAATAAAAGCACATGGCAAACTGTCCTATCTTTTGTTACTATTTGGTTTAAAAATTGGAATGTTTTTCTCAAGCATAAAAATCTTGATAATGAATAGCTTTTTGGTGTTTGGGGAAGATGAAATAAAGAATTTTAGTGGCAAAAATTCCTAAAATAAAGGAAAATTAGAGCAAGAACAAGGAGAATATTAGGTATATGAGGTCATTAAGATTTTGGTTGGCAAAGCCTGTTGAATAATTTCTATGGATTCTTTCAGTTCACCGATTCATACTAAACAAAGATTTTGTGCAAAACGACGTCTGTAATATTGATTTTTAGTTTTTGTGTATGTTCTAAATTAGTTAAGTTAAACCCTCTCTATTGTGCATTTACCAATTTATGCTATGTTCGGTAGGAAGGAAAGAAAAGGTGTGGAGAGAAAGTAGGACGGAAAAAATGAATTTCCTTTGTTCAGTTAGAGATGATACAAGGAAAGAAAGGAGAATAGGAAGGGTGACATATCCTTCCTTCTTTACAAATTTTCATCCGCCCAAAAATGGGCGGAAGAAATGAGGGAAGACATGTGGACTATTTTAGAAGTTTGAAATTAAATACTATCATAAAGTATACAAGTTCTAAATTACAGTACTATCCTCTATAGATTACAATATTATAAATATTATTGGATATAATGGTAAAAACAATTAAAACTTTCTCTTTCTTTCTCTCCTAACAAAAATAGTAAATTATGAGTTTATTCTCTTCTCTTCTATCCAACCGAACAAAAAGAAGGAAATACACAATCTCTTCCCTAAGGATGTCTCATCCATTCCTTCTTTGATCCCTTTCACCCAATTTTTTTCTTTCCTACCGAATAGAGCATTAGGGTTCATATGTATTAATTTATTTTATTAAACATGTTAGGATATTTAAATTGCTTGTTTTGATCTATAAAAATTGTGTTTAGGAATTGTTAGTCTAGTGTAAATCTTTTTCTTAGTTAATTTGATTTGTCTGGGCTAGGTTTTCTGATTTTTTAACATTTTAATTTTTCACGTAAAAAATCGTGTATTTATTTGTGATCTTTGCTCTCTATCCTCAGCTGATTCATATAGATGCAAATCTTTTTCTTAGTTAATTTGATTTGTCTGGACTAGGTTTTGTGATTTTTCTCCATTTCAAATTTTCATGCAAAAATTGTGTATTCATATGTGTGCTTTGCTCTCTGTACTTAGCTGATTTATATTGATGCCATTCTAATTATAATTGTGATAATATGAAAATCAGTTCATGATCATTGAACAAGATCTATTCAACAAACACCAACCCCGCACCCGCAAACCCCCCCACCGCCGCCCCCCCCCCCCCCCCCCCCGGCCCCCCAAAATTTATTTTGGGCCTTGCACTAACTCTACATCAGAGCCTAGGGTTATGGTTCTGTACTTATCGGAAAAATTTCAATCCAACATTACAGTGTGATATTCTTTCATTACTGAATTTGGTAGGGATTAGAGGGAGAGAGGTTCATATCATCATCATTCTTGCCTTAAGGTGAACTAGGGCAAGTTTTTGTATACAGAGAAAACATGGCATAAACCTATAATGTCCAATTAGTTAGTTGATTAACTCCCTCATAACAGTACAGGGAAAAAAATCCCACATGTAATCCTGTAGACGTGGTATATTTCCCGCCAGTATGGGATACTGGTTTTCCTATATACAGTGTATAGGTATATACACTCATATATATATATATATATATATATGTCTACGCCCAGAAAATGTGTGATAGAAAAGTAACCATATTGTTGCCTCACCTCTCCTTGGCAAGGGAATCTCTGTAAGATTATGCACTTAGACTTTATTTTTATTCTGTGTTACAAGCTGCAGTATTTTATTCTTTAACCTAATAATTCTTTTTTGATTAATGCTCTGTCTAATTTCTTTGCCTTTTGCTTTGTTTTATTTACTTATTTATAATTTTTGTCTTTAACTCAATATCTTAGACATCTGTTGGTGAAAATTATGGAGGGAGCTTGCATATATCAGATGCGAATTAGAATGCATTGGTACACCTATTTCATTGTTGAAGGGACGTACTCTACAAGTCTTGGTGAGGATAAATCCTATTTTCACTCGCTACTGATATGCAATCTCATAGTCAAACCCAAGGTGTTACCCTGTTGGTATGTTTTCTCCCCCCTCCTCTCCCATGGGTAAACCTTTAAAGAAAACAGTTAAAGCTCTAACTTGAATAATCAGAAAACAGTTTACCTCCTTGCCACTTATGGCTTGCATAATCAGAACATCAGCTCATCTCTTCTTTTCTTACGTTGTTTTATCCCCTTTAGTTTCTTTATTGAAATTTTGTACTTTTAAAAATATCTTCTTCTTTGATGTATTATTAATTTATTTGGCCCAAATCAGTATCTCTATCATTGGAGGGGCTCTCTCATATTTTTTTTGAGGTTTTATTCTTTTCTTCTTCTTTATGTTTTTTTCTCACTTTTTCCTTATTTCCCTGCAAAGAATTATCTTCTTTCTTGTTTTTCAAAATCCATGGGGTTGCACCATATATTTTATGGTTTTAACATTTTGACATGCATTCTTATCTTGACACATTTTTTATTGAGTAATGTTATCAAGAGAAAAGAAGATGTTTTGGGTTTTGGCTTACTCAAACCGAGAGCCAAGAGCTATATTTATATACAAAGAAAGGAAACCAAATCAAAGAAAAATAGAAAATATGCCAAGATCTACGTGATTCCATGATCATGGGGATCTTATCTACGTGATCCCATGATTATGAGGATCTTACATAAAACACCTCATAAAGGCTGAAAACAGCTAATAAAAATAAAAATAATAATACAGATATTTCAACACTCCCCCTCAAGCTGGAATGAAGATATCAATCAAGCCCAGCTTGGTAATCGAGAAATGAAGCAAAGATGGACCAACGGATTTGGTGAACACATCTGCCGACTAATTAGAGGACCGAACAAAGCACGGCTTGATAATTCCCAAATGAACCTTTTCTCTGATAAAATGAATGTCCACCTCTATATGTTTAGTACTCTCATGAAGAACAGAATCTGAAGCAAGCATGATGGCTGATTTATTATCACAAAACAAGTATGAGGACTGTTTTTCACTTAGCCTTAGCTCCTCCAAAAAAGATCGAAGCCAGAGAATCTCACAAGTACCTTGGACTATGGCACAATGCTCAGCCTTTGCTGAAGATCTCGAAACTACAGGCTGCTTCTTACTTTTCCAGGATATAAGATGATCTCCATAGAAAGTACAGAAGCCAGATGTGGAACGTCTGTCAGTCATGGACCCAGCATAGACTGCATCACTGAAACAGGATAGCCCAACTTGCCTACTAGAAGAATAGAATAATCCAAGTCCAGGACATGACTTAAGATATCGAAAAATATGATATATCGCATCCAAATGAGCTGTACGAGGAGCATGCATAAACTGACTCACAACATTAACCGCAAAAGCCAAATTAGGACGAGTGTTGGTAAGATAAATCAATCTTCCTACCAAGCGCTGATACTGCGAGGGATCAGAAAGGAGATCTCCAGACTCAACCGAGATCTTTAGATTAGGATCCATAGGAGTGGAAGCAGGTTCACACCCAAGCATACCCGTGTCTCGAAGAAGATCCAAGACATACTTTTTTTGCGATAAAGAGATACTCTGCTTAGATCTAACAACCTCAATTCCCAAGAAATATCTTAGCTGCCCAAGGTCTTTCACATCAAAAGCTTTAGCCAATTGAAGCTTTACTTGAGCAATCCCGGGGATGTCATTGCCAGTAATAATGATGATATCATCAACATAGACAAGAAGAATGATACATCGACCAGTGGAGGAATGGTGGGTAAAACATGTATTGGCATCTAACAAACTCCATGGATAGAATTACATCACTGAAGTGGCTAAACCAAGCTCTGGGAGATTGTTTTAACCTATACAAAGACTTCCGCAATCGACAGACCTTTCCAGCATACTCCCCCTCAGCCCGAAAACCGGGTGGAGGATCCATATAAATAGTCTCAAGAAGATCACCGTTAAGGAAAGCATTCTTCAGATCAAGCTAATGAAGAGGCGAATCGTGAGAGGTAGCCAGGGAGACAAGCAAACGAATTGAGGTCGATTTAGCCACTGGAACGAAGGTATCATTAAAGTCTTTTCCAGGAATCTGAGTAAACCCTTTGGCCACCAAACAGGCCTTATACTGATCAATAGAGCCATCGGCCAGATATTTAACACTGAATACCCACTTGCAACCAACAGTCTTTTCACCAGGAGGGAGAGATACAAGCTCCCATATTTCATTTTGCTACAAAACATCCATTTTTACCATTATAATAGGCATCCAATTGGGATTCCGGAGAGCATCAGAGACATTTATGGGAATGGAAATGGAATCAAGTTTGCCTTAGAAAGGCTCGGTAAGACCCTGAAAGACCATCATAAGAGATATATTGCGAAATAAGATGATCAATACTACAAGCGAATCCAAATCGAGCAGGGGGTTTGCGGTCTCGAGTGGGATACCGAGACTAAGGAATAGGGTCAGGGAAATGGGTTAGGGAAATGTAAAGGAGAGAGAGGAGATGTACTTGAACCTGTATCTGAGGAGGATGAAGGCAGTGGAGGTGGAGCACAAGGGCGGCGAGAATAAACCTGCAAATGGGGTGAGGAAACCACAAGAGAAAACTTTTCTTGAAAAATAGGAAGAGGACGAGCAAGAGGAGAAGCCACTTGATCGGGAGTAGAAGTTTCCTGCAAGATAGTGTTAGAACCATAAAAAGGGGTATGCTCATGAAAGGTGACGTCAAGAGAGTGATACGTGTGTTTGTGTACAGGATCATAGCACCGGTAACCTTTTGACATTGAAGAGTATCCGAAAAAGATACATTTAATGGCCTTGTCATCAAGTTTAGTACGAGAAGGGCTACGATTCTGAACAAAACATGTACATCTAAACACCCGAGGCATGATGGAAAAAAGAGTAATATCAAGCTGAAGCACTTGTAATGGGCCTTACCATTTAATACTCTACTAGGGGTACGATTAATGAGAAAAGTAGCTGTAAGAACTGCCATGTGCCAGTATGACTTTGGCACATTCATACCACTTAAAAGACATCGAACAACTGACATTAGTTGGCAGTTTTTACGTTCTACCACACCATTCTGTTCAGAGGTATATGGACAAGTAAGTTGACGAAGAATACCTTGTTGGTTAAGTTGAGACCAAAACTCATTGGAAACATATTCACGACCATTGTCGGACCTAATATTCCTAACAACAGTTTTATATTAAGTTTTGATCATTTGGAGGAATTGAGTGAACAAGGGAAAAATTTCATATTTCTTTTTAAGTAAATTTACCAATGTGCAGCGGGAATAATCATCAATGAATGTGACATAATAACGATGCCCCGAAAAAGCAGTACTGGAGAAGGACCCCACACATCAGAGTGTATGAGATCAAACATACTAGGTGCACGATGCATATGAGAAATATAACTGGTTCTAGTATGTTTAGAAAGCTCATAAATCTCACATTGAAACTTATTATCCTTACAAGCCGTTATTAATGAAGGGAAAAACAGACATAAATAATGAAAGTTTACATGCCCAAGGCGAGCATGCCATAAATTTAAAGTCTAAAAAGAAAAATCATAAGACTTAGAAACTGGAAAAACTGAGGCTTGAAGGCTTGAAGCAAGTGGAGGAGTTGTCGGTGGAGGATTCCTAAAGTAATAGAGGCCATCGTGCTCATATCCCTTGCCAAAAATCCTCTTCAAACACAGGTCCTGTAAAACACTGTAATGAGGAAAGAAAATCATTGCACAGTTTAGTAATTTGGCAAGTTTGCTAACTGATAGAAGATTAAATGCAAAGTTAGGAACATGAAGAACAGATGGCAAAATAATATTAAGGGATAGATGAACATCTCCTTTACTACGAAAAATGGTGGTTGACCCATCGGCTAGACTAACAGCTTGATTAACATGGGTAACGGGAGTATAAAATAATGATAACTCACCAGTCATGTGATCATTGGCTCCAGAATCCAGAACCCAAGTAGGTTTTCCCACTTTAACATGAAAAACAGGAGTCCTTGTAGCTATAGTAGCCGTGGGAATAGAAGAGCTAGCCTTGGTAGATAAAGCTCTGAACTGCTCCTGAAGCTGACCGATCTGGGACTGTAACTGATTGAAGTCTTGAAAGATGGTCTGGGAGGAGTTGAAGCAGGAGGGACAACAATCTGTGGAGTAGTATACCCACCAATAGTATCGGCTACTGCGGTAGTGCGGCCACGGCCAAAAGGATGATTGTGAGAAAATTTCGGCTCTAGCTCGGGATGAAGCTTAAAGCAACGATCCTTTACATGACTCGTGACTCCACAATGTTGACAAATAACCTTTTCCCTCTGAAAGTCTAGAATTAGCAACAAGAGCCATCTAATCAATTGGAGTCTCTGGTAAAGATACTGGCTGAGAGATCTGACGCTTAGTCACACAATTTGTCTAAAGAGGCCCCGCTCTCAAGCTCCGCATGCGAATTTGCGATTTGGTAGAGAATTCGCACAAAATTCGCGAATTCAATTTTTGCAATTCGCGAATATGTGTTACTAATTCGCGATTTCCATACGAATTCACTTTATACAGCTAAATTTGTTAGAGTTCCAGTGATATGGAATACCTATATTACCATATATATGCATTTATTACTTACACTATTACTCAATATATACATTAATTACTTAAACTCCATGTGTGCCCCATCTGTATAGCATTGCTATACTACCACATATATGTGTGTATATATATATATATATTAATTATACATATTTGAAAATATACCACTAAAACTTCCCAATCGGAAAATATTAAAAATAAATCACGTATCTATTAGTGAGAAAAGTTAGCTTATTTATTACATATATCATTAGTGGAATAAATAATAATGAATATATTTGCGTATGGATTTAACTAAATAAATAAATAAAAAATATATATGTCATGACCTGATATAATTTTATTTAAACCTAATATACAGACGCCCTCAAGACGCTTCCGCTTTAATTTTTTTTAAAACTTTTACGCTTTTGCGCTCTCGCTATCGCTCCCACTCTGTGTGACTTAGATTTGACGTCTATGCTCCTCATGGTCAACAATAGCGAAGACATCATATAAATCAGGCATATGAGAGGTGTTTAAGATCTGAGTTCTAAGAGCATCATACTCGGATCATAAATCCCCCTATCAAAAACTGGTAGGTATGCTGGCGGTCCAGTCTCTTGACCAAAAGAGTTACAGATTCTTCAGAGAAATCGGAGAGAGGTTCATACTGTGCTAATTCTTCCCACCTAGACTGGTGGTACCCAAAAATACTCTGATACTGACAGCTTGAGTGCCTCCTGAGATGAATGAGCAATCTCCTGATAGAGTTCAAAGATACGAGCGTTATTGCGGGAATGGGCATACATTTTGTTAAGGGCTTGCCACAGACGAAAAACGGAAGTGTAAAACATGAACATATTATATATACGCTCCTCCATTGAGTTGAAGATCCAACCCAGAATGATGCACCTGTCCATGTCTCATGCAATATATTTAGTATCCGTCTTTTCCGGTTCCTTGACTAGACCCAAAAGCCAACCAGTTTTCCCTTTCCCTCCAATATAGAGTTGAAGAGAACGGGACCAAGATACGAAGTTGCGCCCATTCAAGAGCACACTAGTAACTCGCTGTGCCGAAATATGATGTGCCGAAGATAAGTATGTTGGACCGAGGATACAGTGTCCTTTTGGCTACTAGAATCAATCATAGTACCAAATTAAGGCTAGTCCACACGTCAAAGCAGGAGGAAAGAGAAAAAACAAGGCCAGAAAAATCGACGCTTTCCTCCAAATATGCTACCGAACAAACACCGGCAGCCCACAAAGAAAAAAAAAAACCACTAGAAGGACCTTTAGGTCATAAAAAACCTAAGGGAATTCTCCTAAAAAAGAGGAGTAAAAAATAGAGGGTTACCTGAGGGGTTCGGCACAAGGGCGGGAGGAGATGGAGGTGCGCCAGAGGTGAGGGAAAATGGAGAGAGGGAGAGAGAAGGTGGCGGCGTTGGGGAGGAAGATGGGGGAGGCGAAGGTTTTTGTTTTGCTCTCATACCAAAAAAGAAAAAGTTTTGGGTTTTGGCTTACTCAAACCGAGAGCCAAGAACTACATTTATATACAAGAATAGGGTACAAAAAAAGGAAACCAAATCAAAGATAAACAGGAAATATGCCAAAATCTACATGATCTCATAATTATGGGGATCATATCTACGTGATCCCATGATTACGGGGATCTTATCAACGTGATCCATGATAATAGAGATCTTACATAAAACACCTAATAAAAGGCCGAAAACAACTAATAAAAATAAAAATAAAAATAATACAGATATTTCAACAAAGAGAACTCCCTCATGACAAAAGTCATGAGCTTTCCATATTTAATCATTGGATTGAGACAATATTTTGACATCTGTGAAAAGTCAAATAAATCATTTGATACATATTTCAATTCAGTGGTTAAATATGGAGAGCTCATGACTCTTGTCATGAGGGAGCTCTCTTGATAGCATTACTCTTTTTTATTTGGAACTACTTCAGTTTTAGGCTCAATATTTTACTTGGGATTATAATTTGTTAGGGCACCTTTGGATGACTCTTGAATTTGGTTGCCACTATGACCTATCTGTATTTTGCATAAAATTGTAAAGTAGAAACACATCATTTTGATTGGCGTGATGGGAATATGGGAGCCATCCAGCAAATGATGCTAAAAAATTGTACTTGTTCACTTTGAAGAAACCTAAAACTGATTAGATGAGAATTATAATAAAATTTGCTATGTTTTTCAGTATTAAGTGCTTAATTTTCACTTCTAATGCTGTAGGAAGTGCAGTGGGGCCATTCGAATTTAGGGGAATTTCCAAGAATACCCCAAGAGTTCTCTGCATTATGCATAAAAACCCTTACATTCAGACGTGATGTCATCTGTTTTTGTATTTTGTTTCATCTATTCTTTATGTTCATGCAAATAACTCTTTTATTTGAATTTAGTTTCTTGTCCTAACTTTTTGTAGGGCAAATGACATAAAATGATTATGGTGCACTATTTTCTTTTATCGTAATATGACGAGGAGACCAATCCTTCTACCATTGGAAACAGGTGGGTGCACTATATGTGACGACTGTATGAAGGACATTTCCTAATTGTCCTCATTAATCAATGATGCTGGAAGGAGTAGTCTGGGATAATCCAGACTTTTGGTTATATTTGTAGTAAAAAAACATTTTAGAATGGTTCAAGGTTTTGGATGGTGAACATTCTCGGGGCAACTCCTTTGAGAAATGGTGTGAGCAAGAAACTGTTTTTTTTTTCCCCTTCATCTATTCTTTCTTTAATTTTTGTTGATGGCATTCCTCCTGTTGACTGTAATAGCAGGTACTTTTGACAGCCATAGGTAATACGAATGAGACCCAAGCTGTAGAGAATTCGCTTGAGCATTGTGGTGGGAGAATAGAAGATGGATAGAAAATGCCTAGTGATTCAAAAGAGAGGATTTTGCTACAAGGGTGTGCTGTGAGATGGAGATCTCATATATAATACTGACTATGATTAGTTTGGAAAAGGCTCCAAAGGTACTTCATTTGTCTTCCAATGAAGCAATCAACTTATTGAATTGTTTATCTTTTAGGAAAATATTTTGGTCGGTTTTATAATTTTGCCAAGCTCGATTTATAACATTAATCCAAAACATTAGCAATAAAACTCTGAATTATGTCAAGATTGTGGGAGATGAGAACTCCTTGTGATGTGAATTATCTTATGTTTCAGGAAAATTTTCAAAGTCCAATGTTTGTTTTGATGGAATCCATTGCTCAACAAAGGTTCATGCTATTAGCCTTGAACTGACTGATTCTGAGACTTCACTATTGCAGCATAAACCTATCCTTGAATAAAGTAAAATAAATAAAATAAAAGGGAAAAGAAAAGAAAATTATCCACATTTAGTTTCGTGGGCAGTAAACTACAATTATTATCATCCAGTAATTTTGTAATTGAGGAATGTTGCTTCTTTTCCTATGTAAAACAGTGATTTCTTCTTGAGAAGTAATGGAATACTAGGACAACTCCAATTCCAACTTGAATGGTGCTGAGAACTTTTAGAATTCTTGCAATATTGTTGAGAGGCATTCTAACTGGAGAGAGAGGAGGCAGCTAGGGATTAGAATTATTAGGAACAAGAGGGTAGTTTAGTTATTTTCTAAATTATTTTAGTAATATCAAATAAATACGGAGTAAATAAACAAGTAGTATGACGAAATTACCCTTAAATGGTCATTTATTTGCATTTAACTTTTAGATTTGGTAAATATTTACCTTTTCTCAATTTTAGTCACTAAAGAATAATTCTGTTTAGACTTGATTGCTGAAATCTAATTTTCTCAACACTATTTTTGTGCCGATATCATGAAAAAGTGCATGATTTATTGTCTGCTTTGCATGAACAATTACCTTCTTTTTTTTTTTTTTAACTGTACTAGCAATGGAGATTATGGAGGTATAAGAAAAGTTTCCAAATGCTATAACCGCTATTTGCTCACTACTTGGTTACGGTCAACTTCCTTATATCATTGTTGTCCTTATATCATTCTGAGACTTTGAACTTTGAAGCCTTCCAGATTAGAGAGGTCATCAGATTTGACAAATAATTGGAGGACTTGAACTTCTTGTTCCTTTTATTATTAGAATTATTAATTATTAATTTGAATTTATCTGGATTAGGAGGCATTGATTATGTGATGGGAAAATAGTAATATATTTTTGTTTCTTTGAAAGATATTTTGTATGCACTATTGTTGAGTCTCTTGCAGATGCTGACCTGGTTAACTATTTGCTTCATCAAGGTTCAAGTGGACCAACTACTGAAAGCTATCAAGAGAGACACCATTGAATGGAGCCCGGTGAGTTTCAAGCATTCAACATGGATGACCAGCTCAGAGTTCTACTGTAGAATAGACTTCTCAATGCGTACGCGGCCCGATGATTCGAAGCCATTCAACACGTGAGAACACCTTACTTGGGGGAGAGAAATGAACTCATTTAATCCCACCTGCCCAACATTTTGCTCCTCGTGTTTTTGACTTGAATGAAGCAGCCCCCTCCCATAATCTGTCATCATTACGAAACTTAATGAATTAATTTACGAGCTGAAGCTTTGGACTTGAATAAAGCCTCCTCCCATAATCCATCGTCATTACGAAACTTCATGAATTAATTTACGAGCTGAGGCTTTTGACTTGAATAAAGCCTCCTCCCATAATCCATCGTCATCATCATGAAACTTTATGTAATAATTTATACATGTTAATCACGAGAGAGAAATGAAAGATCTACTTTTAAGTTGAATATTTTGACCAGTGGTGTATTGATTTTGTTATTGATTTAAGTTGAATGGCGGATCCATGTTAATCTATTTTGATTTTTTCAGATAACAAAGTTCGTTGACATTAACAGGGTCGTTAAATAAATTAGTAGATTTTATATGATTTAAAAGTTGAATGTCCTGTCTTTGCTGGCTTTTGCCTCAGTGTTCGTTCTTGTGCAGGAAATAACTTGCTAATTAATTGAACACTGAATAGTTTTTTTTTTTTAAAGGTTTCCTTTTTACTAACAAAATTTTCTCCGGACACAAAATGAGGTGTGTTCATAAACCAAGTGTTGGCTCAAGTGGTACGATTGGTTCTTCACAAAGCATCACATCTGACTATATAAGGTCCAATTCTTACTCTCTGCAAATAATTTTTTTTGAGATCACATCACTGTGCGTGCGCCGTGGTACAAAAGTTCATGAACCTATTGGAATTCGCCCCGAGTACCTTAGGTTAATCTAATATATATATATATATATTTATTGCCTAATTAAGTAGTATGGAAAAATAACTATATATATATATATATATATATATATTTTTTTTTTCCCAATTGATATTTACACACCTTTACTTTAAGAAACTATTTGCATTTAAAAAGAGTAGAAATTATGATTTTATACTTCATGAGACAATAAAATGACAGTTAGGGTTAAAAAGTTTTAACTGTTGATTGTAATTTGTATATGATGGGCCCAAACGTTGATCCAATCAAATGGATGATGTGTACGTATATTAACGGCACCTACAGTGAGAAAGGGAAGCTCTGTTTGATATGACCCATTAGTTTCTTCTTAATCGGAAAAGGAATTTGGGTATTTGGGAGTAGGTTGAGTTATAGGGAACTATTTGTGCGTTTAATGTTAGGCCTTGACAAGGAAGTCAGTGGGTTGAAGGATTGACTAAAGTTTGAGAGAGATAGAGAAGTGTTCCAACTTCTAAGTAGCTTTGTTCAAGTAACTTCACAAAAATTCTCCTATACATTCATTTTTTATTTATTTATTTCTTTACACTATATTTCAGTTTTTATCACTAAATTGTTGGTTGGCGCGCAGTTGAAACTACCAAAATGGGCATCCTCTAGTGTAAAGGGCATTTTTGTTCTTTTAAGTGGCAACGTAGCTGAAGGGTATTTTAGTTATTAAGTTATTTGAGTTTTCCTCATTTTAGAACAAATGAAAATACATGAGGGTTTTGTGAAATAATCCCTATACTATAATGGAAATAGATTCTTTCTTTAAGCATCTCCACGACATTATTAGCATAGTTTTTGTGAAATAATTCATATAATATAATGGAAATAGGTTATTTTTTCAAGCATTTCCAAATTACAAATACCTCATGTCGTCATTTCTTCAATTGCCAATTGTGTTGTGACAAAATATTTAACTAAATTAATTTCTGAAAAAAAAATATTTAACTAATTTGTACGTAATAAAAGTTATGACTTGTTCATATACTATTTCTTTCTTCAGACGTCTCTAAATAGGCACGGACCCAATGTGGGGCCAGTGGGGGATGATTTTTATATTTTTATTTTATACTTTATTTTTTTTAGAATTTATGAAGATGCCTTCACTGGATTTTTTATATTTTTATTTTATACCTTAATTTTTTCAGAATTTATGAAGATACCCCACTAAAATTACAATTTGTCTCCACTGTTTTTTTTTTTTTTTTTTTTTTTTGGTTTTACAGTTTACATTTTTTTAAATTTATGAAAAACTTCAGTTGAAAATATAAAAATAGACCCACTATATAAGTTTGCCCACACAAATTAAAAGTCAGTCCCCTCACAAAAATTTCTAATCGGTCACTATCTCTAAGTCATTATTGAATAATTACGAAAAGCTTGTGTCATCATTTTTATAAATAGCCACTATCTTATGGTCAGATATTTAACCAAATCTTAATAAAAGTGATGACTTGAAACAAAAATCTAATTTTTAATTAAGAAAAAAAGTGATGACTTGACGTAATATAAAAGCCGCTGAGAGTGAAAAACTAATGGATAACCGAAATATACCAAACTTAGTTTATGTATTGCCCGACTGAATTGACTAGGCTAGGCTGAATCTCTTACCAAGTTTTATGATTTTCAAAGCGTGTGCTCTACGTTTTCAGACTGGTGAATTCAAACCTCACAAAAACAACCTTCCTATCCCTCTAACTTAGCCTACAATAAGTAATATAACCAAAGTCAAACAAACATACCCTTTGTTGAACTTGTACTGGAGCAACTCAATACATGCATGCTTGTCACACTATCACCTATATATATACACACACTTGGGAGCACAAACCATATACATTAATTACAAATCAATATATATATCACCAAAACTTTGAGCCTAAGACACCAACAGCAAAAAGTAGAAGCCAACCATGAAGTACTGTTCTTTCGTGTTGGCTATGAATGCAATTTCAATCCTTGTTTTCCTTCTCATGCTCTCCTCCTGTGTAGAGGGCTTGAGACCTCTGAAACATCAATCTTCTCCTCCTCCGATGAAAGATGGTTTTTTCAGAAATCAAGCTTACTCCGGGCCAAGTCACCGAGGAGCCGGTCATTAATGGGTGTAAACTACCCGTATAGCTTGAATATTCCATTACAACACACACTTAGTTTCATATATTTTGTTCTTTGGTTGAATAATCCATACACAATAATCTATACACAATAATCAGAGTAGATTAGCCATTAATTCTACGAGAAACCGATCGAGCAACGATGCAAGACTCTTGAGAGAGAAGCATGCAGCATCGCCAAATCAAGTCACAGACTCCACAACAATTAATGCTTGCTTGCACCGTCAAAGTTGCAGGAGGAAGTTTTCTGAGGTGTAGAATACACACACACACACATATATACATGTAGATTGGAAGAAAACAGTCGTTTTAATTATTTTCTTTCTTTGTTTCTTAATTTTATGTATACAAAATACATGCTTTCTTTCAATATTGTAAAAGGATGCAGTAACATTTTGAAATCTGTGTGTGTGTGGTGTCTTTCTTCGTGTATTAAAATTGAATGATTCTGATCGATCTTGTTTGACCATATGAATCTGAAACAACTTTATTACATAAAAGTATGTTAAGACTATATTTCAATTATTTTTTTAGAGTATAAAAGCTATGTATTTTAGTTTATGGAAAGAAAAAAAAAAATACAATGGATTTTGATCTTTTACTTTGTATATGCAGCTAAAAGAACTCTGACCCATCTAATTGCCCACATGCCATTGTTTTTGGGTAAGTTTTATTTTATTTTATTTTTGTTTGGGTAAGATAGGCCATTGTTAAATTTGAACATTTGAAGCATGGGATGGATATTTCTCCCAATTGAAAAGTATTGGATCGTTTTTTAGAAATATTCTTAGTTGTGAAAATTTTGTCAACTTCAAAATATATGTATTTAGAGAGTATATTGAAAATTTCTTAAGACGATGCAATAAATACAAATAGATTAAGACACTCACACATGCTCTCTATTCTAATTGAAAATTAGTTTTCAACCTACTTTTTCAGAGTAAGTATTTGATACACCGTACATCAAATTAATCGGAACAATTTGTGATGTGCACGAATTAACCCAATGCACTGAGCGCACTAATTATCTAATCCCAGTTTAGAAGTCAAGGAGGAAATAACACACAACCAATACCCGGTGGTTTACCTCATAATCGCACCTTTGTCTTTAACTATAAACCATTTTTCAAATACATGAAAAATCATGGTTCTGTTGTCACGCACATGAAAATTGATAAATAATAAACATACGCACGAAAACATTGTCCATTGATTTTCAGACATCCAATCAACATTCAACAATTAAAGAGATACAAGTAAAACACTTCAATGAATATTTGATAAATTTCTTTTAATTACTACGTAGTATGCCAATGTTTCATTTTTTGATACACTTATGTCTTTAGTCCATTGTTGAGGCCAAGACTTTTTTTTTTAAGAAAAAATTGTTGTAATCAAATTATCCTTTGAATAACATTGTTTCATGTCTTGCATGTAATTATTGTCTATTTTCATAATTAAACACCTTTTTTCCTAATAAAATGTAAGACATCCGTTAATGAGATCTCAATTGATAACATCTAAATGAGGGGTTCAAACTAATTCGGTTCAAACTGTGATCCGATCTGGATCAATTCCATTCGGGTGAATTTGTTGGGTCCTAAAAACAAATCAGTTCGGTTACAGATTGAATTTTAATGAAACCGGTTAGATCAGTTTGGTTCACAAATTATTAGGCTTATATGATTGGTCCATTGCGCTTGCTTATGACTCCTGAAGTTGAATTATGACTGCAAATTGTATTTTCTATTGGGTTATGGTTAGGGAAAAATTAATAATTGGGCCTGTTTTGAGAAGTCCAAATTGTCCAATCCGTAGTCCAAAATGGTAATTGCATTGATTCGGTTCGAAAGCTAAAAAGCTCTCATCGATTTTGTATTGATTTTGAAGGAAGCGTTGAGATCGGATTGATTTTGGTTGTGTGTTTATACATTTTGTACAGGCCCATATTTGGGAAAGGTTAGCCCAAGCTAACAAAACAACACAATTGCTACCCAAAGGGCCCAAATATTGAAGACCCAAGCCCAATTAATGAGTTATGATTAGACCGGCTAATTTTCCTAATTAAAATTTTCTTTTCCGAACACATTAATTATACATTTTCATTGTCAAAGCATTCAATAGAGGACAATAATTAAGTCATCATCAATGAAATTTTACTTCATCTTGACCTGATGTGAACCAATAACAAATGATTACATTATCTTTAATCAACTGTTAAGCCTTTGAAATACTCTCCTTAAATATCCGTTCCAAATCAAAAGTGAGTTATGAAATTAAATAACGCATGAGGCAATTGTGTGCATCTCGAGTTTGTATAACCATAGACATTTAAAGTGATTAAGAAAAAGTTGATTCTTTATTACCTAATTTATTAATTTATGAGTGTTGCTATCATTATTAATGTTCAAGATTAGATGAATGGGGTTTTACTAGTGCTAAATTTAATGATTTTTTT